GAAATATGTGATATTCACTCCTTTTTTCGTTTATTCATCACTGTGTGTGTTATGGTTGTAGACAAAATTGCAGTTCCTCAATGATATTATGAACTCAGGAAGCTTCTGTTACAAGTTTCCCTCCTTAAAAATCTACATTATGTACTTGATTTAGTCTATATTTGGCCAAAGAGATCGGAACTGTATTGTTATATTTAAAGCGTATAGCCGTGCGGCTATACGGAATAGTTAAACGTAAACCCACACGGTTATTCGCTATAAATAGAAATTTTTAACAGTATCGCCCCGTGGCTATACCCTTCGAATAGAATATTTTCATAGTATCGCCGTATGGCTATACTCTATAAATGGAATATTTAAACGTATAGCCGCTCAGCTATACACTTTAATTATCAGTTATGTTTTAATTATTGTTTACTTAGTGAATAATTAGTTTTTAAATATTTTATTTTTAAAAATTTAAAAATTAGTTACTGTTTATTAAGTAATATGATTTATGAAGTTAATTAAAATATTTAATACTAATATTTCAATAAATATACAGTTAATTTCTTTACTTTTGTTCTTTGGCCAACTTCTTTAATTTAATGTATGTAATTAAGTAATATCTTAGACTTTTTTAATTACTTTAATTATTATTTCTTTAGTACATATTTAAATATTTTATTGATTTTATAAATTACTTCATAAATAATAAATAATTATTTTAAATTATTTTATGGACTTTGGTTATTTATTTATTTATTAAATAATAATTAAAACATAATATATTCAAAGAGTATTGTTGTGTGGCTATATTGTTAAAATATTCTAATATATTCAAGGAAGTATGACAAAGGGCACCTAAAATGATAAGCAACCTCTTTAATTAATTATTTTTTAAAATAAAAAAATTAGATGCCTAGGCTTTAGCGGGTCCTTTTTTTATTAAATTTTTTAATAAATAGTATAGCTGCACGGTTATAATTTGGTTTTTTTTAATTTTTTTAAAAAATTAATAGTACAGCCGTTCCGTTTTTTCGGGTGCCGCTCGGCTATACGTTGCAAATATAATATATTTAAAGAGTATAGCCGTACGGCTATACTGTGGCCCTTTTTTTAAAAAAAATTTTTATTTTTTTAATTTTAATAAATAGTATAAAAACAATACGAACCGCTGCTTCTCCTTCATACTCTTCAGTCTCCATCGAAGCCTTTCCCATCTCCTCTGTTGCTTGTTGTTCAATTCTGTTTCAGATAATCAAAATTTCATTCTTTTATTTGTTTAAATCTTGCTGAATCACGCACATTGCACCCCGGGCTTCTCTGAGAGTTCTCACTGAAGATGAAAGCCCCAATGCTCGTGCTAAAACGTCGCCGTTAAGTGTTGCAGTTTAGCTTTGCTCCCCACGGCTTTTCTGTGTCAAATCGATGGCTATATCTCCCCCAAGCTTATCCCTTTTTATCAGTTTCAATACTGTATGTTATGCCTCGACACACCTTAAGCCTGTTTTTGAAGATTCTCCGAAAACAGAGCTAGTCATGGAGGCGCAAAGCTATTGCGGTGTCAACGTGGGGGTTTATCTGTTTTGATGGTTTTGCCTCTAAAAACGTCCGCTAGATTTGCTCTCTTTAGATCTCCAAATTCAGTTTTTTTGATTGAATTTTGGCGATGATTACAAATTATCCGCGCTTCTGAGAGCAATCTGTGAAGCAGAATGTGATAATCAATGGTTGAATTTCTTGATATGAGCCATGATTTGTGTTTTTTTTTGTTAATTTATGTTTTGGGTTGTTGAAAAGTTTGCATATTTTTCATATCTGTTTTGGCAGTGATGACTAAATTTACAGCTTTATGCCAGTTCTGCTTCAGAAAATTCGTGATCGAGAGAGCTGTTTCATACTCTGAGCCTTCAGTTTTATACATTTGATTTATTTGTGTTTTTTTTAATGATTTGATGTTTTGAATTTTGTGTTCATGTGGCCTATGATGATTCAATCCGCTTGTTTGAGGTGTGGTGGAGCTGAGACCCTGTTTTCAGGGAGAACCCCTCGGCGAAGCCACATTTCATATGACATTAATGGATTTAGCTGAGGTTTTGGTCTAAATTATTGCATCCCAAATCAAATGTTTTTGTGTCCGTTGCTTGATCTGCCATTTTATGTTTTGAAAATCTTCTTGTTACAATTTTGATTTGAATATTGTGTTGTTCTGACCTAGGATGATTGCATCCGCTTGTTTGAGGTGTAGTGGAACTGAGACCCTGTTTTCAGGGAGAACCCCTCGGTGAAGCTACATTTCATATGACATCAATGGATTTAACTGAGGTTTTGAATCTTAATTATTACATCAAAATCCAGTGTTTGTGTGTTTGGTTTTTGTGTGATAAGTTTAGGTGCTAATAAGGATGTTACAATCCAACGTGTTTGAGGCGTAGACCTGGTTTTGCTGGGGAAACTACTCAGGCAACATGTTCTTCGTTTGTGAGTTTTAAATCAAACACTGTTAATGTTTGATTTTGAGTTTTAACTATACCCTTGTCCTTAATTCGATTAGGTTTATGGTCTGAAAAACTCATAAATTTTGGTGTTGTCTATCAGCTTCATCTCTTGTTACTGGTGGAGACTGAAGTTAAACAACAACACTACATCTAATCGCTTTCAAGCTCATTGTATTTTGGATTTCGGTGAAAATCATTTGAAACTGAATCTGATTTGAATTTCTCCTGAATATGAATGTGAAGAATTTGGTAGGGTAACATAATAACTATTTTAAATCAAATTTTCCATGCCCTAAAAAAAGTTTTGCTGCTGGTAGGTATGTACTCTTTTTAACCACTAAACAAAAACATAACTCTCCCTAGTTTTTCCTAGGGAGTAAGAGAAATATATGTACTCAAATCACACTCGGTGACACATTCATAAGCAATTTTGCTTTCAATATTGTTGCTTTATTGCATATAGTTTCTACACGTGATAAATTTCTACCAAAATGAAAGTATTTTAGTTATAGGTAGTCGCAAGGGGAAATACTTTAGTTACCATTTTTCATAGAATATAGTTTGAGTTTTTAATTTGCTGCCATTTTAAAGAGTATAGGCGCCCGGCTATACTCTGTGAATATATTCGAACAAGGAGTATAGCCGATCGGCTGTACTAATTAAATATTCGAATATTTATTTTTTATTTGTATTTATTCGAATATGCCTATTTGATTTTTATTTTTTTAAAACAAAATTAGTTTTTTTAGTTATGAAATATCTTAACCCAGGTATAGCCACACGGCTATCCTCTTTAAATATATTATTTTTACAACGTATAGCCGGCCGGCTATACGCTGTATTACAAAACAAAAGGAAAATTGGCCGTAAGAGGCTTTTAGTTATAATATTATAATCTGAGTAAAAAGTAATTAATTAATATATTGTCATCTACTTTGGGAACATTTAACAGCAAACGTCGTCAAAGAAACTTGCTAGGAAGAAAAAATATAGTAAAAAGTAATTAATTAATATATTTAAATATTAATTATTCACTACGGAAATAATAACTAAAAACTAATTACTGATTAAAGTAATTAAACAAGGCTAAAATATTACTGAATTACAAATATTAAACTAAACAAACTAATTTGTACGAAATTTTGTAATAAATCAATTACTATATATTGAATAATTTAAGAAATTAATTAAAATATTTAAATACTAATTAGTCACTAAATAAATAAATATTTGAAAGGAGGCGTGTGCTTTTAAAAAATAAATAAATCTTATACCCGTTCGGCTATACTGTGTACATATAATACATTTAAAGCATATAGCCGATTGGCTATACGGGCGTCCTTTTTGAAAAAATAAAATAAAAATAAATCGTATAGCCGCTTAGCTATACATTTAAATATATACTTGGATCTTTTTTTTTTACGATAATTTTTTTGTCATGATTTTTCTTCAAAAACATTTTAAATATAATATTTTCACAGTATAGCCGCGCGGCTATACGATATAAATGGAATATTTAAAAGTATATCTGCACGGCTAGACCTATTAAATAGCATGATCTGAATTTATCTTTTGTAATTAATTTAATTATCAGTTATGTTTTAATTAATGTTTACTTAGTGAATAATTAGTGTTTAAATATTTTATTAAAGAAAAAAATTTTAAAAATTAGTTACTATTTATTAAGTAATATGATTTATGAAGTTAATTAAAATATTTAATACTAATTATTCAATAAAGAAATAATAATTAAAATATAATTGTAGCTAACTAGAAAATCACAAGTACACTGTAATAGCTATGTTAGTATATACTGATCATTGGTGCAAATCACCGCGATTCATTCTGTCATATGAGTGTGGTGAGAAATTCGTGTTTTTGAAACGTCAGCTGCTTCTTCTTCGCAAACTGAAGTGTCTATGGAAGAGGCAGAACAGGCTGCCCGCCGGTCAAGGATAACAAATGTGGTTGCTGTACCCTTTATTATGACTTTCTTTTCTCCTTATTGTAGTGATTGTTTCTATTGTTGTTTGTATAGGATCAATTCCGTCCCATCATCATCGGATGCATAACCTATTCCATATCTTAATTAGTCGTATAATCGCTTTTATCTATTTGTTAAGTTCATGTGTCATGTATGCAGACTGTGATCAGGGTTCGATTTCCTGATAATTAGAGGCCACTTTTCAACCATCAGAAACAGTTCAGAGCTTGGTTGATGATCTCCTCACGAAAGTAGTTTGCTCGACCAGAATTACCATTCTACATGTGTATGCAGAGTGAATCAAAATATCGAACGTCACAGGATTTTTACTCTGCTGGCTTTGTTCCTGGTACCATTCTACATATGTTAGCACATGCCTTTTGGTCTCATAACTTAAAATGAAATATTCACAATGAAGACACTCTTCTCTATGATTATGGGGTTGCCCGTTTGAGGTGACGGCAGAGGAATCAGAATTTTTACCTGAAAAGTATTTCACTGATGTAATCATATGTATCTTTTGATTGTAAATAGCAATGGCTAATGTGAAATGTTTGATTATTGTAATGTCATGTCCAGCAGATGATGCTTCAGATGCCAAGTCAGGTCCCTTCCTTCAAGAAGAGATCATGTCCTCACTAAGCATGCAGAGCCTGTTGAGTCTGCACCAGAAACGATACCAGAGGCATCACCTCCTGTTGTTCAAGAGAAGAAGCCTGCAGAGAAACAACCTGTTAAGCCAAAGTGGCTGAAATTGTGACATGAATCACATGAGTTCTGTAAATTGATGAGCGCAACTCCCTATCTTTGAGATTGTGCTAATTCTGACCGTTATTTGATGGCTGCAACTTGCCGTCGGATATTTGTTAGGAGTTTAAAGAGATAACTTTTGCATATGGCAACACTTGTGCTTTGCTAAGGTGGTTCATATTTTCTAAAACAATGTATGAATGTTAACCATATACGAAATGTCAGTGACTGTGCTGCAATTATTTTGCCTTTTCATCTTACATCTTTGAATATTTGCTTAGTGTTGGCTAGGCATTTGTATTGCCTGTTTTCCCAACTTCCTTTTTCTGTGTTTATCAAAGGGGAGAGGATTTAAATGGCAAAGAAAAACGTATGGGAAGAGGGAATTTGTACACTCTACACTGTACAAAATTTAATCGAGCGGGTTTGAGTCGTGTATAGGGGGTCATGTCGGAAATTGCCACCAAATAGAATATAAATGTTTTCAACTAGGAATATTATTTAAAGAAATATTTTTTTTATCTAGGGTTTAGGGTTTAGGGTTTAGGGTGTTAAAAAGGCTCAAGCCCGCCTAGGCGGATACACACACACACACACACACATATATATATATATATATATATATATATTTTCTAATGATTCAATCGCCTTTAGATCTAGCCGCTCTCTCCCACTGTGAGTCCTAAAGGACAATTTCATGGAGGGGGGAGGAGGAAGAAGCGTCATTGCCCTCCTCCCCCTCTTCTCTTCTCGTCTTTTTCTTTTAGGTTAGTGAATAAGTCCACTAGGGCGGTTTGAATAAAAAATCTCTTGTAGTGGTTTCTTCTAAGCTATGGTTAGATTGAAGTTCCCCATCACTCCTTTTGGTCTATGTTCTCAATCAACTCCTACTCCCAAAACCCACTCCCTAATGCCACTCATGTTCTTTAAATTTGATTTTACATTGTCTTTGACGGAGGTTACTGCAAATCACACAATTGTTCTTTGGCAAAGTTATTGTTTTAGTTTATTTGTTCGCTCTTATGCGTAGGTAGATCGCTGGAAATTATATTTTCCCTAGATCTATTACGGATGCGGTGGTGGGTGTGGCCGCGACGACGCTTCTTCAAGTGGTGGTGGTAGGGTTTGTTTAGACTCATGGGTTGATTTAGGGTTTTGGTTATGTTGGGTTTCTGGACTTTGTTTGGGCTTATGACTAATTGTGGTGATGTGGGCTATTAGTTTTAGTGCGGCTTTTGTCCGCGTTAGTTTTGCTTTTAGCAAGTCAGTTTGTTGCCCTCTTGGGATTGGTATTTAGATGTCTTTGATTAATAATGTTGAAGTTTATCTTAATTTTATCTATTTTTCTTCTATTGATTTAAAAAAAAAAAAAAAAAAAAAATAAAAACCTTTTGTTGGTTGGTTCATCCTTATGCACCAAGCTCTCAGAGCTTCACACCAAAGCTCCTGAACATAGCTTTGCCTACACGAAGAAAACTATCGAAGAAGCATTTGGCCGCAAGCTCCTGGAGATTTTTGATAATTTTGAAGAGAAACCAGTAGCATCTGGAAGTATTTCTTAGCTGGTCAACAGGTGAAGCCCATAGTAGTTGCCGTAAAGGTTAGGCATCCTGGTGTTTGTGAATCGATTGGGAGAGATTTTGTTAAAATCAATCTGGTAGCAAAAATTTCAAACTTCATTCCTGCTTTAAAGTGGTGGAGATTGGATGAGAGTGTAAAGCAGTTTGCAGTTTTTATCATGTCTCAAGTTGATCTTACAAGGGAAGCTGCCCATTTGTGCATCCTGCTGTTTTGGTGGAAACTTATGAACAAGGGGAATGTGTTGATTATCTTCAAGGGCATGATAGGGTTAAATCTGCGCTTGCTCACATTGGGACACACACACTTTTGAAGATGCTCCTGGACCTGGTAACATATATATACCTTTGATGTTGCTTGCAATGCATTTATGCTTTTTGACTATTTTGATTGAATTGTGTTTAAATCTTTTAAGTATCTTGTTGTGTCTTAAAGTTTGTGAATTATACCAGTTGATATACCTGAATGTGGCCTGAAGTGCTACTATCTTTCTAATATCTTATCCCTACATGGTTGATTTTTTTCTCTCTCTGTTGTTCTATCTTCCACCATTTCCTCTCTAAAAATGGGCAAGTAATTCACCTTCAAGGGTTTTGCCTTGTTAGTTTTTCCTTAACAGTTCTGGAGATCAGTTGCATTTATCTTGTTTAGGTGTTCCTTATTAAATAAGTTGCAAGTTTGATATTTGCCCTTTAAATATATATTCCTCCTTTATGCCAAGATTTATGCAAAGAAACTTACTAGTATAGCCGCGCGGCTTTTTTGAAATAGCCGGTCGGTTATACTCTTTACGGCTATACCGGGGTCTTTTCTTTTTCTTTTTTTTAATATTTTTAATTTTAATAAATAGTATATAAACAACACGAACCGCTGCTTTTCCTTCGTACTCTTCAGTCTCCATCGAAGCCTTTCCCATCTCCTCTGTTGCTTGTTGTTCAATTCTGTTTCAGATAATCAAAATCTTTTATTTGTTTAAATCTTGCTGAATCACGCACGTTGCACCCCGGCTTCTCTGAGAGTTCTCACTGAAGATGAAAGCCCCAATGCTCGTGCTAAAACGTCGCCGTTAAGTGTTACAGTTTAGCTTTGCTCCCCACGGCTTTTCTGTGTCAAATCGACGGCTATATCTCCCCCAAGCTTATCCCTTTTTTTATCAATTTCAGTACTGTATGCTACGCCTCGACACACCTTGAGCCTGTTTTTGAAGATTCTCCGAAAACAGAGCTAGTCATGGAGGCGCAAAGCGATTGCGGTGTCAACGTGGGGGTTTATCTGTTTTGATGGTTTTGCCTCTAACAACGTCCGCTACATTTGTCCTCTTCAGATCTCCAAATTCAGTTTGTTTGATTGAATTTTGGCGATGATTACAAATTATCCGCGCTTCTGAGAGCAATATATGAAGCAGAATGTGATAATCAATGGTTGAATTTCTTGATATGAGCCATGATTTGTGCTTTTTTTGTTAATTTATGTTTTGGGTTGTTGAAAAGTTTGCATATTTTTCATATCTGTTTTGGCAGTGATGCCTAAATTTACAGCTTTATGCCAGTTCTGCTTCAGAAAATTCGTGATCGAGAGAGCTGTTTCATTATTGCTTCCGAATCAAATGTTTTTGTGTCCGTTGCTTGATCTACCGTTTTATGTTTTGAAAATCTTCTTGTTACAATTTTGATTTGAATATTGTGCTGTTCTGACTTGGGATGATTGCATCCGCTTGTTTGAAGTGTAGTGGAGCTGAGTCCCTGTTTTCATCTGTTTTCAGGGAGAACCCCTCGGTGAAGCTACATTTCATATGACCCCTTGGTTTTTTTAAATTATTTTTTCGATAATGTTTTTTAATTATTTTTAAATTGATAGCATAGGAGGTCGGCTAAATAGTATAGCCGCGCGGCTATACTCTGTAAATATAATATATTTAAAGAGTAACTCCTAATATATTCAAATATTTAAATAGTATAGCCGAGCGGCTATACTGTTTAAATATATTCGAATATTTTTTTTATTTTTTATTTTTATTTATTCAAATGTACCTATTTTATTTTTATTTGTAATTAAGTAATATGTTAGACTGATTTAATTTTAATTACGTTAATTAGTAATTAGTTTTTAATTATTATTTATTTAGTGAATAATTCATATTTTAATATTTTAATTAATTTCAGAAATTACTTAACAACGTTTTATTTCTAGCTGCCATTCGTAAATCCCCACTGTGGGAAAATCCATCTTGTGAATTAGCAGTTCCAATTTTTCTTACTGAACCCTACGTCTCAGGTCCTCCATGGGCTAATTAGAAGTTAGAACCATGAACCAAGTTGAAGCATTCAGTGGGCCAAACTCAAGTGTCCATCCTATCAGAAAAAATTGTGCTGGTAGTGATAGGCTTCGGGCATGTACAGGGATTCCCTTTGAAGCTGTTAGGTCTCTTCTTTTTCTGGACCTTGTTTCTCTGTTCGTCTGCTAGGCCTTCGGCTAGGTTGTTCTACATTGGGCTGTTTCAGACTGTTCATTGTGTGTTGTGCACCTGTGTCTTTTTGTACAACTCAATTACAATGTTACACAAATTATTGTATTATTACACAAATTATTCACCCGAATTGGTGAAAGAAAATGTACAAATTCTATACAAGGGCCAAGGGTCACTGTCCAAGGCATGTTACAGTTAACCCCATTTAAACGAAAAATCTGTGTGGTATCAAAATAGTTAAATGTATGATGTTCCCACTATGCATTATATGTAAACTGTTTAACTAGAAGTATAACTTACTATATAGAACTTATCTTTCTATTGAGAGATCCTTCAAATTATTTGAGAAACACCCTTTAGGGTCTTCTATGAAATTTTTTTTAACGATCCAAATCATCTATTTTTTAAGTTTACATTCATAGATCATTCTTGCAAAAAATTAGACAAATCAGAAACTGTTTCGACATCCAATTGTATCCTACAAAATCATTGAACACGGTGCTTCAAGAAAGTACTAAAATTTCAATAACTCAATTGAGTTGTCAAATAATATAGGATTCAAGTGATTTTTTTATAGAGATGATATTTGAATAATTATCTAAAAAATATATGATTTTAATTAGCGAAATACAATATAAAATGAGTCCTATAAAAGTGTCCATCAAATAAACTTATTTAAAGGATTTTTTTAATGGAAGTTCTGATCTCTAATGCGGATGTCCTTATTTTACTAATGTACGGACAACTTTTTTGTGTGCATTCTTTATGCTAATAAAATCAACTCAGACACTTTTCTTACTTTTAATTTCCTAGTATTAGTACAATAGAAAACAGGCTCTGGCAATACCAAAAAGTCAAGCAACACCTTTAGATTTGGCTTTTCTTCATTGGTGCCTTGTAGATAGAACTTGGGGCCTGTTTATATGCTTTAGTGCCTTTTTTTAAGGGAGATTCACTAATATACCCAATATAGGAGCCCAAATTATAAAAAAACCCTATATGAAATGGAATTTATAAATACACCCAAAGCCCATTTATAACATAACAAAAAGGCTTTTAACTTCTTTTAAATTACAAAATTGCCATTGATTTCTTAAAACAAACCCAACCCAAAATTTCATAAAAAAACCCAAAACACTCAATAGGGTATCAAAGTAATTTAATAATTAAAATTAAATTTAATAGTACCATTTGTCATTTTTTGGGTTTTTTTGGGGTATGTTTATAAAAATGAAATGATGTAGGGTTTATTTATAGTTTTAGTGCTAAGAATGGGTATATTACTAAATATCTCTTTTTTTAATGATAATAATATGGAAAAGAAGAGAGTTACACAAAACAAATGGAAATGGCTTCCTTTACATTGAATGAATAAATTCATTCTCATCATGGAAAAAAACAAAATAAGTCCGGACAATAAGTTGTATTCGGAGGTCCGCACTTGAGAATATCCTTATACAGAAAGATTCAATTGGAGGATTCTTCAAATAAACTTATTTGAGGGATACCTTTGTATGCAGGGGCAGAGTCATGTTGGGACCAGTGCAATCCCAGACTCCACTTAGTTTTTATTATAAAAATAAAAAAGTAGTATGTTGTTATTTTTTTATTTTTTTATTTTTGTGAAACAGTAGCACTTCAATTGAAGAAACAGGGCACAAACCCAGATTACAACAATAAGAACACAGCCCTGGAAGGAGGTTCTTGCAATACAAAATTTAACAACACCACCAACTAAGCTCAAGTATTACAAGATAGTTAGAAAACAAATTTACAACTTTAAGCCCATCTAACAAGGAGTTATAAATGATGAGGATCCTATTTCTGCAGCAACCAATGCTTAAGAGAGATCAAGGCAGAGAACAAATTCTCATACTTCATGGGACAGGAAATACCCTAAGGATGGAGGGCAATACCACTCAACTTCCACCAGGATATTCCAAAGAATATTACAGCATCTCCTAATCCTCATTGATCCGCGGGCACAACAAAGTAGATCCACCAAAATCAGCAGCTCCACCTCCAAAACAGAAAGATCGACACTAGATCTACCACACAAGTAGCAAATCTAGCAAGATCAGCCAAAAAACAGCCCCAAAGGAACCAGACCCTCAAGAAAAGAGGGAAGAAACAAACCCTTGAAACAGCAAGGAGCAGACAAAACCCAACAAAAGTTGGGAGGGAAAACCTCTCCACAACATAACGGGGGGGAGAGAGGCCCGGATTATTAACCGAAGGGGGTGGTTCCAGGGGAAATCCCTTGGAACCAAGGAGAAAATCAGATATGTGTTGGCTTTGGGTTTAGTATGTTGTTATTGGATAATCCATATTAATTAACATATTTATTTTACCACGTGGAGCCCTACCCAGCCAAACCTACGTTACCTCCAAGACTACATCTTCTTTGCAAACCCATTCCCAAAAGTTTTAATAAAACTATTATTATTATATTACCTTTTAACACAAATATTACATTTTTACACAAATTGCTAAAAAGCAAAGAGATTTTAATTCATATTTCTATTTTCTTGACGGGAACAAAGTTTCTCATTGTTTGTGAGTTTTTCTCTCAAACTCAATATTATATTATCAAGTTTTAAAATTAGGTTAATAGACGAATGACTACTAGGTTGCATATATTGAGAAAAACATTTTTAATAGTATTGATGATGTGGTTGTCAAAATATGAAAACTTGTCGAGGACAATTATGAGTTGCTGAATTTTTTTTTTTTTTTTTTTTTTTTTTTTTTTTTTTGGGGGTGTTTTTTGGGGGTCAAAAAATTGAAAATTTAATTGTATTGTAAAGAATAATATAATATATTTTTTGTTTTTGGTATGTCTTGAGTTCGAATTTTTTATTGTTTATATTTTTGAAAGGCCCCCACACACATAAATATTGGCTTCGCCACTGTTTGTATGACGTACTCTATATTGTATTTCACTAATCCAAACCCTATATTTTGTAGATATCCATTCAAAGATCATCTCTATAAAAATCACTTGAATATGATATCATTTTGACAACTCAATTGAATTATTGAAATCTTAATACTTCCTTGAAACACTATGTTTATTGATTTTGTAAGACACAATTGGATGTCAAAATGGTTTTCAATTTATTTAATTTTTTGCAAGGATGATATGTGAATGTAAATTTAAAAAATAAATACAAGATCTCTTATTAAAAGGGTACTATATCCCTATATATATTTTTATCATATCACATTAACTTGTTCGTGAAATTCCATTATTTGATCAATTATTTCAAGCAAAATAATCTGAAGTACGTAGCACATCGTCAAGTAAAGATTGTCAACTATACCAATGAAGGTTGGTCAGAGTGGAAGGGACTCTGGTCACTTAAGCAAGTGGTCTCGGGTTCGAGTCCTTGTGAATGCAGAAAACTTTCTTGAGAGAGGTCCCCGCATATGTGTCCGATAGTACCTCGGAGGATTAGGCCTGGGCCATGCCTGTGGATACCTTGGGAAACCAAAAAAAAAAGATTGTCAACTATCCAAGGGACTAGGAAGGTCCCAACGGTCAGACCAAAAAAGAACTAAGAAGGAAGGTCCCAACCCAATTTTCTTATAAAACTATTAAAAATCCCTTAAAAAACCACCATACAAGTTGGAGCCATCTGTCCTTTTTATAAAAACAAAATGTCAAATTTTACTTTTAGTCCTTATAACAAAATATATCACTACTATACTATTATAAAGACAGGCCCAAAGTAGTTGATGTCGCATACTTTACTTCAAAAAATATTATACAACTTTTAGTCAAGGTGGTTAGAGCTGATGTGCTTTCTGGACTGCACCGTAATTTGAATTTCCTTCTCTGTAATTTAGATTAAATTGAAATATCATATCGTTTGTATATAAAAACATATCAATCGACCTAAATGTATGTTTAAATTCAGATCCGTATAAAATACTATAATGACACGTGTCGATCTAAAACAGGCCCAGCCTACATCTTGCCTACAGCTACCATGTAACCGTGTTACTGTCGGAGGATCCAACTCATCCACTAAATAACTGCACAAAACAAGGGCCACGTGTCCATTGAGTAATGACTAATATAGTAGCTCCTCTCTACTCTCTTCTTTCTAATTACAGTGCCTCTTTGATTGTCTCTTCACTTGCTCACTGTCTTCTTTGATCAGCCTCTCAATTCTGGTCAACTTATGACGATCTCGTCCTTCTTCACCAGAGCTTCAAGAGCTTTCAATGGCCACCCTGTTGCCTCCAAGCTTCTGGTGCTCTGTACTCTCAGGTTCTCAGTTCTCTACTTTCCCCTGTTTCAGTGATTCGTTTTCCTCCTCAATTCTTGTTTACCCATGTTAACTTTTTCTTTCTTGTTTCGATCTGTTTGTCTTCTGAGAAAAATGTAGGACTAGAAAATGAGATGGCAAGCTTGAATTTCATTTTTTTTCTTCCCTAGGATATAATGACATTCTTTTTTAAGTTTTGGTTGTATTTGACTTAGTTCAAGTATCGTTTTTTCTATTTCCCATGAAAGCAAAATGGCATAATCCATAAACTCTGAATCCAAATTTTTCTATGAACGTCAGTTTTCTTAGCCACACACCAGAGACTTAGCCCTTGTTCGGTCACTGAGAAAATGGAATTAGAGAAAATATATTAATTGTAAATGTTTAACTTATTTGATTCGTTTCATGTGATCTTTCACTGTGGCAAAGAACCCGTACCCCTCACGTTATTCCTTTGCTTGCTTAGTCTGTAGGCTAGGATTACACTGAATGTACATATTCCAAGTAACGTGATATAGATCTACTAATAAAAGGGCTAGTTGAAGAGGTACACTAGTTTATTAATTTGTTTTTGAACTGTTAACTTTTTTTTCATAGTTAACACCAAAATAAACTTTTTTGAAAGTAGACAGTAGCTTTTCTTGCCTCCATGTAATAGACAAGCAAATATATACAAAATGTTGATCACATTTTCTGTTTGGGTTTTTTTTGGATGATTGCAGTAGTGGAGGTCTCCTGGCGTATGCAGAATCACAGTCAAACATTGGTTCTCCTAGTGTTGTTGATGATAAACCAGATGAGTCCAGGAAGAAGAGAGTGGTGGTGCTTGGGACAGGATGGGCTGGTACTAGTTTCCTCAAGTATCTTGATGCTTCAGCTTATGATGTTCAGGTTGTTTCACCCCGGAATTATTTCGCGTTTACCCCTTTGTTACCTAGTGTCACATGTGGGACGGTTGAAGCCCGAAGCATAGTAGAACCAGTTCGAAATATTATAAAGAAGGTAAGCGACACATTCAAAAGTTGCTGGAATTCTTTATGTGTTTATATATTAGTTGCATGGAAAGATTGATCACATACAAATGTATATTAGTATATGTTGCAGGAATTCGTTGGCATTATGTTCACAAGTTCCAAACTGTAAGCCAGAAATTAATGTTCACAAGTTACTTCTATGTCATGGCAGAGAAATGGAGAGATCAAATTTTGTGAGGCAGAATGTGTCAAGATTGATGCTACAAATAAAAGTGTTGTCTTGCGGGCTAATTTTGGCACCAACTTGGTGGGAAATGATGAATTTTCCCTTGAATATGACTACTTGATCATAGCTATAGGAGCACAAGTAAACACTTTTAACACTCCTGGTGTAAAGGAGAACTGTCATTTTCTGAAGGCAAGTGAGTTTATTTTTATGCAAGTGGAGCAAAGCAGCATTTAATCATATTTATGCCTTAAATTAGGTTGCTTGTTCAATTTTCTTAAATGAACTTGTGTATCTTAAAGTCTGTCAAGAAAACTGCTCTTAGTCTTCTTTCATAAGGTGGTGATAGGAAATTTTCTAATGAAGCATATTTGACTTCACATGCAGGAAGTAGAAGATGCTCAAAAGATACGTACGAGTGTGATAGATTGCTTTGAAATGGCTGTACTTCCAGGTCTAAGTGAAGAAGAGCGGAGGAGAAATCTTCATTTTGTAGTTGTTGGAGGGGGTCCTACTGGTGTGGAATTTGCTGCAGAGCTGCATGATTATTTCCAAGAGGATTTAGTCAAGTTATATCCCATGGTTAAGGATCTTGTGAAAATAACAGTGATCCAGTCGGGAGATCACATCTTGAACATGTAAGAAAGATGCATCATGTTTTATCTTATTGATTGCTTTTTGGAATCATTTGAATGATAAACCCATTTTAGCTTGATTCCACACTTCATTTATGTGAAGTTTCAGCAACTTGTTTCTGTAATATTGAAGTATGGGACCAATGAACTTATACCAATCACGGAAGCTCACCTTCCATGATTTGAAACTTTTCTTATTTCAAAAAGTGAATAGGCAAGTTCACTTCAAGGAACCCATTAAAATTTCGTATCCTCTCTCTGTAGGTTTGATGACAGAATTAGTTCGTTTGCTGAGAAGAAGTTTAACAGAGATGGTATTGATGTTCAGACAGGATGTCGGGTTGTCAGTGTTTCTGATAAGGAAATCACAATGAAGGTGAAATCCAAGGGTGAGGTCTGCTCTGTGCCACATGGGTTGGTTGTGTGGTCTACTGGTATTGGGACTCGTCCAGTTGTGAGTGACTTTATGAAACAAATTGGGCAGGTTTGTTTCATAATTTTTATGCCATCCAAAGCCTGAGAAATATAGAATTTACATTTAATCAACTGGTCTTGTCGAATTGATGGTTTTCACAATCTGCTTGGACTAATATGGATGCTACATGGGTGACATGCTCAGTCAAATCATAATTTATATTCTGCTCCATGTGCAGGCTGATAAACGTGTTCTAGTGACTGATGAATGGCTGCGTGTAAAGGGTTGTGAAGATGTGTATGCCATTGGCGATTGTGCTTCAATTACTCAACGTAAAATCATGGTATGCAAAACCTTTACCTCTTTTGTATTCATCATTAGAATTTCCGTAAGTGCTGGAAGCCTCGATTTATTATGGTGTAGTATGTTGGAGCAGCTTCTTGAAGTCAAAATATATTGTATATTTAGTGTTTGTTTCTTATATTTGAAGTAGTTTTTCACACATCATTGCTAAAACTGGTATCCATCTTGTCACCTTTAGGAAGACATCTCTGCCATATTTAAAGCTGCGGACAAAGATAACTCTGGTACCTTAACAGTTGGTGAATTTCAAGATATAATTGACGACATCATCATAAGGTACCCCCAAATGGAGCTCTATTTAAGGAGCCAGCATGTGCAGGATTTGAAGGACCTATTGAAAGATCCTGAGGGTAATGATAGGACGGAAGTGAACATTGAAGAATTTAAATTAGCCCTTGCTCAAGTGGATTCACAGATGAAGAGTCTGCCTGCAACTGCACAGGTATGTGTCTTTTATCTTGTAGTTGGAGTAAACTGGTTACTTTTAGTTGCGAGGTATGATTTCATGCCGTCCAACTATAAGAAAGGGACCCTCAGTTTCTACACTCTTTTGGCATTCAGGTTGCTGCTCAGCAGGGAGCATATCTTTCTAGGTGCTTTAACCGGAGAGAGCAGAGCAAAGAGAATCCTGAAGGTCCTAGACGTTTTAAAAGTTCTGGGCATCATGACTTTCGTCCCTTCCGGTATGCAATATACTTTAGGCTCGTCTCACTTGCACCCTTTATTATTTAAAAATGGGAATGAAAATTTCAATAAGTTCCATAACTGCCTTTTTATTTGTCATTCTAAATTGCTAGCAAAATCTCACTTTGACACACAATATATACTGTCCAGTTGATTCTGCATATGCCATTTTCTTTCTTTTTCCTTTCCTAACCAATGAGTTACTTGTAACTTGTGAATCACTAGGTACAAGCATTTTGGGCAATTCGCTCCGTTGGGGGGAGAGGAAGCAGCAGCAGAGCTACCTGGAGACTGGGTTTCCATTGGCCATAGCACTCAGTGGCTCTGGTATTCCGTATATGCAAGGTGATCTTAATTTGCTTGCTTCTGGTAAACAAGAGTTATAACATACAGATGCAAGATTGAATCTGATTTGATTCAATGTTTTCCTTATTCAGCAAGCAAGTGAGCTGGCGGACTAGGGTCCTCGTGGTATCTGATTGGACCCGGAGATTTATTTTCGGGAGAGATTCAAGCCGCATTTGAGGAGGGCCAGCATATTTCTGGCACCAGTAAATTATGAGTGTTTGCATCTGCTTCATATGTAAATTCAGAGAGAAATTCCTTTGTAGGCTGTAGAAAAAATTCCTTGTGATGTGATTCATTCATGGCCAAAACATCGAATTTTACTTACTGCAGTGAATATGTTGTTTCTATCAATTCTTCTGAACGTGTGAAGAAGTGGGATGTTCAAAGCCCGTGTGAGTTTGGAGACATTGCGTTTAACTTCTTGACATGCATGAGATAATTTTCAGAGAATTAAAAACTGGAATTTTGATTATTAACCACAACATCCAGACAATATCATAGACTACAACTTAATTTACAACCCTGTCTCCCTGTCTTGGGCTTTTAGACAAAGCACACGTGTCCTACTTTTTCTGGTCTGACTAAGTCAACCTCGGACCCAAAAGAATAGAGTGCCTTCTTTTACGTGACAATTGCACCTTAGGCTTCGGGCCCTGATTTGAAGTGATAACCCTCACTCACATACCCTTCCATTAGAAATTGTCACCTCAATTTTTGGCAACCAGATCACTGTCTCAATCCAAAATCATATATATTCTGGCATTACACTTTTCTTCCTTTTCTTTTCGAGAAAGAATCAGAATCAGAAACTGGGTTTCACAATGTGGGGACATTCTTTCTATGAAAGTGCCTCGAGGCTCCTTCGTCAACACCCCTCTCTGTCTAAGCTTCTTCTTGTTGTCACAGTCAGGTTTTTCATTTCTCTTTAACATGCATCTTATATGAGCTTTCAGTAGTTTTGGTTTATCTTTTGAACAGTCAGGTTTCTTTTTTTCTTCTCTTTTTTAGGTTTATCGTCGATTTCATTAGCGGTTCTAGTGTTATGTGTTTGTGCTGATTATATATGAACATGCACATATTATGCATGCATATGTATGGTTGATTCATGTCCGTATTGTATATGAATCTCTGCATATCTTAATTCTTCCTTGTCTGACTTGCATTGTATATATTGCAGTGGGGGAGGTCTAGCGGCATTTCATGAAACCACACCAGTCCACACTGTATATGCTGATTCAGTTCAGGAAGACCAAATAGCCAAGAAAAAAAAGGTGGTGGTACTTGGAACTGGTTGGGCTGGAGTAAGTTTCTTGAAAAATTTGAAGAGTTCTAATTATGATGTTGAAGTGGTGTCACCCAAAAATTATTTCTTGTTTACTCCTTTGCTACCAAGTGTTACCTGTGGCACAGTGGAAGCACGCAGCATCGTTGAACCAATTCGATGCATTACTAAGAAGGTTAGTATGCGATAAAAGCCTAATTGGTATGGTATGATTATTGATTGATGGAGATACTTAGACAATAAGGCTTAATTTCTTTTCATTTGATGATGTGGCAGAAAGGTTTAGAAGTTCAATTTAGGGAAGCAGTATGTCATAAAATCGATCCCAAAAATAAGAAAGTTCACTGTCGATCAAGTCAAGACACAAATCTGGGTGGAAAACACGGTGAATTTAGTGTAGATTATGACTACCTGATCATTGCCATGGGAGCTCAATCAAATACATTTAACACCCCTGGTGTGGAGCAATATGCTCATTTCTTGAAGGTATCTTTATTTTTAAATTCTTCCCTTGTTGAAAAGTATGGTATGGAGCAAATGCACATTAATTAAATCTTTTGACTTAAAGCACTCTACTTTCAAAAGATGAAGAAATAAAATTCATTTTTATGTTGTTGGGTTTTAACTTCTAATTTGTAGGGAATAGAAGATGCTATGAAGATCCGTCAGTCTGTGATTAACTGTTTCGAAAGGGCAAGTCTTCCTTGCGTAAGCGAAGAAGAAAGAAAGAACATTTTGCATTTTGTATGTGTTGGTGGTGGTCCAGCTGGTGTGGAATTTGCTGCAGAGCTTCATGACTTCGTTAAAGAGGATTTAGCCAAGTTATACCCTTCAGTTATAGACTGCGTACAAATTACCGTTATTGAGGCAAGCGATCATATTTTGAACATGTGAGGCCACGAATGCTTCTATATTAGGATTTAAATGATGATGGTGGATTAATCTTGGTAAATATGGCAAGTTAATGGTTGCACTTGGTTTGGTCTTACAGGTTTGACAAGAGAATTACTGCATTTGCTGAACAAAAGTTCTCCAGAGATGGCATTGATGTAAAAACAGGTTCAATGGTTGTAAAAGTAACTGATAAGGAACTCTCCACCAAAGAAAGAGCAACAGGCAAAGTTTCACATCTACCTTATGGGATGGTTCTCTGGGCAACTGGTATTGGGCCACGCCCGGAGGTTATTGATTTTATGAAGCAGATTGGTCAGGTTTGTTGCTAATTTGTGCTTATTTCCAATCATATGGAGCTTGACTTTGGGCTTGAAACTTCAATTAATCAACGTTGTATTTGTTTGAGCACAACAGAGTAACAGGCGTGTTTTGGCTACTGATGAATGGCTGAGGGTGGAAGGATGTGATGGTGTATATGCTTTAGGTGATTGTGCAACAATAAATCAACGCAGGGTCATGGTATATATATTTATTGACAAGCTACCTGTGTATTTTATATGCATTATAGAGCACTTGTTGAGCAATCATTCATTAGCTATATGAAACTTTGTTACCATTGCATGGCAATCTGTTGTCAGGAAGATATCGTAGAGATATTCAGAACAGCAGACACGGACAAGTCTGGTACTTTAAACCTTGAGGAATTTCAAGAAATCATGGATGACCTTGTGGAAAGGTATCCTCAGTTGGAACTTCACTTGAAGAGCAAACAGATGAGGAATATTGATGAGTTACTGGAAAAGAGTTGGCAAAATCCGACTGCTGAAGTCGATATTGAAACGTTTAAGTCCGCTCTATCACAAGCAGATTCTCAGATGAAAAATCTTCCTGCAACAGCTCAGGTGAACTTCTTAACAGAAATTCTCAGAACCTCTAACTCAGGCATCCTATCACTTTATTAACTTATCTTTTTTTTCCCCCTTTCCAAATTGTAATATTCTAGGTAGCTGCTCAACAAGGTGCCTACCTTGCCAACTGTTTCAACCGTATGGAGGAGTGTGAGAAGTACCCTGAAGGTCCCCTCAGGTTTAGGGGCGTTGGACGCCACTGTTTTCAACCCTTCAGGTGAAACTTTGTTGCCAATCTCTAGTCAAATATCTTATCTAGCATAGAAACACAAATTTAACATGATATAAGCTGTTATATGTGGTCAATGGTGCAAGACACGCTGATCCATGATCTTAGTATAAATGCTAGAAGATAACTTTTTATATGATTTAACCCAAGGTATAAGCATTTTGGGATGTTTGCTCCTCTGGGAGGAGAACAAACGGCAGCTCATCTTCCAGGAGATTGGGTCTCAATTGGTCACAGCACCCAGTGGCTCTGGTACTCAGTATATGCTAGGTAAATTTATGGTATAGATTCGCTTGAACCGGTCATATTCATATCACCATTGTCTGAACATTCTCCCTATATTTGCAGCAAGTTAGTCAGTTGGCGCACAAGGGTGCTGGTGGTATCTGATTGGGGAAGGCGATTTGTATTCGGGAGAGACTCAAGTCGCCTTTGAGACCAGACGGAAGCCTAAGTCACACTAGAACTCTGTTTCCACCACTTTTGTCTTCCAATATTAGGCGGAGCATTGGTTCCATTTCTTTGTCAGTGTCAAACTTGTACTGCGATTGAGATTATGATGTTTTTGTACTGCATAAATGCAAATGACTCGCTTGTTTGTATTCAGCTAGCGGTTGTCTGTTTTGTTTTTACCCTTTGGGGTTGTACAAGCTTAGTGCCTATAGAAAATCAAGTGGACCAAACATAATATTCATCCCAACAGAGTCTCCTCACTCGGGTTTAATTCTGTTTTGCTTTTCTAATTTCTTTCACAGTTAGATATAAGTAATTTTTTTAAATACAAGCGATAGTTTAAACTAGAGGGGAGGAGGTTTCTCACACACAAACAACTGATGCTATGGGGGGTTCGAACTTGAGATTTCTCGTATGCAAGTCAAGACACTTTTCTACTAAGCTAAGACCCCGTCAACATATTAAAGTAATTTTTACAGCTACCTTACAAGACACAAACATCTTCTATTTTTGGTCAAAGAAGGCAACTATGTTCCCCTAAATTGATCACTTATGGGATCGTCCTAAATTGATACTATGGGAGGTTCTTGTGTTTGAACTCTTATATTCAAAACCCCGCGAGGCCGCGCCTCAGTGCATCGGCTCCCAAGTCCTGTGATCGAAGTCTGGGCAATTCGTCGAACACCTTACCCGCAAATCCGGAAAACCCTCTGAATTTCCACAGCATGCTATCTGCTTCTTCAAGGCGTTTGCGATGCTACATAGCAGCAGCATCAGACCTATGCGCTAGCAATTTCGGCCCCAACTCGGCTCCAAATCGGTACCCGATTCACAAGCGTATGCCATTATCCACCCCACTTGATAAGCCATTGTTTTCCACTATAAGTAGTTTCACCAGCAACTCTCGGGCCTCTTCTTTCTCAGAAGAAGACGCTATAGTGAATCAAATTCTTTCCGATTTAGAAAACGCCTCTCCATTACTCGAATCGTCATACAAAAAACGCGTCTTCCTGAGCTCCAAAGCGTTTAATCGTGTGCTGGTTGCAGCAGCCAGCGAAAGGAACGATCTTTCCCTTGTATCCCAACTTGTTCAAGTTGCAGTCGCATCTCGTCGTCAACCCTTGAACTCGACTTGTTTTCTCACTGTTGCCAAGGCTTTTGCAAAGTCAGATGATTGTGGGGAGTTGCTCAGACTAACAAAGCAAGTCATGGAGATGACCTCTCCCAATATGACCATCATTAACAGGGTTCTCTTTGCCTTTGGTGAATGTGGAAAGATTGATAAAGCGCTTCTGATCTTTGCCCAGATGAAAGCTTTGAATTTTGTACCAGATTTGTACACCCACAACACCATTTTGGAGATCTTGGGTTGTGCAGGTCGCATTGATGACATGCTGGGTCAGTTTGGGTCCATGAAAGAAGCTGGTATTGACCCAGATGTGGTTTCTTACAATGCTGTGTTGAACAATTTGAGGAAGCTTGGGAAATTCGATATTTGCTTGTTCTATTTCAGGGAAATGGGTGAAAATGGAGTTCAGCCAGATTTGCTGACTTATACAGCAATGATTGAGAGCCTGGGCCGATCAGGAAATGTTGATGAGTCACTGAGACTCTTCAGTGAGATGAAGGCGAGGCAGATTCGTCCTTCGGTGTATGTTTACCGGTCACTGATCAGCAACCTGAAGAAGATGGGGAAGGTGGACTTGGCATTGAAGTTGATGGAGGAGATGAATTCATGTGATACAGAGTTTGCTGGTCCAACGGATTTCAAACGAAATAAACGCTTGTAAGTAGTTAGAAGCAGATATTTGTTTTGGTTTTGGACTTTGGAGGTCTCTTGGTATTGCCATTTGATGTAGTTGTATGGTTCTTGAAATCTGCCATTCACTTTCTGTGGTCATTTGCAAAGTGATGCTTATCATTAAGACATTGTTTCACATAGGTAAGGCAGACAATCAGCTCATGCTTCTTGCTCTAGCATATGCTAGGATGTCAAATTATGGTAATGTCAAATGTTGTTGAAAACCCAAAAGAACAGGTTTGTTGTTATTAGCAGACAAGGGAGTGCAATCCAACAAGAAAACATCTCCAAGAGGAAATCTTAAAAAGTTTCATACTGATTACTACTACTCAGATTGTCAAGGCTGAAACAAATACATCTTGCAAGGAAAGCAAGGAAAATAGCTTCATCTATTATTGCACAGCAGAGAAACTACAGACTTGCAAACCCATTGACAGAAATAGAAAGCATACTTACTCCATAACAAGAGTTATGGCTCACCAAAATCAAGCTAAACTTCAGAATAAAAGTTAACCAATTCAGTGGAGGTAAGTTCCTCCATTATTCCACTTATTCTTCCTCAGCAGCTTCTTCTGCAAAACTCAATTCCTGGCAAAACTCCTCCTTGGTGCTAAAGTAGGGCTTCATCCCAACCAATTCAGCTACTCTTTTGGCTGGCCCTGAACCCCTTGGAGTATCATTCCCACATCGGACAGTCCTAATCTTCGGAAGCACATCACCCATCTCAGCAACATTGCAAGGTGACTTATCCTCCTCCTGTACACCTTGGTACACCACTATCTCACTTGGAATCTCCCACCTCTTCTTCACACGGCTCTCCGGCCCTTGGCTCCTTGATGTCTCCCGGCCAATGCCACGTGGCTTTCCTACCAAGGACACCCGCCTCTTGTCACACCTCTTACCATCATCCTTATCATCCTCAGGCCAAGACCTCTTCCGTCCATCACTCACTGCCGAATTACCAATCTGATTGTACCTGCTTGCCACAACCCTCCCAGCCTTGAATGGTGTTTTCTTTGCAGCCACAGACTTCTCACCTCCATCTTTAAAGAGCTTCTTGGGTTCAATTGATGCAAGAACCTTGTCTTCCTTCTTCACAGGCCTTTTCGACCCTCCAACAGTAGTTGCAGCCTGTTTAGGAACTTGAACCTTGGACACAGTTTTACGCGATTTCGGGCTCAAACTCAAACTCTTGCCCCTCTCTTTTGTAACCCTCAATTCATCAATGTCCTGAAGCTTCCAAAAGCAAGATTTCCGGCGACTCTGTGTTGCCTGAACAGGGGTTATTTCAAGCTTACTCGGCCTCCGAAATCCGGCTCCAGCTATAATCTCCGAGGGTCCCAGACTCATTCCTCTCCTATTACTCTTTGGTGTCGCTCTTAACATTAAAGACTCGATCTTTTTTAGCCCCTCTAAATTCTTAACACTCTGTTTCGGCTCCATGAACTTCGCCGCCACAACCCTTCCACGCTTTTCTACTGTCTTCTCGTTCCTCTCAGCCTTTTCGAGTTTAAGCGCTTCGAGCCTCGAAGACAATCGACTTATCTCCTTCTCAATTGCTTCAATCTCCGCATCAATCTTCCCCTCATCTCGAACTTTCTCTTCTCTTTCTTCAACCTCCTCAAGACCCTTTTTCTTTGCGACCACCGAGAATGGCTCAATATTAGTATTTGTGTTCAGCGGCTTAAAGGGTACTGAAGATTTGACGCAAGCAGGGGTTTTCAGAATCGCGGGGCTCAGATTCTCTTTGCTGCAATCGGATTCAAACGACTCGGAAGAACGATTCAGCAAGAGGGGTTGTAGTAGATCAGACCAAGAAGCTTTGATGGCGGAGGAGCCTTCAGAGTCTTCGTTGTCGAAGGCGGCGTTGTTCCACACCTGAAGGTCCTGTGCGTTAATGGCATCTGGGTATTGAAAAACACTCATTTTCACTCACTGGGTACCAACAATTTTAGACAAAGATAATCGACGATGGGTTGGTTCTTTACCTTGGTTTCTGTATTGTATGTATATGTACTGATTCTCTATGATTCTTGGATGAGAGAGAGATAGAGAGAGGGGGAGATCTTGATTTAGAAGAAATTCTTGTATTTTGAGATTTTTGACCGTTGGGAAGAAATTAAGACGTTGGGGTCATTTTGAGGCTCCGTGTAATCGTAGCCGCTGGATGCTAAACGGCTCCTATAGACGCTCCGATTTGATTTAAAGTTTTCTTTTTCGTTATTTTTGGACAGATTTGTTTTTTGACCTTATTTAAGTAAATTTAGAAGCATTGTACATGTTTTATATTGTCAAGTAGGTAGGAGAATATACGTTTTGGCTACATTTTGCAAATTGTTTACAATTTCATGAACTTCGTAACTTTTCCAAAGAAAAAAATAAAATAACATAAAAAGATAAAAAATAATAATTTTTGATTGAAAATACGAGTTTTTTGTTTATGTTTTTGTTGTTGGTTGAACTAGTATACATGAAACTCTGGGTACAGCTCATGAGTTGTGACCCAATAAATTTACAGAAAACAAAAACCATGATAAGAGTAAAAACATTAGTTGAAAGACTAATAGAATTTGTAGCTCAAGTGAATAAAAGCGTTTTCCTGCCTAAGAGATCCTGTGTTCTAACTTCTAATACTCTCCAACCCGACCCTCAGCCCATTCCATTCTCTTACTATAGAAAAGCTCCTCTATTATATGACAAATGTGGATTAAAAATCATAGAAGAGTTTTCAGAATTAAAAAAAAATCAATTTCTAGAACCAAAAAAAATAAAATAAAACTGAGCATTGCAGACGTGGCAGAGTGTGAAGCATGAGATTGTCTTCGACGGCCAGGATTAAAAGCCTGGAATAATGAGGCACCAATCCAGTCAGGCAGCGGATCCAGGTAGACACTAGACCGGTCTGAGCAGAGTCCCTGGTGCTCTGGAACTCGAACTCTTGGCTACTTTCGGCTTCTTCAAGTGGGTTGGGGGGTATTTGGATATGCTGGACAGAATTTCGAATTAAGTTCCTGGAATTGAATTCGAAGATGGATTCAGGGAGGCAGGTGTTCACCGTGGATCTTCTAGAAAGATATGCTGCCAAGGGGCGCGGAGTTATCACCTGTATGGCTGCCGGAAACGACGTCATTTTATTGGGAACCAGTAAAGGTTGGATCATTCGACACGATTTTGGCCTCGGCGATTCATATGGTGCGTTATTCTTGTCTATCAATTTTCTGGCATTCAATTCCTTGAAGATTTACACACACCATGTGATGAGAAAATGGAAATTCAATTTCATTATTTTTTTTTTTTTTTTTTTTTTTTTTTTTTTTTTTGTTGCTGATGAATCTTGCTGAAAAGTTAATCTTTGAACTGTCATGGATTTCGAATATGAGCTTATGCCAATGTGATGAGATAAAGCTTTTCCGAGCTGACTTTTGAGCTTTGTGCTTTGTTTTTCCAACTAGATATGAATGCTTAGGAACAGTTTAGTTCGATATTTATACTGATTCTAAGATTGCACAGAGGAAAATGTTTCGCTTTAGTTACTGAATTCTTTGTGTCAAGCTCAGTCGAGCTAGGTGGGTATTTAAAACTCAATAAAGCCCCTTCTTTGATTGGGTTGACTTGATTAATTTTGCATTCTATTCTATGTAAGATCAAGCATTGCTTGATGGTACCTGTTCTTTTGAGCTATAGATATTGATCTCTCGGCGGGTCGTCCTGGGGAGCAATCCATCCATAGAGTTTTTGTTGATCCTGGAGGGAGCCACTGTATTGCCACTGTTGTTGGTAGTGGGGGTGCTGATACGTTCTATACTCATGCAAAATGGACCAAGCCTCGTATTTTAACCAAGCTCAAGGGTCTTGTTGTAAATGCCGTCGCCTGGAACAGACAACAGATAACAGAAGGTAATTTATCAGTCCATTGCCTATTTTTCTCCATTGCATTTGGATGGAGTTATTGTACATATTAAGTCATTGAGCTATTGCTTGGGATTTTTTTTCAATAACAGCTTCGACAAAGGAAGTCATTCTCGGTACAGACAATGGCCAACTTCATGAAATGGCTGTGGATGAGAAGGATAAGAAGGAGAAATACGTGAAGTTTCTTTTTGAACTATTAGAACTTCCAGAGGCCTTTATGAGTTTGCAGGTAATCTTTGTTCACCTTTTCTTATGGGAAATTAATTCTGACAGAGTTGCACCAATTTGTAACTCTATGCATCATCATCTTTATCTCATTCTTTGTGTGCAGATGGAAACTGGGACCATTCTCAATGGAACTAGATACTATATAATGGCTGTAACTCCTACACGACTCTATTCTTTTACTGGTATTGGATCGCTGGAAGTAAGTTTGGCTCTAACACCTATTCTTGTGTTGGATTTATTGAAATTGGGTAACATTGGCATAGTGAAATTGTCAATTATGTTCATGGTTTCAATTTTCAAAAACATACGTGCACGGTTCCAAAAATTTCTACTTTAGTGGGAGTGAGCTACGATTTACATTAGATGGCGACAATCATGCACTGGTTGGAGGTTGTACCATAGTTCTGGGTTCAACTATTTGCAACAAAAATCAGCATAAAAGATGTAAGATTTTTATTTGAAAAAAAAATTAATAATAATAACATTTGTATTAAAGTAAGGACATAAATATGTAGTAGCTAGCCAAATGGTGTTTGGAGATGGCGACGTAGAGTTGCATGCTGTTGATTTTATACTAAGGAAAGTTAGTACACGGGTGATCTAAGGGTTTCACTGTTTCACAGGTCTATTACCCTGTTGTATTCTTATGCCTAGAACAGACGGTCATGATAAATTTACATTGCTTTTTCTCCTGTTATATGGTGTTAATCATTTCCAGTGCACAACATATTTGTTTGTCTTACAGTCACCTGTTTTTCCTGATTCTTACTTGTTCTGCATTTCTAGACCGTTTTTGCTAGTTACTTGGATCATGTGGTGCATTTCATGGAACTTCCTGGTGAAATACCTAACAGGCAAGTGTTTGTGTTGACACTAATAAAGTTATTTGCAAGATGAGATACAAAAATTTCTTACAATTTTTTTTCTTTGAATTATTGTCCATTAAAATAAAAAAGAAAAAAAGATCACTTTATGATTTTCAAGAATTTGTGATGTACTGTTTCCTGTCGTTCTTATTGACATTTTTCAGTGAACTGCATTTCTATATCAAGCAAAGGAGAGCGGTACATTTTGCATGGCTTTCTGGTGCTGGTATCTATCATGGTGGTTTAAATTTTGGGGCACAACATAGGTACATGACATTCTTTTCTTCCTTGTCTAATGGTACCGTCTGTCTAAATTCTGATCATTCTGGCTACTGCGTAGTTTTGTGGTTCGCTTGCTTTCCTTGACATATCTAATGATAGTCCACATGAAAACCTTCTCATAGTATGGATTTTTGGAAATCTTTTGGGCAGTTCTCCTAATGGAGATGAAAATTTTGTGGAGAACAAGGCTCTTTTGAACTATTCAAGTTTGAGTGAGGGTGCTGAATTGGTGAAACCCAGTTCTATGACAGTTTCAGAATTTCATTTCTTGCTTCTTATCGGGAATAAGGTTAAGGTATGCATATATTAATTCTCTGAATGACTTTTTTCTTGTGATCAGTACTGTTATCTCTGTGCTCGTACTGGGTATCATGTTCTGAACTACTGCTGGTGCTAAACATTAGGTTAAATGAAAAAACCTATATGCTGTGCCCTAGAAGGTGGTTTTTTAGTGTTCACATAAAACAGCCTAAATACTGCACTTGTCCTCTCCTTTTAGCTTCCAGACTTGTTTTATGAGTGTAAATGTTTTGAAGGTTGTAAACAGAATAAGTGAGCAAATTATTGAGGAACTTCAGTTTGATCAAACACCCGAGTCAGTTTCAAGGGGTGTCATTGGATTGTGCAGTGATGCCACTGCTGGGTTGTTCTATGCATATGATCAAAACTCTGTATTTCAGGTTTGCTTCTTTTTATGACTAAATATTTTCTGGATTTAATTAAGTTTGCATCAGACAGTAAAATTTTCCGTACTGCTGGATTTGAGAACATAATGTAGGTGTCTGTTAATGATGAAGGCCGAGACATGTGGAAAGTCTACCTGGACATGAAAGAGTATGCTGCTGCTCTGGCAAATTGTCGTGACCCACTTCAACGGGACCAAGTATATTTGGTGCAGGTGGTATCTAACTGATGGTTACACTTATTGGCAATGATTGTAATCGTAATTTATTCTCACAAGTTATAGAACTTAATAAATAAATAAATAATTATGAACCTCACCGCCTCACCGCCTCACAGTGTTATGTATTTATTTTCTGAATCTTGTATTTACCTGGGTAGTCAGTAACAAAGTAATTCGATTTGCAGGCTGAAGCTGCACTTGCCTCCAAGGATTATCTTAGAGCAGCATCTTTCTATGCAAAGGTGAATTCTCTATTTCCTTGATCTCTCTTTTTTCAATAATTTTATTACAATAATGCCTATAGATGCAGCAGGACGTTTGTTGTTTCTTGATCTCTTTTTTTCTTTCTTTCTAATCTAATTGTCTTATAATTGTGCAGTCACCCTGATGACATGTAGGAAATTCCACTTATGCTTCACTCATTGAACTTACTATTGTCTGTTTAACTATGAAAGCTGCTCCAAAAAAAAAGACCAAAACAAAAAAAAAAGCTATAAAGTACCACATATTTGTACAGTCCTCGTATGTCTTCTCATATTCTAAGGCAATACCTAAGAAATTGCCAATTAGTATCTTTTCAATGAACAACTATATTATTAACCATTAGTAACATTCAATGTGTGTCCCTTTCCATTGTACCACACTCTGATTATTCAGATCTCATATTTGACGGATTCTGAGAATTAGCCAAGATCTTTTTTACGAATAAGTACACTAGTAACCATTAGTAAAATGAAAACATGTTGTCCCTTCTGCAAACATAGCAACTCTGTACAAATGAACCAACACACCTGTCTCGCTAGTGTAATATGATGCCCCCATGTTATTCTCCTGCATTCATCATTTAATTTGTTTAACTGAGATTTAAATATGGTTCTTCAATTTGGACTTGTGTTAAACATATAACCTCACTGTAAAAAGCACAATGAATCCTTCCCCTGCCCTGCTCTGTTAATATGTTGTTTTATTTATATTTTATGGCTGAGAACAAGATACTTCATAAACTTTCCCTGTCTATATTCTCTTTATCTTTTCTTGATCTCTGGTTCTCAAGGTCCTCTTATTCCAACTTAGGAACTATTTGAACTGGTTACAGCTCGTTTGTTAAATGATAGGATTGTCTTGCAGATTAATTATATATTATCATTCGAGGAGATCACTCTGAAGTTCATCACTGTAAATGAACAGGTACTTGCAAAATTATTCTTCGCATCTAGTGTGTGTTTTGATTTGGTATTGAACTCATACATTTATGGGCTTTTTTATTTCACTTTGCATGTTTGCAGGATGCTTTGAGGACCTTTCTATTGCGGAAACTTGATAGCCTTGCGAAGGATGACAAATGCCAAATAACAATGATTTCAACATGGGCAACTGAATTGTACTTGGATAAGGTGTTGCTTCTTTCTTTGCTTAGCTCTTGGATAAAGAACTACCTTTCCTTTTCTTTCCTGTCTTATTTTAGATAACTTTGTAAAAGCTGCATACTTGTCTTTTTAACACATCCAAAGGCAAGATGGAGATAGATTAAAGATGATGCATCCCACATTAGATGAACTTTGAGACCATCTTTCTTTTGACTTCTCCCACTTCATTATCTATGTACAATTTAAATAGAATTATGAAGATGTTGAAACTTTCCCTCAAAATTTACGAAGCAGGTATTTATATGTTGTTTTCTATTTTAGATAAATCGGCTACTATTGGAAGATGACACTGCGTTAGATAATCGTAATTCAGAGTATCACTTGATCATGAAAGAATTTCGTGCATTTCTTAGTGACTGCAAGGATGTATTGGATGAGGCAACTACCATGAGACTTTTAGAAAGGTAATTGTTACAGAATCGGCTCTGAATTGTTTACCTTCTGACCATTCTTTTCAAATTATTATATGGCTGTGGAATCTCATATTATTTATCATGTTGTATTTGATGTCATCTACAATGAGATTATTGTGAAACAAGAATGTACCATAAGGGACTTGGGCCAAGTTATCTTTGTGGGTCTTTCTCTTTAGATTTTATTCCAGTTGAAAGATCACTATAACAAAGGATCCTCTGGCTACATCTTGCAGTTATGGTCGAGTTGAAGAGTTGGTGTTTTTCGCTAGTCTGAAGGAACTGCATGAAATTGTAGTTCACCATTATATTCAGGTGCTTTCGTGCTTACCATTTTTTTTTTGGGTTTCAGATTGTTATTATCACCTCTTAGTACTTCTATTTAAAAAAAATGTCCTTCTAGTCATGAATGATTTACTTTGACTGAATGCATATTAGCAAGGGGAGGCAAAGAAAGCATTGGAGGTGCTTCAAAAACCTTCTGTCCCTATAGATCTTCAGGTATAGGTCATGTTCCCTAACAGGTTCCACATGTTCTCAAGTTTTTATGTATTAATATTGTTATACATGCCTTTTATTTTATTGAATTATGAAATTCTTCACTTGCAGTACAAGTTTGCCCCGGACCTCATCATGCTAGATGCATATGAAGCTGTAGAGTCATGGATGGCAACAAACAACCTCAACCCAAGAAAACTCATTCCTGCAATGATGCGTTATTCAAGTGAACCACATGCAAGGTATTATCTCATGAATATCCTTGACTAGAAATTGCAATTATGATATAAAGATCTGGCTAATTCTCTTTGGATACCGATTCCTTTCCCTTGAAGCACATAAAAACTTGTAATTTTTTTAAAATAAATAATTGCATAAATCCACTACACTTTTCTTTGTTGGTTTTAGCCATAAAACTTGAAATTTCTAGTATACCCCTAATAATTGCATATATCCACTATACCCTCTGTATGTTCATCTTGAGTAGTTGGGATTATGTATTGCAATACCTTGTTTTTATCCATGTACCCCTCCTCTCATATGACATGCACAATTCTTTTAAGCAGATACAAATTTTGTCTCCCATTGTGTATTTTATACTTTGGTCACTGAAGCAACATCTCTTTCATTGTCAGGCACAAACTTCTAGTTGATACTGAATTAGTAATTAACAGTTTCCATAAAACTTGGGATTTCTATTCCTGATTGTTGGTTGATGACGCATATGGTTTTACTCTTCTTTCTTATTGTTATTTATTGCTTTGTATATCCAATTCAGAAATGAAACACACGAAGTCATCAAATATTTGGAATACTGTGTTCATCGTTTGCATAACGAGGATCCTGGAGTTCACAACTTGCTATTATCGCTATATGCCAAGCAGGTTGGATTTCTTGATTAACAATTTTCAAATGATTTTAAATATGATCATGGTTTAGTGGTTTTGATAGATACATACATAATGTATAGATATATGTATATATAATTGTCTGTATGTGGATAGATAATATATTCCTACATGAAAACCTGATGCCTCTTTTTTCCTAACTAACTTCAAGAGGAAAAGTTAATTCAACTTTAAAATCTGAACACAGATAAAGGGAAAAAATTGATTTATTTGTCACTTATAAACTTTGTAATTCGTAATTTTCAGAAAAATTAATTCAAATTTGGTTGAGTTTTTAAAAGTGAATTATAGCCATATCTCTTGTTTTTCCCTCGGTTTTATTTTAGATGCAATTATATATGCAGAATTTCTTTGGGTTTATATATTTTTCATCCCTCTCCACTATATGTATGAATGTATTTCATTGCTTTCATAATAATTTACAGGAAGATGACAGTGCACTTTTACGTTTCCTACAATTCAAGTTTGGAAAAGGACGGGAAAATGGCCCAGAGTTCTTCTATGATCCCAAGTATGCTTTACGCCTTTGCCTCAAGGAAAAGCGAATGCGTGCCTGTGTTCATATATACAGTATGATGTCCATGCATGAAGAAGCAGTTGCTCTTGCCCTACAGGTTATAATTTGAGGCTAATTTTTGTGATTCAAATATTGTTGCCCCAATCTATATATCGTTTTACTTGTAGGTGAAGGATAAAGATCATTGCTTCAATCTTAGTACATCATATTCTCGTTATTTGTATTGCAATGCCCTTTTTTGATTTATTTATGTATCAGAACTATCTTTGTTTAGAACATATGCTTCTTGTGGGATAATTAAGATCAAGGTTATCTGTTTGTTGATGTGGTTATGAATTCTAGTTATCTTGTTTCTCCAACTCAGAGGAATAGAAACAATCACCCCCGGCTAATATTCTCTTCTTCAGTGGAACCTAGCCAAATCTAATTGTTATGTTTTTGCTCCAGTATGTTGAAATGGCTTTTATCCTATTGTTACATAAGTTGTCCTTTTGGCGGCTTAGGTTGATCCTGAGCTTGCTATGGCTGAAGCTGACAAGGTTGAAGACGATGAGGACTTGAGAAAGAAGCTTTGGCTCATGGTTGCGAAGCATGTTATAGAACAGGAAAAGGGAGCTAAAAGGGAGAACATACGAAAGGCAATAGCATTTCTTAAAGAAACTGATGGCCTTTTAAAGATAGAGGATATATTACCATTCTTTCCAGATTTTGCCCTGATTGATGACTTCAAGGTAGGATTGCTGTAACCTTCTGCATTGTCATGCTAGGGCTTATTATGATTCAAGTCTTTGTCGGCTTACAAGTTTTTCTTCTTCTTTTCTTCCAAAAGTGTTTTACTGCCTTTGTTGTTGGCCACCTTATATGATTTCTACTTTCTTTATTTGATTTTCTCTGTCTTTATTTAAGAGTTAAATCGTGAATTTATTTGCATGCATGAGAAAACATGTTTTTGTGAGGAGAAGACTACCTTTTTTTCGGGTCAAAGACTCTACCAATTAATTTTGTAGTTGTTTGATCCTCCCAGTATATAAGATGTCTATTATAAAGTGGCTTTCAGAATATTTACTTGTATGATGCTGTTGGAACTATAAATTTTCACTCCCGTTGTATTTGAATTGCATCTATATCTATGTAGGAGGCAATTTGCTCATCATTAGAGGATTACAACAATCAAATCGAACTACTGAAGCAGGAGATGAATGATGCGACACATGGTGCAGATAACATTAGAAACGACATTAGTGCACTGGCTCAGAGATATGCTGTGATTGATCGTGATGAAGAATGTGGGGTATTGCTCGTGCTGATGTTATAGTTTCTTAATCAGATTGATTTTTTGATTAAGATACAGCTTATTTTGCAATCACACTCCCATAGAGATTTTTGTGCATGCCTCTTGGCTTATCTATGAATACTGAACTCACCCCACCCACCACTCCAACAAAGAAAAGAAATACGGAAACACACACACATGCACATGCACAGTTCTCCTGGTGTGAGCTAGGAAACAAGTTTTTTCTTCTTCTTTCATCCATTAAAGAGTTGAGTGACTGCATGGTATTGGGTCATAATGCAATCTCTTTAAGTTGGGTTGGCTCATACTTGTTTTCTTTTTCTCAATATCTAAGATATTTTAGGCCAAAAAATAATCTGAGATAGTATTCTTCTTCTTCTATCAGGTTTGTCAGCGTAAGATTTTAACTGTGCGTAGGGAGTATCAGTTGGCTAGGGGCTATACATCAGTAGGCCAAATGGCCCCATTTTATGTCTTTCCATGTGGACATGCCTTCCATGCGGAATGCCTGATTGCCCATGTCACACGTAGTACAAATGAATCTCAAGTAAGTTGAAGTTTTGTCTTCTGTATTATTTCTTTGTTTTTTATTCTCATTGGTTGCATCAAGTGGAAAGCAGTAACTGAGGTATCATTCTTCTGGTTTGTGTCTCAGTTGCCATGTCAAAAGATTGTTCAGTATTTGTCATACTAATCCCATCTTTTAGATTTAAACGATCACCTGATAGTTTGAAAAGGCACTAACAGTGTTATTACCAAAATTTATTAAAAAGATTGAATAGAATGTTAAGATGTTTCATGGCTGATAACAGTGAAATGAATAATCATTATTCTAGAAGACTTTTGTATCATAAACAGGATTCAATATAAATGACCCTTGGGATAATGGAGATGATAGGTAAAGAAACCTTTAAATACATGTTGTCGCAGTAGTCTTGACTGGTTCAGAGATTGCAGGACAGAGTGCATAATCCATAAGCCTACATATTTGTACAGCTTAACATTTGAATTTTGTTATTTATGTAATTTATAGCATGAACGATAGACAATTCCAGTGACAGGATCTTTCTACTTGTCTCTTTTTTGAATCGTATTGCAGGCAGAGTATATACTGGATCTGCAGAAGCAGCTTACTCTACTTGACGGGGAAGCTAGGAAGGATGCAAATGGTAGCCTAACTGAGGAAACGATAACAAGCATGGCGCCTGTAGATAAGGTCTGCATTTTGATCTTATTTGGCCCTATCTTCTTTTCCTTTACATTTTATCTTATTTTGATCTATTTTCTGTTTCATGGCTGGTAAATGAGTCTATATGATTATTAGCCAGTTTCAATAAGATTTTAGTTTATCTACCATCCTAAAATTGAAAAGATTTCAAAGTTAAATTACAGGTATTTGGTGATGACTTACATGCACCTTAAATTCTATATAGTAAACTAATCCAAGTACTTTATGTTAAAAATGACGCAGCTCCGATCACAGTTGGATGATGCCGTCGCCAGCGAATGCCCATTTTGTGGGGACTTAATGATCCGTGAGATCTCTCTGCCTTTCATCCTGCCAGAGGAGCAACAGCAGAATAATTCATGGGAGATAAATTCACGTAATCTTGGAAACCAGAGGAGCCTGTCTTTAAGTTTATGATCATATTTCTCTGCGTCTGCGTTTGGGGTGTGCATGTGAGTTGTGTTCCTACAGAGATGTGTCCTTTGGGTGTTGTGAAGTTTTGGCATCATCTTCTTTTTTATATTTAATGGGCGTCGTTAGGGTTGTTAACAATGCCCTTGTTTCTTGTAGCATTTATTTGGTGCCACTGCCATTATATGTAATTACAAAAATGGTTTGTATTGCCAAATAAACTAAATAGTTGTGTAAAAAACTTGCGTAGGTGTAGCATTTTCTTTTTTTAATTAATTATATTCTCCATATGAGAATAATTTCCGTCTAAATTTACACCCAAGAAACCAAGAAGATGATTTGAGAGCACTGTAGTGTAGTAAATTATAATATTCCGTACTCAAAATAACATAACATAAATCAAGATTCAACAACAAAGTCCTTTTTACCAACGTTGGTAAAAAAGCAACTATAAAAAAAAATGTAAAAACAAAACAAACTGAAACTTGTAAGAACACTAATGCCTCTCTTTTTTGTTGTGCTCTTTCTTTATTCATGAATTTATTATCTCGGTTCGAACTCGAATTCTCTCCTTGAGGCTGCTGCAAGCTTATTTTGCTGTCCCAACAATACAAAGCCATTGACCCACAAAGATGCTGTTGCAATTGATGTTAGGATTGATTGCAAAGAACTCAGCGTTCAGTTTGAACTTCTGCATGATCCCATTGCAAGTATCACCAGCTTCTACCCCATAAACTTTTGGCATCTTGGAGTGGCTTTCACATGAAACTGCACCATTAAAAATTCAAAAGAAAATTCGAACACAAAAGGGAATATAAAAGAAGACCAAAGATTGATTATCAGCTATAACTAGATAATTAAAATTCTAATCTTGCAAAACTTACTGCCTAGTTGTTTGCCCTCAGCAAAGGAGATGATGACGGAAAGGCAAAGCACAAGAACCAAATTAAGGGACATGGTAAGTTTGTTTTTAGACATAATCACAGCCATTATTGCTTTAAGTATATGTCATTACTTGTAAGTTTTTAGTAAGAACTCTGTTTAGTGTTTAGGGGATGAGATTACTCTTTATATTTTCTGTATATTCTCCTATCTGAGTTTTTGCTCTTTCCGGAATGTTCTGTTTATTTTTGGTTGTCATCCGTGGATTCCTTCAAAAATGTCCTGAGCTCGTCACTTTAGCTGATAAGGGAAATGGGTTGCTTGCTTGCTTGTCTTTTAGCCTGTATATGTATCTTGTAGGGACTCCTGACTTCAGTTGCATGAATTCCAAAACTTGTGCTAAAAAACACAACTTGTGTGAGCAAAAGCGCATAATTTTAGTTTCGTAGCCTTGAATTATCTTGATAATTGATATGAGATCGTTTGATGGTTTGAAGTAATTGCTGCAACTGTTGCAAAACCCCTCTACAGATGAAAATATAAGCTCAAGTAGTCTAGCCGTCCGGCTATACTATTTAAATACATTATATTTAAAAGGTGCACTTGTAAAACAGTATCGCCGTGCGGCTGTACTGATTTTAAAAAACATTATAAAACTCAGTATAGCCGAGCGCCTGTAATATTTTTATTTTTATTTTAAAAAAGGACCCTCCAAAGATTAGAAGCCACGTGTCACAACCATATAGCCGTCCGGCTATACTATTTAAAAAAACAAATCATAGTATAGCCGCACGGCTATACATGTTTGAAAAGTGCACGTGTAAAATAGTATAGCCGTCCGACGATACTATTTTTATTTATAAATTTTTTTAAAAGGACACTCCATAGATTACACGCCACATGTTAAAAAAAGTACAGCTGTCCGACTATACGATTTTTCAAAATAAAAATAAAAAAATTGTAGTATAGCCGACGGCTATCCTATGTAAATACATTATATTCAACGTGTAAAATAGTATAGCCGTGCGGCCATACGGGTTTTAAAACACAAATTGAAAACAGAGTATAGCCGCCCGGCTGTACGATTTTTATTTATTTTTTAAAAGGTCCCTGCAGAGATCAGACGCCACGTGAAAAAAAGGTATAGCCATCCGGCTATACGATTTCTCAAAAAAAAATACAAATCGTAGATGGCTTGTGTTAGATCTCTCATTATTACATTTAGTGAGGTTCTAAACAGACCTCACAAAAATGCACAATTGTTGTTAAACCAAATCATCACTTTGCTGCTTGTGCAAAATGAGCCTGGATTCTTGGGAAGAACAGAATGCCCAAAGAGAAATAGAGAGAAACTTAAGTCCATTTAAATGGAGCTGGTTAATTTTTTCAGATACAACCTATTACATTCAAAACCTATTACATTCATCCTTTTTCTTTTGTCAAAACCTATTACATTGATCGCATAACCTACTAAGCTATCATATGAAGTTTTTTTTTATTTACCCTTTTTGGTCTAACCATAGAAAGTTAGGAACTTCGGTCTACAGCCCTAAGTCTAAACCCTAACCCTAATCATCATCTTCAATTGGCAACTTCACATCGCCATCAGCCTCTTCTTCACCCTCACAAGCTATGCAATACAACACAGTGACTGCCACCGTGTGCCACAGAAGCAAGAATGAAGCAAGGAGGCCCAATGCCCAACTCCGCAGTAAACTAGCTGACCCCTCCGACTTCATCCACAAAATCCCCAACCCCCAAGTGGCAAACACATAAAACCCCATTAAACACCACACCACTCTTTTCAGCCCCCTTTGTCTTACCAGCCCGCTGCTCCTCTCTAGGGCATCCTGACCCAATTTCGACTCTGCCACCACCACGGCCGGAGCTAGGCTCCACATCAAGTCACGGTTCTGTAAGACCATCAGAAAAAACAAACCCAAGAACGCAGTGAAATAGGGGCCAATAACAGGGACCATCAAATCCAGCAACAGCCGGAACAGTGAGGAGGAAGACGCAATCTGCATCAGGGAAAGCACGCGTGTGAACACCAGAGGAAGAACCCAAGACATGCCGGAGTTCACAGCGGCGGGTAGGCCATGGAGCCCGCGAAGCGCGCTGTTGGTGGCGGATCCCACAACGCAGAGATAGGGGATGATGTCTAAAGCCAGGAAGACGACCAAACCAAAAATGGCGGATTGGGTATTTTGAGGCTGAGAAGTAGTAGGAGGAGGAGGAGGAGGAGTTGTGAGAAATAGTATCTGGCGGACTGGTTTGGCGACGGCTTTAAGCAAAGCTGGGTAGAAAACTGTGGAGAGCTTGAAAGCGTGGGGAACGAGCAACAAGAAGAAGTGGACTGAGCAATGAGAGATCATTAGGCTCAGTGATTTGAGAAGCACGGTGGACAAGCTCACCGATTGGGTTGCCATGGCGGCTAGGGTTTGGAAAAGCGGCGCAGAAAAATTGGGGACGACAAAGCGTGTAGTTTTTACTGTTTTACTGGACTAAAATACTATTTATAGACATAGGTCAAAGTTTACTTGGTGGCTGGCTATTTCTTTCTAGGGCTTTCCTTTTACTTTTTACATCCCCATTTTCTTTCCCTTGTTTTTGACCGTTGATTTTTCTTGTTGGTATTTTTGACCGTTGATTCTCCTTGAAAATAATGGAATAATAATGCATGTGTAAAAATCACTTGCCAACATTTTACTTAAATGGGAGTGTTAAAAACACTTGGCAACATTTCTTACCATGACGGGATTTTGGGCTGCTGCTCTGCTCTGGGATTGCATTGAACCAAGCATTAAATAAGCATCGCCTTTTCAAATGTAAAAACTTTCTAACAAGACGCTCATATCATTAATTACCCATTTCAAGATGGTTAATATGTATGCTTAAGCAAAATTGGTAAATCCTTAAATCATATCTTGTTAAAATTTGTGCTCCCTCCAATCTCTCTACAAGTCACACACCTCTCCAACGACATCTCGTATAAACTCCTTCGAAACCCTCCAAAGGCCCTCTCAATTTTTGTCAAAACATGTTTCTTCTATTTTACTTCCAACAGATGTGGCACTACGGATTAGTATTTAAGTAGATTCCTTGCTTCTTCATCTCGATTATAGCATTACTGCAGGATGCGTTTTATGCCAAGTTTCGGGTATTCTTAGATTAAACTAGGCTTGGTGGTTTGTGGTTCGTGTTTTCCAACATCCTTGCTCGAGTACCGCTGCATCAATGCTCCAGGGTTTTGGTGCTTGGTAATGGTCTGCCTTTCACTTATATTTATCATGCTTGTTCCGAAATCACCGATTGTGCCAAAGAAACAAGGCAGGCAACTTGAAATTGCGATTTTGAATGAAGAAATTATATTGTTGAGCTCAACCTACACATTTTCCAACTTGAACAAAACGAAACACCGAGTTACGTGACCACGGTGCTTTAAAACATATCTATTGATGAGTGCACCAAATTTCTGTCCTCACAGAGAATGCACACACCCAAAGAACGGTACTTGCTATTAATAACTATTTTGATGTACAATCCGTGTTTATATAAGTAGTCTCTTATTCTTCTGAGTCACCGAACACAGTGAGTTGCAGAGCCAGAACAGGGGCTCTGTTCATTGAAAGATAACAAATTGCTTCAGCCATGTAGACTAATATTGCATTAAACACTGATCAATTACTGGAGGAGGCGTTTGGAGAACAGCAAAGTTCATCCTCTTTATTCCTACAATTAATTATATATATTTCCTCAATCGAACATGATCAATTTTTTGCAACTTGCAGCTCAGTTCACAGTGCCTTGAGTACAAAGCCATTGACCCACAAAGAAGCTGTCGCAATTGATATTAGGGTTGATAGAGAGGAAGAAATCAGAACTCAAATTGAACTTTTCAATAACAGAACCACATGTATCACCCTCCTCTGCACCGTAAACTGAATCGCAATTGATATTAGGGTTGCTAGTTTCTTCCTTTCCAAATCCAACTGCACCAAACATTAACGCATGTATTAAATATGAACAACTAAGAAATAATTTTAAAGGAAAATAAGGAATTAAGTTGGGAAGAATTCTTACTGCCAAGTTGTCTACTCTCAGCCATGGAAACCATTAGAAGAAGAGAGAGCAGTAAAATCAAGTTCATGATTGCCACTTTGCTGCTATTCTTTGCCATTTGCACTTGTTTCTCTGAGTATATGTAATACAGTAAAAACTCTGTTTCTTTGGGTTGTGCTTTTCTCTATATATTTATAGAGGAAAGCCCACAAAAAGAAACCAAGGTTGTGATAGGAGCTTGGAACATTGTAACTTTGATTCCCTTGGTTCAAGAGGGCCGGCTTCTGCAGGTTTTAATTATAATTACTAGATTTGTTTGCAATGAGATTTAGAGGCTAATTTTCTATCGCTCAGTATATGTGAGGAACAATGTGGCCGGTTCACAAAACTTAAATATATTAAGCACTAGACACTGCAGGCCGTAGTATCAACTTGTACGTCTTTGTATAGTATCAAAGTATGGAGTGACACACTTGATAAAATTGCATGATATCCTTTATGTCATTTATGTGGCATGCCTAAATTTGTAAGAAATTGTTAATATGATATTGACTATCCACATTTTGCGTGTGATAGTATGCTATAAATATAGCTTCGTGTATTATTTCACCAGTCTGTTTTGTTTAGTTTATGTATGGACTTAATATAGTTGAATCATGAGATATTGGAAGCAATTAAATAAAGGGAGCTTTAGTTTTCACACACACAATATAGTTTACTATTTAGGTAAATAGGAATTCAATTTCAGCATTAGGAAAGCCAAATGCCAAAATATAGTACCTATTTTTACCATTATATAATTAAAGAACATCAAAATTACAAAATATGCCATTATTTTCAAATTTCAAGACTTAATTTTAAACCAAAACTTATAGCTGTATATGGATCAGTAAAACGACATCAAAACAACAAAAACTAAACCCGAAACGACATCTACTCAAATTGAACGCTAACCCATTTGCATGACCATTCGCCTTCACCTCGAGAAATTGCCTTTCCACAGTTTCCTTCACACTATTCCCAAAAATCTCAGAGACGATCGTTCCATGCTAAACCATTCGCATCAACAACGACCACCAACGACGGCGACCACCAACGACGACCACCAAACCATCGAAGCCTTTTCTCACTCTCTCGAAAAAAAAGGTAAGAAAATCAACGCTCTAACACAAATTTGCCTTCGTTTTCAGGGATTAAGGATTCTAGAGATTTTAGCTATTGTTCATTATGCATGCCCCCTTTGGAAAAATGGATGACTATTTGGATTCACAAATACTCTTGGTTTAGGTTTTCCCTTCGTTTATAGGGATTAAGGATTTTAGAGATTTAACCTACTATTCATTCTTCATTCTGCAATGTAGTTTAGGTTTTGGGTTTAGTTTTGGTTTTGACTTTGTTGATCTTTCCATTTCATGTCAAGTTGATATATATTTCTGTGTTTTGTGTTGCTCCTATTATATTTTTATTATGTCTGATGTTTTGCATTTTGGATTGCTCCTTTTAAAAGAGGAAGAGCATCAAATATTTCTGTTTTTTGCATTGCGGTTTCCGTTAATGCAATGCAATGAACCACAACTGCGTTGCAGTTTCTGTTTTCTATTTTCTGCTCAACTATTTATACTTCTTCCTTGTAGTTTATCTCTACTTGTCCTAATTGTGTTTTCATCCCTTCTTGTTTCATATCACAAATGGCACAAAAAATGTCACCACAAAAAAATGAAGCTCAAAACCAACAAAAGCCAAGAATCAAGACACAAACCTCCATTAGCCTTGAAAATGCAAAGAAAACAACAAACAAAAACAGAAAACAATTCGAATCAGTAAATAATGTAGATGAGCAGTTGTAACATTACCATAGACTTGAAAATATTAGTCTGAAACTACACTACAGTTTCTAATAAAAAAACAGCACTGCAGTTTCTGATAAAAAACTGCAACAAACGGAAACTGCAGTGTAGTTTATGAAAACAAATCTGCTTAAGTGTGAAAAGAAACCAAAAGGCAAAGCCATGATAAAAATACTAAAACTAAGTTCAAAACATAATTAAGTCCATAAGTAGTTGTAAGGCCATCTCCAACCCTTGAACTCAAATCCAAAATTTGAGAAAACCCAAATTTGGACCCAAATATGGGTCCAAGTATTGCCTGGACCTAATATTATTCACTGGAGCCCACGCTGAGGTGGCAGAGCCCATGTGCTTCTGAAAAATGGTGGGACCCATGCTGGTTACATATTCCGAAGGGCTTGTCTGTGGCATAGGCCACTTGTTGGCACTAGATGAGAGAGCTGTTGGGCTTTGGCTGTCACCTTTTTATTATTATTTTATAAATCAAATAGTATCAATTGGGCCCACATGTTGGCTGTTTCCATTAAAAAAAATTTATGGAATTTCAATTTTTTTTATGTCAAATTGTTCAAAAAATTAAACTATGATGTTATTTAAAAAGATTAAATGAAGAAAAGTTATCCATTAAAAAAAAATAGACTTAAACAATTCTTAAACAATTGAAATAAAGTTGAGGACTTAAAATTTGAGTTTGGAGGGTTGGGAGAAAAATTTATTTGAGTCAGGGCAAAACCTAAATAGTCACTTTTTGGAGGGGGGAAATTTGGGTTTAGCCCCTCATGGATTGGAGAATGCCTAACATTCCCATAGAATAGAAAAAATTATTCTGAAATCAAAATATAGAACAGGAAACTGTAGTTTCTGATAAAAAATTGAAATAAACGGAAACTATAGTGCAGTTAATGAGAAAACATATGCTCAAATTTGAATAGAAACAAAATGGAAAAGCCATGATCAAAGTACTAAAACTAAGTTCAAAACATATTCAAGTCCATAAGCAGTTGTAACATTCCCATACATTTGCAGTGCAGTTTATGAAACAAGAAACTACAACAAATAGAAACGGCAATGCAGTTTATGACAGAAAATCAAAAAACTTAGAATAGAAATCAAAAGGAAAAGCCACAATCAAAGTGTTAAAACTAAATTTCGAAAACATAAGTCGATATAAACGAAAAAAGGTTCTCAAGTACTCATACCTCAACATCAAGGACTGCCAAAAAATCTCCCCAACCGAACATCAGCTCAAAATCAAATATGATCACAAAATGAAGAAGATACAAAATCGTACGCCACAAATTTGAGCTCGAAATAGCAGAACTAAGATGGAACCAGAGCACAAAAAATGGCACACCAAAACTGACCTTGATTCTGCATGCAAAAGCAAATTACACCCAAAATATAAAGATCAATCTAAATAACACAAAACATAATCAGAATAAAATAGAAAAACAAAGAAAATTGAACGAAAACCTACCAGAAAATCGAAGCTTCAATTGCAGCTAAACAAACCAAAGTTCCAAAAAGTCATTTACTTTGTAAGTTTTAAAGTTGGGCCAGGCTTTTTAAGAAGAAGGATAGCATTGTCTTTTCAGTTATTATTTTAAGCTAGCCCAACGAATCTAGGCCTCCTCTTTGGCCTATTCCAAAATAACAAGTATTTCCTAGTTATTAAAATAGTTTTTTAGTTAAATACCCAATTCTACACCTAGTCCTATTACAAAACCCTATACCATTTAATCTTTATAAACATACCCAAAATAAACCCAAAAATCAACAATTGTATATTTTTTAATTTAATTAATAAGATGAAATACCTTTGTTACCCTTTTAGCATTAAATTAGTTTTGGATCTCGTTTAAAATCTATAGAATGCAGAGAATATAAAAATGAGTGGTGATTTCCCCACTCCTTTTTCTCCTATTTTATCCACTTACACTCCTTTTTTATAACTAAAAAAGGAGTGTAAGTGGATAAAATAGGAGTGGGGAAATCATTGCCCATAAAAATTTGACAAAACCACTCCCTGAGGTTTGAAGCCTGAAGCCCCTCTCCTCCTTCAAACCCTCATCTCTCCTAAGTTCTCTCCCTTCTTCCCTCTGCCTTCAAAGTAAACCAAACAGTCTCAGAGCCATGGACCAACACAAGACCAACTAAACTTTAACAGATCAGCTGGTGAGGCAGCTCCTCCTTTGGAATTTAGTACCCATCTATGCTCTTGTTCTTCATCAGACCTGTCCCAAAGGCTTCTAATGTCAGACCGCAATCTCTCTAGTGATTCGCATATGTTAATCCCACACACCTTCTTCTTCTCAATGATGTTTTTTTATCTCCTCTTTAACTAGGTTAGTTTCACTGGAAAGCTCCCCCATCTGGCTAAGATTCTTCCTCTTTGTTAGCACAAAAGTTTCATTTATTAACCTATACAACTGGGAATGCTAAGCTTTTCTGCAAGAGATCTATACAAGAATCTATTTGTGAGGTATTAAGTTGAAATCAGTCTTCACCTTTTGTTGTCCACCTCGTGCAGGAGTATGGGGATCACTGAAGCATTGCGATTGCAGGTGGAGCTCTAAAAGCGGCTTCACGAACAACTTGAGGTATGCAGTTGGAAGACACAGATTGCCTTCTCTATCTTCTGTTTTGAATGTGTAACAACTGTTTGCTTGTTGGGAACTGGGTATGGTGTAAAGAATCAGTGTAATTTACATCTTGAGAGTTCAATTTTGTTTCTTGTTTAAATGAGTTTTATTGAATAATAATTTAAATATTATGCTGATGATTCCATGCCTCTGTCTCTGTCTCTGTCTCTGTCTCTGTCTCTCACACACACACAGATGTGGACACAAATGGGGGAGCGAGAGAGTGTGTATTAGTTGTTCACTTGTTCTGATGTCATAATTAATTTTGCAGAACCAAAGAAATTTGCAGTTGCAAATTGAAGAACAAGGAAAGTACCTTGAAAAGATGTTTGAGCAACAAAGAAAGATGGAAGACAACAGGGTGAAGCCCGCATCATCCACTGTAGATGACCACGCTACTCCACCATCAAATCTTGTGTGTCCTTCCCCTGGAGAGGATAAACCAGAGACCTCCAAATATGACCATGAGAAGACACTAATCAGCGCTAGTAGTGCGAGCACTCCCTTGGAAGAAGGTTCACAAGGTGCAAATAGGAAGAAGCAGAAGGCGTGAGAAACCGAAAGTCAAGAGGAGCCTGACCACCCAGGTGATGTTGAGTTTGGTACCACACCCACAAAACGTGCCAAAAATGGATGAAACATCGGTGTAATCAATTGAGTTGCTTAGTATTGAAATCTTATATCATGCATTTAGCTGCTCCAGGAGTTTCTCGTCCCAATTTTGGTGGTTTAAACTATAGCTCATGGTTGACTAAAACATAAAACCTTTAGTCCATGAGTTTCCTGATTAGCATTCGCTGACTAGGGATGGATTCTTTCTTTCTACGTAATCATTTGAGGCTGAGCAGCAGGTATCTTCATATCTTTCCACTCCATCGTCTGTGTGGATTCGAATAGCTTAGCACCAACTATTGCTGCATTGCTCCATACAATGGTGGTTTCCATGTTTAGCTGTCTTGGCAGCCTTGGTTTGTTTGTTTAAATCTTGGCAGCTTTGAATGTTAGGACTTGCAACTATTATTGAGATGGAGTAATTCTTTGTATTTTTATTATTGTTGAGTATTGATTTTGAGTGGTATGGAAATGTACACATTTATCGTACCTATTATGCAAATGAAATGATGTAGTCGTTAACTTCCAGTAAGTGGTATGAAGCAATTGAGTTGATTTCTATAACATAGGATTAACAATATACTTTTATGACTCAGTGTTAATAGATTTTCAATAACAAAGCATGCTCTATATTTTGCTCTATATATAGCTGTGCACTTGAAGTTTATGATATGCATAATGTAATTTTATTATAAATATAGTTTATGATATGCATAATGTAATTGGGGGGTGGTTTCTGCAAAGGATATCGAATGTCTTGCTGGGCTTTTTTGGATTTTTTTTGAATTTTTTGTATGAAATGGTATTAACAATGTACTTCTATAACATGATATTAACAATGTACTTCTATAATAGGGTATTAACAATGTACTTCTATGACATGGTATTAACAGTGTACTTCGGGCTTGCTGGGCTTATTTTGAGTTTTTTTTGTGTTGGGCTTGTTTTAAGTTTATTAATGGTAGTTATGTAATTTATAGGAACTTCAACACTTATTTTTTATGTAGCAAATGAATTTTGGGTGTTTTTCTAAAGTGCATTTCATGTGGGTTTTTTTTTATAATTTCAGCTCCTATTTTGGATATATTAGTGAAGCTCCCTTATTAAAACTCAAACAAAAATATCTAATATCTCAAATACTAATTAGTAAAGTTACTTATGTCTAATACCTAATTTTTCTTTAAATAAATGAATTATATAATTCAAACTGGGAGATTAATACTGTTCTTGACCATTAGTTTTTACAGATGTATTGTTTTAAATTGTTTTTCTTGTTCGGCAGGTTGTTTTGCAGTTCTTAGCAACAGTTATGATATGTGACAATAGATTGAAATTTCGTTTAGTTAGTACTAACTTTTCTAAAACTAGAGAGATTAACAAGTCTACAACTCTATAGCCATCAGCCTCCACAGCAGCCTCTTCACGAAATCACAATGCTGAGCCAAATTTCTTCTCTGAGACACAAATTGAGCACACCCATTTTAAATAATGGATAACATTTGTGTATTCTTTTTTAATGTTTTCTTGTCTATAAGGGTCTTTTGTGAATTTTTGCGAACAATTGTGTATGTGACAGATTGATTGTTTTTTTTTTTTTTTTTTTTTTTTTTTTTTTTTATGTAATTAAGTTAATTTTAGATTTACTAAATTACATAGGACTATTCTGATTGAGACTGAAAACAATTTAAAAATCTTTTCCAGTATATGCAAATCTAAATAAAAGTATTCAAAGAGAATGAATATAACTCTTAACGTACATGTGTTTTTATTTTTGTTCGGATTAGCAGTATCGAACTAATTATGAGTAATCAAACAGAATGTAATACTTCATTATTCAAAATTTCTGAAATTCAAAGCTTGAGCTTCTTCTCCATTCTCCCTAATCACCATAGTTATGACAAGGTGAGGAAAGAAACCATAACAAGAAACCATAAAACACCACTAAACACTGATGACCAATAATAACAATTGTCCAGCATTAATTGACAAAGTAATGAAAATACATTGGGAGGACATCACAGCTCTCATCCTCTTTATTAGTGCAATTAAGTGTTTCCCCAATTGACCATGATCAATATCTGTTGCAACTTGCAGCTCAGTTGGCACTCCCTGCAGTACAAAGCCATTGACCCACAAAGAAGTCGTCGCAGTTGATATTAGGGTTGATAGAAAGGAAGAAATCAAAACTCAAATTGAACATCTCGCTAACAGAAGTACACGTATCACCCTCCTGTGCACCATAAACTGCAAAGCAAACTGCGGCAGGTTTTTTCCCTCCAAATCCAACTGCAAACATGAATGCATGTATTAGATATGAAAAACTAACAATTTTTTTCTTCATATATATTGATGTGAAACTAAAAAGAAATCATTTAAAGGGAAATAAGGAATTAAGTTAAGATAATAATTCTTACTGTTAGTGCCAAGTTGTCTACTCTCAGCTATGGAAATCATTAGAACAAGAGAGAGCACTAGAATCACGTTAAGAATTAGTGCCATTTTGCTACCAGCCTTGGCCATTTTTATTCACCTTCTTCCTCTGAGTATGAAGTATAAACTGTGTGTTTCTTGGGTTGTGCTGTAAAAGAGTTGCTAGGAGTCTATATATAGAGAGAGAGCCAGCTTGGAACATTGTTTACGATGATTCCTTTGATTCAAGAGGCCGGCTTCTCCATTTGCTTCTCCGTCTTACTCTACTGTATACCACCGCTGTCTTAACAATGACACTAAAAAAAATATTTTCAATGGCAAATACATACCAAACTTGGCCAGCATTTCCCACTCTTATGTCAGGCCATGTGCCTCGCTGATTTAGCCCTCAGTCCCGATGAAACAAAGCTGTGTAAGTTCTTGAACTGAGGGCTAAGAATGGTAAGGTTGATGGCGGTGGTGGCTGGCCCGCTACTACAAAAATTGCAATAGACAACGGTAATCCACCGTCGTGTATCCGGTTTTTTAACCGTCGTGAAATCGACCGACATCTTTTGATGCATAAAACCACGACGGTAAATCCCTGTCGTTTATTATTTGTAAAGACGACGCTTTTACTCAAAACCGTCGTCTATTAGATGTAAAGATGACTGTTTTATTGAAAGAACTGTCGTTTATTATATCCAAAGACGTCGGGTTTGTTAAAAAACCGTCGTCTATTAATTGTGAAGACAACGGTTTCTTGAAATATTATCGTCTATTAACTCTAAGACGACGGTGTTTTCAACAAAACCGTGGTCTATTAACTGTAAAATTGACGTAGTAATTTTACATTTTAGCTTCTTTTTTTTCTTGTTTCCAATGGTATCAGAAATATATACTCAAATATGCTATTACCCACGCCACACATATATACTCAAAAATTGTTTCTTTCATAAATATAATATCAAGAGTACAATAGAACAAAATGAAATCTAAAAAAGAAAGTACTCTAGGGCCACTGGCTACAAGCAGCAAGCCTAATTACAATAATACACCAAAATTCCTATACCTAATTATCCTTCAAGTCAAGTTCTCCATATGTATACAGAGCTATACCTTCATCATCACCACTTTCCCCCTGCATTTAATTGCAGGTTGAACTAACACTACTTCCCCCATGCTAGTAGTAGCTTCGTTAGAACCACTTCCTTGGCGTAGGAAACTACTTAACAAGCCAAAATAATGTAATAGCTAGTGAGATATACAATCCAGATAATAATAGAAGTCACTCTATTGTCTCTAAGCCACTAATCAAGTAAACACACACTACATGGCCTATTTCCCACCATGACAGCACAAAACAAAAGATTGGATATCCAGATTCAAGGCAGAGACACTCACATGTTTTCTGTACAAAGAATTAAATTAAGGAGAAGCCTGTAAAAAAAACATACAAGAAATAAGATGGGTTATGGGTAAAAGATCAAGTGCTGGTCTTTTGTCCAACATCAACATGTTATCCAACACTAAATAAGAGAAACACAACACAACCATAGAATTGGTGAAACTTCACTCACCTTTCAAATTCTCACAACCAAGCAGATAGAAGTTATAAGCTTTAACAAAAACAAAATTTGTCCCATGTGTTGGTACCTGTAAATCATAAACAAAATTTTAAAGATACAAAACCCTTTAACAAAAACAAAATTTGTCCCACTAGAGGTGTCAAACGGGCCGTGTCGGGCCGGCCCATCCCATTTAAACTCGTGCTTTTAATGTTTTCGTGTCAGGCCGAGCCGGCCCATTTAATTTATCGGGCCATGCCGTGCCGGCTTTAGTAAAATCATTGATCCCGGCCCGGCCCAAAGCCCATGTCCATATTGAAACGGGCTGGGCCGGGCTCGTGCTCGTGCCTTGCCCATGCTCGTGCTCGTGCCATACTCGGCCCAAGAACCAATCCATTTAATTTGAATTTTTTTCACTTCATTTTTTTTTCCACTAGATAATTCAAATTATAAACATTAAAAATATAATTAGAGGCAAGAAATGATGAACTATTTGAAAACATTAATCAATCAAACATCCAAACAATATGAAATGGTGGAGGGCAAAAAGTGTCAAACTCTACAAAGTTCACTTCAACTTTTCATCTTTAAACAACTTATTATTTTATATGTGAAATAATGTCTTGCTTTCATTATAAGAGAAGTATATATGTCATATGTACTGATTAGATATAAAGTCCAATGTTGTTTAATTAATTTGTAGTTGATATGTTTAATTAATTAAGGACCCAAGTAATTTCCCTAAAATGAAAGACATCAAATATATATTTATGATTAAAAAAAACATATAAATAATGACATTAGATGTTAAATTATTGCATTTTGACTTTTGAGAAAGAAAAAATGTTAAGTGGGCCGTGCTTGGGCTCGTGTTGTGCTTGAAGCGTGCTCGGGCCATGGGCCGGCCCGGTCCATTGGACCTCATTTTTTGATCCCAGCCTGGCCCAAGTTTTTGTGCCTTGCCGAGCACGGCCCATTAATATTCGTGCTCGTGCTGTGCTGTGCCTCATTTAAATGGGTTGGGTTTGTGCCGTGCTGGGCCGGCCCGTCCCGTTTGACACCTCTAAGGGACACTGTACTTCAATAACTGGTCAATCATGAATAGGCCACAATAAGCAACAAATTTTACTTATGTAACTTGGCACAAACAAGAGAACTCCCAACTCTGAGTAAATGGCCATAAGCCTTGCCTTGCCTTGCCCATAAAGCATCAAGCCATAAGTTAACAACAAGAACATTTCACAATGAAACATACGTTCACCACAAGGGGACTTCCTGGTGGTAATGTGCGGAACCTTGGTTGGCATTCTCACGGGTCCCTTAACCCGGAGCCTCTTGTCCTTCACACCGCGAACCAGATAAGTGCAAACTATCAATATAGAAGTGTCAATCCAGCAAGCTAAAGAAATATAACAAGAAAAATATGAATTCTTAATAATCTAAACAAACTTAAAAACTTTATGTAGAGAGTGGTGGATAAACCCATTTCAACGACGTCACACATCAATTAAGTACAAATGAAATTGAACGGTATTGAAGCTCATCAAAACTTTGCATTTACAGGACTGTGGAATTTGGAGAATACCAATGCAGGGGCAGAGGAGCAGTAGAGAGAAGATGGAGGGTGCCATGGTTAAAGTCTTTCAGCTTTGAGAAGATAAGGCCTTTTCTGGATATCAAATTCATAAATAGGGGACTAATTAAGATCATAGAACATATATAAGTCAAACAAAATTTTGAAGAGCATAATGATAGAAGTTATATTTTGTAGATTCTCGCCTTTCTGATGCACACATATATAAATCCCTAACCGACCGAAAAAAAAAAAAAAAAAAAAAAAAAAAAAAAAGAAAAAAAATAAATTTCTTAATTTATAATATCGAAAATATTTAAAAATATATAACAATTTTGCCCAGATAATCTACAATTAAACACCCAAATATTTTAACCCTAAATCATATTAGGGATATAGAAATTGATTCATAAAAAATTATAGAAAATAATCCTAAGAGAAGGAGAGTTGTTACCTGTGGAATGGAGGAAGGGAGGCTCTCATGGAGCCAGCCAACAAGAGAGATCGAGTGAGCTAGAGAGAGACAACAAGAAAGAGAGCTCCGGCAAGAGAGAGCCATCAAGAGACAGACGATGACCGTCACCTCTTCACCTCTGTCTCTCTGATTTCTTTTCTGTCGAAGAGGTTGTATGTCTTCTTGGTGGTGGCGTTGACCTCAGTTTGCAAGTGTCAACGAAGTCTGGGATGAAGATGGCGTCGATGGCGGCTGGTGATGACTAATGCGAAAAAGACGATGGCGTCGACGACGTCGCTGCGTTGATGGCGTCGCGGCGTCCATGGCGTCAATGGCTGGTAGGCACATATGAGGAGTAGAAAGGAGAGAGAGGGAGTGTTTCATATAGGGTTTCAAGGAAGGAGAGAGAAGAGCTCAAGAGGTTTCAAGAAGGGAGAGATAAGGTTTTTACATAGACGGGGAAATCTGAATTTTAGGTCGAGCTCGAATTCACTTAAGCGGTTCCTTTTGTTTAGTGTGTTTTAAAAGACGACGCGTGTTAATTCACAAGCGCCATGTTTTAAAAAGCAATCCATTTTAGGGTTGTATAAGATGATATATTACAATGGTTTTGTAAAACCGTCATCTTTTGAAACACAACGACGATTTTAAAGTGAACCGTCGTCTATTTTGAGTCGTGGTTTAACTAAATTGTAGTAGTCTTTTGGCTGGGATTGTCATGGTAGGGCGTTTTCATGACAATTCTTTATAGTAAGTAAGGTGCTTTTCATGAGCCCCTCTACACTCCACCTCTGTCTTCTCAGTGGTGGTGTCGGCAGTTTTGTTTTTGTGCTGGTATCTTCTCAGCGATGGCGGAGTCAGAAACTTTGTACAAAGGGAGCATCTTAAATATTGAAATATTTTTCATTATAGTGGTGACATTTGAATTAATTTTTTACTTGATACAAAATCCCTAAATTTGATTACTATATTCCATTATTTTATATATCACATTACCTATTTATTCATCATTAATACAAGTAAAAAATATTAATTGATTCAAATTAAATGTATTTTGCGTTCTAAAACAATTTGAATTGTAGTTTATTATTACAAAATTTAGAGTCAAAAGAAGACAATAAAAGAGATTCAGGATGGGTAGCAATAATGTGAAAAAGAGAGAGAAGTAAAACATAAATATAAATAGGGAACTTTGAAATTTGGAACCATCTGAATTGTATATAAATCCATTTGTAGCCAATGGGTTTGTGACCAGGAGGTAAAGGAACAAGTGTCCAAGTACGATTGAGTTGCAATGCATCTAACTCGGCTTTTATGGCAAGTTGCCAATGGGGATCAAAAGCAGCTTGAGCATAATTAGAAGGTTCACAGGTTCCTGAAATGAGAGGCTGAATCTGATCAGCACTTATTTGAAATTCAAAAGTGTTATTTGTTCAAGGGAGTCTTATCCAGTTGGCCTATAAAAGGCTACAACATAAAAAAGAAAAGAAAAGAAAAGAAAAGGGGGAAGCTATCGATAGATTAAAAAAGATTGCTGGAGAAATTAGAGCAGTGCAAAAAAGAGAAGAAAATTGATACATGTATACTTTCATCTCTATTTTCTTTTCTATGTTAGGCATAATATGCCATAAATCCATGGGTGAAAAACTCTGAAATTATTTGGATGCAAATTCATGGGTGAGAAACCCTGAAATTATTTGGATGCAAATTCATGGGTGAACCTGTCTGTTGGTTTCTCTCGCGGCCCGCGGTGCATCGATTATTTGTTTGTTTTTTTTAAAGCTTTTATTTGGTCTTTTAAAAGGTCAAAGATTTATGGTGAGATATTTGAGTTAATCTCAAGTACTCTAGATGGATATAGGAGTGTCACAACTTGGATTGATCTCAACTACTCCGAGTAGATATGGGAGTTGCAAGCAAACTCTTAGCTATCGATTTGGCTCAATTGATAGCTGCAAGTCGCAGTCCTTATGATTTGGATTCCTTGTTCATGGGCTAATCGATTTCAAATATCAAAGGCCCGAAATAGATTAATGAGTTGTCAAAAATGTTTGCCCATTAATTCTCAAAATCCCAAAATATTTAATGGGTTACCTAAATAATTACCTGTTAAATTTACGGATGCCCAAATTGCCTATTATATGGTTAATGGATCAATTTTAAAAGTCCTCATAGCCATATTTGGGTCCAAATACAAATGTCAATTTTAGAAAATTAGTGGGTTAATCAAAATTGCTCATTATTGTTCTTGGACATTGCAATAAGAAAAATGGAACAAAGCCATCCAATTTTCTCGTAGGTCATCTACCTATACAAATTTCAATGAGATTAAATTCAAATCTCTCAAACACAAATTCCCAATTAGTGGACCACACTTACCCATTAATTTCCAATTTTTCCCATAGGTCATCTACCTATGAAAATCTTCAAATTGTCTCAAAGACACAAATTCTAAACTATTAGGCCACACTTACCCATTAATTTCCAAAATTCCGAACTATATAGGTTTGATCCCATTGTAAGGGTCTTTTTGTTCTAGCAGCCTGACGAATGGGCTTGGGCTGCTGTAAGAGGAAGACAAACAAAATTCCCCTAGTATCTGAGTTCAAGAACCCGGTTCCCAAAAGAGTTTTTGAAAAGTTTGCAGAAACACTAGAAAAACACTCTTAGGCTCTTTTCACCAATAGCCAAATGAACATAACAAATTGATAAGTGACTTAGCTTGAGGAGCTTGTGGCATGGGAGCTAAACTTTCACAAGTTCAGCAATTTGAGAGAGAGAGAGAGAGAGAGAGAGAGAGAGAGAGAGAGAGAGAGAGAGAAAAGCATGAATTTCTTACAAAGAGCAAAAGTTCAAAATGAGGAAGAGGAAAATTAGGAAGATTTCTATCTTAGGAAGAGAGAAAACAATTGAAGAAGAAGTTGGGGTGTCTTGAGTAAATTTCAGTTGCTTGACAAAGCTTGGTCATGCTCTGGATGATTGTTTTGCTGGATAGAGGAAGCTCTCTTTTATAGGCACTTAGAACCCCTAATTTTATCTAACCTCCTCCTTCCTTTTCCTTTGCTTCTTTCCATTCAATCCTATTTGGTAAAATTTTCCTAACCAAGGCTCATGGGTCATGAGCCCTTTGGGGTTCCAAGAGTTTTATGCAGCTGGACCTCTCCATAGGGGTGAGGCGCCACCCACTTTCTTCCCTGATTTTCAAAACAGAGCTTACAGAGGAAAAGAGAATGGGTGGAGTCTTTTGTCCAATGGGTATTGTTCCTACATATGTGGATTTCCTTTGGTCCCTGCCATTGCTCCTAGTCGACCATCTTGGAGTCCTAACAAAGGATACAATGCTAGATTTTTACAAGGCATTGGGCTAGGCTTTGCGTACAGTACTGGGTTATTGGTGTACTATTTCCAGCATCCAATGGGTTTTTGTCAAGCTGCGGGAAATAGCTTATTTGTTTTATTTTGGGCATTTTACTGATGTGGGTTTATCTAAGTATTCTCCTAAGGCATTGGATCATTTTTCTCCCTCTCTTATGCTAACCCACGTGTTTGGGCTCGAGGAATGGGCTTGAGTTTTAGTGCTTCCAAACAGCTTAAAACTTTCATCCTTCAAACCCTCAATAGGCCCTGTGAATGCTTGTTCCCATCCATACCACAACCTTCTCAGCAAGCCTCAGGTAATTACATGGCTTGGGCCCACTTAAGCCTGTAGCATGGCTTGGTATTAAAATAGCAATCCTTCACATGGCATTGCCTGTTTGTTTAGCATGCTCGTGCTCGAATTTTATCACGTTATTATAAGCTATGATTGGGCCGCATAACGTTGAATAGATAATAAGCGAGGATTTATAGAGTCGGTACATTTTTGGCCCTTTTGCGCATGCTTGCTTGGCATGACACGTGGCCCATGGCTTGCACTGGTGTGTCCTACAAATCCTCTTATGTCCCGATGGAGCTCCCTTTGCGTTCAATTATCTGTGTTGGGCTAAGGATAAACCCGGGCTTAGTCCTTGGACTTTTGGGCCTCAACATTAGGCCCCTTGATTATTAGGACCATGAGCAGATATTGAGATGAGCCAAATAATCAAACCCAGCCCAAAAGGAAAAATCAAATCCACGTTGTTGACGTGACCTTCTCGTTTCCCGCGTGTGTGTTGCCATGATTATCTTCCAACAGTCTTCTACGTTCCCCAAGTAAGCGCTTCCATCAAAATTTGTTTTATTTTATTTTCTTTCTTTTCCTTTATTTCTCATTTTCTTTTCTGATTTCTATCTTCTGTGCGTGCAAAACCAAAACCACTTGCCTTCTTCTTTCTATTTTTGCTGGTTCCTTCTCACACCCAGGTCTAGAGAACCCTTGAAAACGAGAAATCACTTAAGGGCGCCATCCATAACAGCTAGTTGGTTAAGCACAGGGAAACCGTTCGCAACCACTGGGAGGGGCTACCGTTCTCCTTTAAAAAACCCAAGTTTCTTGGACTTGTCCTTCAATTCATCAAAGGCCAGGCTTAGCAAGGTCACTTTGCAGAACGTGGAGCAACTCGGAGAGAAAATTGCAAGGCAATTCCCTTTTCTCTCGATTTTGACAAGCTGCTGGAAACAAACACAATCGAAGGCATAGTAAGCATTGTTCCTTTATTTCTTCTCCAATTTCTTCATCTTGTTACCGCGTACATATACATTTATGCATATGCATATACATATACATACATGTACAGATAGGAGCATTCACACATATATATTTTGAAAATCCTTCACGAAAAAAGCGTTTTCTCCCATTTCCTTTTGTTGTATGCTCGCTTAATTCCTCATACCCAATCTTGAATTTTGGATATGAAATGCTGATTAGGGATTTTAGGCACCCTCCAAGTGACAATTTATCCTAGTTGAGCACAAAACCTCAGATAGTGTCAAGGCAAGGTAGAAAAGAATAAGCATGCAACGCCCTGAATGTCTTTGCCTTTTCATGAGTAGTCAACCCAAGGCCTTTCTAAGAGGTTGACTCCTGAAAAGAATAAGCATGAATAGCTGCAACCGCAATCAAATTTGAATCTCTAGTTACATCAACCAAATTCTTCAAATATCAAATCCAAATAGAATCTCTGGTTTATTCTTAACCAAATTCACCCCAAACACACATCAAAATCATATCCCTAGTTTATTAAGCTAAATTCACTCAAACCCTTTTTCAATTAAATTCATTCAAATTCTCCTTTTTGCAATGAGTCATTTATTCATTGCAAATCTTTGAACTACGAGTGGCTTGATTCTTGCAAGAGATATGTAAGCACCCTGAGGTTGGACTTGGGAGTAGCCGCAAAACCAAATACACACGTTATGTTTCTTTATGATGGAATCAAAGGGTGTTCCCTTAAAGCAAGAGATTGTAATTAAGAGACACTGCATCTTGAATGGGTAGAACCTAAAATAATAAAACCCCATTATTTAATTAGTGGTGGTAAAATTATGTTGGGAGGTTCGCATTTTTCTTCAACATGATACATGCAAATGAACATAACTATTACCTGTGTTTTTATTTTTGTTCGGATTAGCTATATCGAACTAATTGTTAGTAATCAAACAGAATGTAATACTTCATTATTCAAAATTTCTGAAATTCAAAGCTTGAGCTTCTTCCCCATTCTCCCTAATCACCATAGTTATGACAAGGTGAGGAAAGAAACCATAACAAGAAACCATAAAAGACCACTAAACACTGATGACCAATAATAACAATTGTCCAGCATTAATTGACAAAGTAATGAAAATACATTGGGAGGACATCACAGCTCTCATCCTCTTTATTAGTGCAATTAAGTGTTTCCCCAATTGACCATGATCAATATCTGTTGCAACTTGCAGCTCAGTTGGCACTCCCTGCAGTACAAAGCCATTGACCCACAAAGAAGTCGTCGCAGTTGATATTAGGGTTGATAGAAAGGAAGAAATCAAAACTCAAATTGAACATCTCGCTAACAGAAGTACACGTATCACCCTCCTGTGCACCATAAACTGCAACGCAAACTGCGGCAGGTTTTTTCCCTTGAAATCCAACTGCAAACATGAATGCATGTATTAGATATGAAAAACTAACAATTTTTTTCTTCATATATATTGATGTGAAACTAAAAAGAAATCATTTAAAGGGAAATAAGGAATTAAGTTAAGATAATAATTCTTACTGTTAGTGCCAAGTTGTCTACTCTCAGCTATGGAAATCATTAGAACAAGAGAGAGCACTAGAATCGCGTTAAGAATTAGTGCCATTTTGCTACCAGCCTTGGCCATTTTTATTCACCTTCTTCCTCTGAGTAAGAAGTATAAACTGTGTGTTTCTTGGGTTGTGCTGTATAAGAGTTGCTAGGAGTCTATATATAGAGAGAGCCAGCTTGGAACATTGTTTACTATGATTCCTTTGATTCAAGAGGGCCGGCTTCTCCATTTGCTTCTCCGTCTTACTCTACTGTATACCACCGCTGTCTTAACAATGACACTAAAAAAAATATTTTCAATGGCAAATACATACCAAACGTGGCCAGCATTTCCCACTCTTATGTCCGGCCATGTGCCTCGCTGATTTAGCCCTCAGTCCCGATGAAACAAAGCTGTGTAAGTTCTTGAACTGAGGGCTAAGAATGGTAAGGTTGATGGCGGTGGTGCGGCTGGCCTTTGGCTGGGATTGTCATGGTAAGGGCGTTTTCATGACAATTCTTTATAGTAAGTAAGGTGCTTTTCATGAGCCCCTCTACACTCTGCCTCTGTCTTCTCAGCGGTGGTGTCGGCAGTTCTGTTTTTGTGCTAGTATCTTCTCAGTGGTGGTGGAGTCATAAACTTTGTTCAGAGGGGGCATCTAAATATTGAAATATTTTTATTTATAGTGGTGACATTTGAATTAATTTTTTACTTGATTCAAATTAAATGTATTTTGCGTACTAAAAAAATTTGAATTGTAGTTTATTATTACAAAATTTAGAGTCAAAAGAAGACTGTAAAAGAGATTTAGGAGGGTAGCAATAATGTGAAAAAGAGAGAGAAGAAAAACATAAAAATAAAAAGGGAACTTTGAAATTTGGAACCATTTGAATTGTATTTGATTTTATAAACCCATTTACAGTCAATGGATTTGTGACCAGGCGGTAAAGGAACAAGTGTCCAAGTACGATTGAGTTTCAATGCATCCAACTCGGCTTTCATGGCAAGTTGCCAATGGGGATCAAAAGCAGCTTGAGCATAATTAGTAGGCTCACATGTTCCTGAAACAAGAGGCTGAATTTGATCAGCACTTATTTGAAATTCAAAAGTATTATTTCTTCAAGGGAGTCTTATCCAATTGGCCTATAAAAAGGCTACAACATAAAAAAGAAAAGAAAAGAAAAGGAGGAAGCTGTCGATAGATTAAAAAAGACTGCTGGAGAAATTAGAGTAGTGCAAAGAAGAGAAAAAAATTGCTACAGGTATGTTGTCACCTCTATTTTCTTTTCTATGTTAGGCATAGCATGCCATAAATCCATGGATGAAAAACTCTGAAATTACTTGGATGAAAATTCATAGGTGAGAAACCCCGAAATTATTTGGATGTAAATTCATGGGTGAGTAACCCTGAAAAATTTTTTTTTTTTTTTTTTTTTTTTTGACCCTGAAATTAATTGGACGTACAAAAATTCATAGAGTGAGAAACCTAGAACCTCTATGGATGAAAGAAATCTAGAAAAATGGGTTCAAATATCCAAGACAATTAGCAAATGAAATAGGTCTTTACTTTTGTCCTATTAGTTCTCCTTCTCTTTGCCTAAATAAGCTACAAATGAAAAATGTTAATTCTCTACCACCAAGTGCAGCAAAGAAAAAAGAATTGAAGCAAAGGTGCATATGCAAATAATAAAAAGGGGTTATACCTCTACCTCTTGGACACTCTAACCAATTATCTCCCTCATAAGTTAGCAGCCTTCCAAGAAAACAAGAAAGAAAACAAACAAACAAAAACAAGAAGAGATGGCAACAAGGTTTTGAATTTGTGTTGCTGTGTTCGAACAAAGAAAAGAATGGAGTTGTGGGGGCCATGCCGCATGGTCTATTCTTGATATCCTTCGCTTCTCTCTAAAGACAAGAAAATGGGAAGTAAAAAAAAAATAGCGAACCTGTCTGTTGGTTTCTCTCGCGGCCCGCAGTGCATCGATTGTTTGTTTGTTTTTTTTAAAGCTTTTATTTGGTCTTTTAAAAGGTCGAAGATTTATGGTGAGATATTTGAGTTAATCTCAAGTACACCAGATGGATATAGGAGTGTCACAACTTGGATTGATCTCAACTACTCCGAGTAGAGATGGGAGTTGCAAGCCTGGTTGCAAGCAAACTCTTAGCTATCGGTTTGGCTAAATTGATAGCTGCCAGCCGCAGTCCTTATGATTTGGATTCCTTGTTCATGGGCTAATCGATTTCAAATATCAAAGGCCCGAAATAGATTAATGGGTTGTCAAAAATATTTGCCCATTAATTATCAAAAGCCCAAAATATTTAATGGGTTACCTAAATGGTTACCCATTAAATTTACAGATGCTCAAATTGCCTATTATATGGTTAATGAATCAATTTTAAAAGTCCTCATAGCCATATTTGGGTCCAAATGCAAATGTCAATTTTAGAAAATTAGTGGGTCAAAATTGCTCATTATTGTTCTTGGACATTTGACAATAAGAAAAATAGTGCAAAGCCATCCAGACACAAATTCTCAATTGGTGGGCCACACTTACCCATTAATTTCCAATTTTTCCCATAGGTCATCTATCTATGAAAATCTTCAAATTGTCTCAAAGACACAAATTCTAAACTATTGGGCCACACTTGCCCATTAATTTCCAAAATTTTGAACTACGTTGGTTTGATCTCATTAAAGGTACGTAAGCAGTCTAGTATCTTAATAGCCGCAACCACAACCAAATTTGAATCTCTAGTTACATCAACCAAATTCTTCAAATCTCAAATCCAAACAGAATCTCTGGTTTATTCTTAACCAAATTCACCCCAAACACACATCAAAATCATATCCCTAGTTTATTCAGCTAAATTCACTCAAACACTTTTTCAATCAAATTCATTCAAATTCTCCTTTTTGCAATGAGTCATTTATTCATTGCAAATCTTTGAACTACGAGTGGCTTGATTCTTGCAATAGATACGTAAGCACCCTGAGGTTGGACTTGGAAGTAGCCGCAATACCAAATACACACGTTATGTTTCTTTATGATGGATTCAAAAGGTGTTCCCTTGAAGCAAGAGATTGTAATTAAGAGACACTGCGTCTTGAATGGGTCGAACTTAAAATAATAAAAACCCCATTATTTAATTAGTGGTGGTAAAATTATGTTGGGAGGTTCACATTTTTCTTCAACATAATACATGCAAATGAACATAACTATTACGTGTGTTTTTATTTTTGTTCGGATTAGCTATATCGAACTAATTGTTAGTAATCAAACAGAATGTAATACTTCATTATTCAAAATTTCTGAAATTCAAAGCTTGAGCTTCTTCCCCATTCTCCCTAATCACCATAGTTATGACAAGGTGAGGAAGGAAACCATAAAACACCACTAGACACTGATGGCCAATAATAACAATTGTCCATCTTTAATTGACAAAGTAATGAAAATACATTGGGAGGACATCACAGCTCTCATCCTCTTTATTAGTGCAAATAAGTGTTTCCCCAATTGACCATGATCAATATCTGTTGCAACTTGCAGCTCAGTTGGCACTCCCTGCAGTACAAAGCCATTGACCCACAAAGAAGTCGTCGCAGTTGATATTAGGGTTGATAGAAAGGAAGAAATCAAAACTCAAATTGAACGTCTCGCTAACAGAAGTACACGTATCACCCTCCTGTGCACCATAAACTGCAAAGCAAACTGCGGCAGGTTTTTTCCCTCCAAATCCAACTGCAAACATGAATGCATGTATTAGATATGAAAACTAACAATTTTGTTCTTCATATATATTGATGTGAAACTAAAAAGAAATCATTTAAAGGGAAATAAGGAATTAAGTTAAGATAATAATTCTTACTGTTAGTGCCAAGTTGTCTACTCTCAGCTATGGAAATCATTAGAACAAGAGAGAGCACTAGAATCACGTTAAGAATTAGTGCCATTTTGCTACCAGCCTTGGCCATTTTTATTCACCTTCTTCCTCTGAGTATGAAGTATAAACTGTGTGTTTCTTGGGTTGTGCTGTAAAAGAGTTGCTAGGAGTCTCTATATATAGAGAGAGCCAGCTTGGAACATTGTTTACAATGATTCCCTTGATTCAAGAGGGCCGGCTTCTCCATTTGTTTGCCATGAGATTTATTACCAATAGGAACAATTTAATGTGTGTAGCATTACTCATCATCACTCAGTCTATGTGGAGAATGGCCGTTTATAGATGCATTGGATTGTTCACCGTAGGCGATGGTATAATTTGGTGTACAGAATGATACAATTAACAATGACACTAAAAAATAATTTAAAATGGAACGTGGATTAACAAACTTTGGTTAACTATGATTTTTTTTAAAAATTTACTGACGGTGGCGGTATGTCATTTCTCTTTTTTTAAAGATATTTTCAATGGCAAATACATTCCAAACGTGGCCAGCATTTCCCACTCTTATGTCAGGCCATGTGCCTCGCTGATTTAGCCTTCAGTCCCGATGAGGGCTAAGAATGGTAAGGTTGATGGCGGCGGTGGCTGGCCTTTGACAGCCACAAGAGGGTCCATGATACTACCATTCTGGGATTGTCATGGCAGGGGCGTTTTCATGACAATTCTTTATAGTAAGGTGCTTTTCATGAGCCCCTCTACACTCTGCCTCTCTCTTCTCAGCGGTGGTGTCGGCAGTTTTGTTTTTGTGCTGGTTTCTTTACTTTTCCTTAATAGGCCATTCCTGTATCTATTCCTTGCGGCTTTGTCTTGGCTCTGTGGTGGAGTCAAAAACTTTGTACATAAGGGGCATCTTAAATATTGAAATATATTTCTTTACCGTGGTGACATTTGAATTAATTTTTTACTTGATATAAAATTCCTAAATTTGATTACTGTACTCTATTATTTTATATATCACATTACCTATCTATTCATCATTAATACAAGCAAAAAATATTGATTCAAATTAAATGTATTTTGTTAAATATACGTACTAAGAAAATTTGAATTTTAGTTTATTATTATAAAATTTAGAGTCAAAAGAAGACAGTAAAAGAGATTTAGAAGGGGTAGTAATAATGTGAAAAAGGGAGAAGAAAAACATAAAAAGAAAAAGGGAACTTCGAAATTTGGATAAGAGATATATAATTAGGCTAAGAAAAGTGAGAGGGGGAGTAAGAGAGGGCATAGGAACCACCCCCCGGCGGGCCTTAGCTCCCTCCGCCCATGGCATCTGATCTTCTCCACCGTGTTATGTTCATCGACTCTTTTAGTGTCTTTCCTCAGTGATACTAATGCAGTCGAGGATGTTATTAAAGTGCATATGGCACTTACCTCTTGGATTATGGTTGTGTTCAAAGAGTTTCTTAATCTAAAACAAATGATTACTCGAACAAAGAATTGAACTTACTAATCTTGTGGTCACATTTCAAGTGAATAACCTGCTTGTGGTTACAATTTCAAGTGGAGAAACAAATAGAGATATAAGTAGTTTACCTAAGAATTCTCAATTGGTGCTCAATTGGTGCCCAGTGAAGTAGCTTCCTACTTAGCAAGGAAGAATTCTATATCTGTCTCACCTAAGCGCTATACATAAGTCAATTCTATATTCTATATTTGTCTCACCTAAGAGCCATATATTCGTCTTCTACATTTGTCTCACCTAAGGGCCAAGGGCCATATTCATTATAGCCGGATTTCAACTTATGCCCGGCCACGTTATTATGATGATTGCTCATGGCCCAACGTGCCTAGCCAATGTTAAGTTTTTTTAATCTAAAGCCCATAGTATAATTTACGACTATTATTTTACAACATTTATATATGTAGTGAAAACTTTTACCACCTAATTTCACAACTAAATTAAACTCCAATTAATATTAGTCAATTCATTTTTTTCAGTTACGTAAATTTTAATTTGTAACATGAACTTGGGTTTTGTAAATTTCTTTTATTTTTTTGTTGATCAATTGAAAGTTCCTTTCATGAAATTTAAATAATAATAATAATAAAAAAGAAAAGAGATGAAAATAAAAGGTCCCATCTATTATTCATGGTTTTCCTCTAAATCTCCACAATTCAAGATTTTCTGTACAATTTACAAAGAAAGATTCCATCCGCGTCAACTCAATCGTGGAGTTACCCGTTTCAATTTAACCCAACCACACCTCTCCAAGAGTCAACGGCAACTCCCGAGTTAAAAACTCCAATCATTCTTCGCCGGAAAATTCCAATCGCCGGCGATCTCAGCCCTGACCCCAGCAGTTCAAGTACATGACTTTTTGGATAGACTCGTCGGACTGGTTCCGTCTCTCCTCACAAACTTGGGAGAAACCCGACCCGACCGCGCCGGACAATGGGCGGAGATCCGAAGCGTCCCCGGCACCACCCAAGCATCTCCTCCTGCTTAGCTGGAAGGATTTAAGACCGGATGTCCACTTAGGCCCCTGGTCGGCAGGGCCCTGCACCACGGCCACGCTCGCCGCCATCCAAACTCTGTTCAAATGGTTCATCTTCGATTTCTAGACTCTGAAACTCTGAAACTGAAATTGAAATTAAGGGTTGTTATTGCTTTTGCTGTTGTTTTTGGTGTTTGTGAAGTCCGTAAGAGTGAGTTAAGGGGACAGCGGTGTTAATTTATAGGGAAAGATGGAAGGAAATGAATCCGGGTTTGGTGAAAAACCACTGGTTTTTCTGAGAGCGGAAATGGTTTTGGTAGAAAAGTGGTGACTGGTTGGGCGTGGTGGCCCAGCTTCTTTTGGCGTTTTCTCAATTCTTTGGATTGGAGGTATCGATAATTTTGATGTTTGATTGTGTCCAGACTCCGCAATTTCATTTTCTCCTCAATTTCTCGAGAATTTGATATGTGTAAGTAGATAATGTGTTTTTCTTTTATAAGATAATGAATTTACGCAAAACTGGATTACGTTAGTGAATTTGTCTCTTTTCACGTTTTCAACCTTTTCTTCAAGTTTGATTTGACTCCATTTCTAATTGATAAAATAGAAAATAAGTGAATGATTGAATCGTTAAATCAAGAGAAATAAATTTGATGTTAACCTTTAGTTTTAAAATTTGATGACTCAATTATATACTAACTTTTTTGTACATACCTGTGAGAGGCTTTTTTTTAAAAAAAAATTAAAATTATTTTAGAATTAAAAAAAGATAATGAGTGAGTAGTTATATTCCATAAAAATATGATTCATTATTTGATTTTTCTTTTAATTTTAATTTTTTTTAGTATGAAAAAGTGTGAATTTACCATATTATCCTCAATTAATTAATAATTTCAATTATTAATGTTTGCATTAATCGAATACATTTTTTTGTAGTTTGAATGTTTTACCATTCTCTGTCTTTTACTTTATATATATAATTAATAATTAATAATTAATCTAATAGTATTTCTCATTCTAACAAAACACCATCTTAACTCTAAAATTCAACTTTCTATTGACCAAAAAATTAATACAAATTATTTAATTTTCTAGTTGTTATATTTCCCTTTCTTTGATGTTGACGAGATATTATAAAATCTGTTATTTCCAACTTCAATTAGACTAAAGTAGCTCAAAACAAAGACTAGGAGAAAAGTAGTAATTAGATATCTATAATTATTGGAGATTGACAAAGAAAGTTTGCTTACAATAATTCTGCAAATTATAGATAAAATGGGGCTAGAGTTATCGCGAGAAACAACGATATAAAGGAGAGACGAAGAGAAGGAGAGCCTATGAGCGAGAACAGGTGTCGAGCTTATCCGAATTCTCAGAGGACATCGGATGACTCAGCGTCATGGATCCAATTCGTGTGTGTGTGTGTCTCTCTCTCTCTCTCTCTATTGGACTATTACGCATATGTCCTCTTCAGCATGGGGCCGGCCTGCCCACACGTCGTCGTCTTCTACGACTTATCGTCGTATAATAGTAAGTTGTCGCTTCAGGGGCAATTTTGTCTTTTCGGTAGTGATGGGAAATGATTTGATATGGAGGAGGGAGAGGGACACGTGAGCGCGTAGGGCCTCTTTTATGCGTTTTGGCGCCATTGGGTGATCACTCTCTCGTGGGGCAGGCATGGCCATCACGTGCTGCTGTGGGGTCCCCTGCAGCGGGCTCTGGACTCTTCTTCTATTTATCCTGGCGTCTTCGGCGTTACAAATTACAATGAATAATAAACTAATTCTGTTTTGTTTCTAGTGAGTAGTTAGATTTATACCATTTTCGACGGATGAGATTGGATGCAATTACGGAATCGGACGGCTACCGTTTTTCTTCTTTTGATTGAAACTAGGCCGACAACATTTCCATAATTCATAGTTCTTCATATGAATCCAAGACGGTTTTTGTTGTACCTTGTACGGTGGACATCACGCTGATGTAGCATACCAATTCGGAGACACATTTTGGTTAACAGTTGTACGGCATCGTCATCTCAAGTTTCAAAATATAGGGTATCATATCCTCCTCCAAACTTGTCAATAACAAAATATATAAAATTTTCATCTTTTTAAACCTTGATGTTAGATTACGTTTTAATTTAGCCTCATTATCCACGTTGATACGCTATTTTAAGGACATTCGTAAATATATTGTACTTGAATGATGTATGTAATCGAAAGATGAAAATCAAAATCCAATTTGACATACGAGCCTAATAATAATATAAGAACATGTGTTAGGATGAAGAGAACATAACCCTTGTAATCCATTGAAAAAACTCTTCTAGAAAGTAAATTGTTGCTGGATATAGGTTAGGGTTTTCAGTTTTTGCAAGGATTGCATAAACCAGGATGATTTCATACAGTGATTGGGGATCAAAATGTAAACTTGCTTCATATCCATAGGCCAATGGAAATTTGTTTATTCCTATCACTATAGCAAATGGGTCGCCTTCATAAGGAGAGGTCCACCCACCTATCAGCTTTCATGAACATAATAATTGTAGTTGCAATAATAGTATGCCCAGGTCATTATCAGAGAGAGAGTGGGGGGGTGAGCTGGAACGGAACATATAGAAATAGTGCTTTTGTAATAATCGCTTTTAGAATTCTGCCAAAAAAATGAGAATCTAAAAACAAAAATTAAAAAACCCTGGTATTGTATGTTTGAACTTCCGTGATGGATTTTATTTTACACGGAGAATCTGAGATGGTGATGTGCAGCATACCAAAACAGTAAGGCTCGACCTTTAAGTATTACCCACTAAGCTGATTATGGATTTTTAATTCTCTGTGGGTTTCATAATTTACGCTTTAGCAGGAATTAATAAACAAATTTCAGTAGGATCGGAACATAAAGATCTTCCAAAAAAGGGTTAAAGAGTCTAGATAGTGTTACTATTTTAATTTGAAATTACAGGCAGGCAGGTATTTATCCAATTATATTATAAAAGCAGGATTACTACTTGGAGTTTGTTTTTTTTTTTTTTTTTTTTTTTTTTTTTTTTTATAAATAATAGTCTAAACTACAGACAGAAAAATAAGAGATTTTTTTATACACACAACTAAGATATTATGGGGGTTCGAACATAAAACCTATAATATACAAACCAGAGCCTTTTTTTATTGGACTAGACTTCGTTGAAAATTAATTTATAATTACAGGCAGATGTATCCATCCATTGTCATTGGCTTACATTCCAATGTATTGACAAAGTAGCTTAAAAGATAAGATCTTCTCTTTATTCTCCACAACATCATATAATCTTTTTTTTTATTAGAGTGACTGCACACATAATCTTTATGCCTGAAATATAAATCTCTATCTTTGTTATATCTCAAAGATCATAGACACGCAAACAAAAAGCTAAGCAAATATACTGCTACCAAGAAATGGTGTTTCCATTGGATGTCACATTATAAAAAGCCCTGGCCAAGGTTCCCCAATATTTATCTTCATATAATTTGATGGAAAAGTTTTGGTTAACATGTTAATTTATTGTTAGTGGACCATAAAATAAGTATTATACACAGATCTCAATCCAGTTTCCATTATTCTACATAGTTAAGAAATGGAGCAAGATTCTTGACATCACAACTCAGTTTGAAGCTGTCAACTCCGAATAATACCAAATAATAGTTGTAGTAATCTGATTCAGGATCCTTTCAGACAAACCACACACATGGATCATAGCCATGTGACCTAACCAAAGAAAAGGGATATATATATATATTACTGCATGTCTGATGAAATTTGATAAGCGATCGAACTTCTCAAAACTTTGAATAACCCCATTCCATTCTATGTGAGAAAACAACCCAAACTGCATCAAACATTTCTACAAGAATACAAAATTCATGAAGAAAACTTATGGTAAGTAAATTAGCCGTATGGAGAGGTGTTTGTGTTGGATATCTCAAGAGAGAAGTGAGCCCAAACAGCCAGCTAGAACAGAGATCATAAGTTCTGTAAAAAATCACTATTGTCATTTATGCTATCTACAAGTACATTAGGAGACCTGAAGCAGAGCTTCAGACTAATTTTTCTCATAAAAAGGACAAAGCAAAATTAAGCAAAACATGAAACAAAAATGTAACATCTATCCACAACAAAACATGCTTCCATTTACCTTTAAGATTGCTCAACGGTCTTCCACACATGAATAGGAGACAATTCAATCATATATAGAAACTTCCACACTAGAGAAAGAAATTATCTAAACAAAAAGGAACATAACTCTACACTGAATCAACCCCTTCAACCTGCTGCTGGGCTAGGTACCTTTCCCTGCGCTCTTTCTACAAAGGAAACCATACATAACACAAGTAAGAATGTTTACAGTAAGAAATGTATAAAGCTCAATTTCATCACTCTATCAAAAGAAACAAAAACATGTCAAACGCCTCACCCATTCATCTATGACAAGTCCTTCCCCTACAATCCGGGGGCCTGTGTCTTCTGGAGGCTTCTTTCGTGCTTCGAGGGCAGCCTCAGCCTCAGCCAATTGCCGCTTAAGTTTTTCCATCGCCTTTACAAAAATCAAATTGAAAGTGAAAAAGCTGCTGCAAATTAAGACAACCAAAAAAGTATGCAGAGTGCAGGAAAATGACAGGTTAGAGATGTATCCACCATCTACTTACAAGGGTAGGGCGTTCAGGATCCAGGAAAACAACACGCAAAACCTGCTCAACCACGACTTGGTCCTTCTGCTCATCAAACTGCATAAATGCATGTAACAGTTAATGTTTAATATCTAGGAATTATGATGCATACTGGTTTCTATTTGTGATAGAAACAAAAATATAGAGAACTTTTCAAGAATCAATGAGATTTATAGTAAGATCAACCTGATTCAGGAGTAGAAGATATATGTTCTAATTATAGGAAAGTTCCAATCAGAATTTCTGCAAACATTTGCTATGAAGTACATGACATCTGAACGTTCACTTACTAATTATATTGGCACAGCAGGCTACAGACAATAGAGAAAATGACCTCAGTTCTGCTATCTCAAGTCTAATTACAATATCTCTGATTATTTTGAGGGAATGTAAAAGTCCAGTAGTTATTGGTTCCATTTACACAGAAAAATAAAAAAACTATTATCGTGGAAAAGCAATGTATTAAGATATGGTAGAAGTTATACAAAATATCTGCAATTATACCAGTTCTGGTACGTAGTCCATATCTCCTTTCACTTTCAAGCTCATGATCTTGAACTTAACCCTGCTCTTCTGGTCTACTAGTTTTTCATTGGTCTCCGGGGGTTCCACAAACTTGAAGACTGTCAATCAAGTTACAATTTTCAGACAATAAGTCACTAAAATCTAAAGTAGCTAGCATGTTATTTATTGCAAATGGAAATGAAAAATAACCCAAAAATGAATAGAAGAGTGCGTGAGGGAAGACCATGAAGAATGAATTACCAGTTGCAATAAGACTTTCACCTGGAGCAAGTATTCCCCCCGGAGGACGCATGTAACAACTCTTTGGTGCAGTTGTTTGGAACTAAAACAACCAACATTTAAGCAGTTAGATGGTTCTGTTGGGTAATAAGCGTAACAGATCAAATTGACAGCAGAAAACTCCTAATGCTGTCATCCCCAATTTTCAATTCAAATGTTGTCCCAATTTGATCACAATACTGGTTTATGACTAGTTTCTGATATGTAAAAGAAGTAAAATACTTAATAAGGGGGAAAACACAAAAAGGGGTCTAGAGGAGTCAATCGATACCTTGAAAGCTACATGAGACTTGCTTGTGTTTTTAATTCCAATGGCACTCTTGACCTGCTTACCAGGTTCATCTTCAGAGAAAACAGTCACGGTGAGGAAAAACATAACTAGCTTGAATAATCAATCGGCAAAGGAATTGAGCAAGCATTACACTTATCTAATGATTAGCAAAAATGTCTGAGTGAACATCTTATAAGAAATCCTGGGTGATGCTAACAATGTAAGAACAAACCATATTCGGATCAATCAAACCACTCCACAGTGGTCAAATGGATACATCATGCAACAGAAACAAACTAAAGAAAGAGAATATCAGAAATAGAGACACCAATAAGAACCGACCAGATCAGCATAACAATTGGAACCACTGTAATTCTTTAACTCATGAAATCAACAGATCATGCAACTTAGGCAAATCAAAGAACAAAGAATGCAGCTCTATGTACTAAATGTCGAAGACCCAGATAAGCATTTGGCAAATGAAACCAGTGTAAGCTCAAACAGACATCATGCAACTAATTACTCACCCCAAAAGAAACAAAAGTTCCACTCTTTACCTTCAAAATTCTCAGAAAATGAAATAGATGACCAAAATCAAAATCATTATACAAACAACAAAGATAATTAAAGCAGACAAGGTAAGGGGCGTACATGGAAAAAAGAGCTTATTAGCAGGATCAAGACGGAGCCTCCTCCTAGCAGGAAGCAAAGACTTGGTCACATACGACACCGTACTGGCAGAATGAAGAGCCGCACGCTCCACAGACTCGTGAGTCTGACCCAGCTGGTGAACATTGTGCATAGAAGACAAGGTCGAAGACGACGAAGAAGAAGAAGAGGAAGAGGCATTTCTCGACTGCCCAAATGGATTTTTGAATAGACTCCACAGCTTCCCATCAGGCCCAGATTTCTCAGCTTCCACAGCCATTTTCGACCCACCCGCCGGAAATTCGCTTCACGGTAGCAGCCGGAAAATGGGTTTCGCCGGAGATAGTTGGAAAAAAAGTGAAAAGAGAGATTTTGTTTTGTGCTAATTGAAGGCTGAAGCTGAAAGATTGAGGCTTTGGTGCAATGCGTGTTTTAGTTGTGTCTCTGGTTGTGAAGGTCTTTATGATAGCCAATGCCAAATGTGGCTGAATGAGACCTTTCGCTCTGGACTTTTTGGATTGTCGGAATTGGCGGTGGTTACTTTTACTCACTCTCCCTGTTGATGTTGGCTGGCAGTTGGTAGGAGAGCTTCAAGTTTGAAACTTTTGGGCTAAATATTGGCACTATATGACAAAAAAAAAAAAAAAAAAAAAAAAAAAAAAAAAAAAAAAAAAAAGAGATAGCTTTAAAGATTATATTTTATACCCTTAATCTTAACTAATAATATTTTATATTTTAATGTTAAAAGAGATCTACAAAATCGATGTGGATTAAGTCACTTAGCCAGGATAGTAAGTTCGCCCCTTTCACCCGGATCCCTTCCAGTAGATTAGTGGTTTACAAATAATTAACAGCTTGATAGTGATTTACAACAAAAGAAAATGACAGATAGCAACAATATAGCTACCCATTGGTGGAAGAACTATTGCTTCGGATAACACTTGCACCAAAATCAAAGTTCTCTTTCAAATCTTCTTATGATTCCTTTTTTCTTTCTTGTATTTTTATTCTGATAAAGGCTTAAAGAGGAGAGCATGGCATAAGGCCATCATAATTAAAATAGGCTATGATGTTTAGAGCATTAGAACATGTTCTGGTGGTGCCATGAAAGATAACGACACAGCAAACCCACCACTGATGCTCCCATGTGGCCCTCTTGTGAAAGGCATCTCATCTTTTCCAATATCCCAAATCAATGAAATCATGTTTCGTACACAATAATTTGACATATACCATTTTTCATTTGATTTGGGGGCAATAACAACAGTTGCTAACTTGCTATGGTATAATCAAACAGCTTTTGCGTAAAGTTGCTTTCTGTTCCTTGCATCTTGTTCCACAGTCTAGACTAAGTTGATGGACCCAAGAGCTTATTGCTTGGAGATTAGAGCACTACCATATGACAGTAGCTACTTAATTATATGCTCTAATTTCAGGATAGTAATTGATTGGACATAATTCAATTCGACTGTTTTTAGTCTAGGAAACATTTTACTAGATTATGAATCATATTCTGTCATATAATTCAACCCACCAAACACGCCCTAAGAGTAAAAGCATAGAATTTTTATTTCCTCTTTTTTTAGAAAAAGTTCTTACAAAGATATGATGATATTAAGATTATAGATCAGGATGCGTACATCTTGAAATACACACACAAACATACATAATGCTTAGTGATGATTTCATAAACATGGAGGGGCATGCAGCATATCTTTCCAGCTCAATTGGGTCCCCAACAGCTCAAGTACATAATTAGTCTAAGTGGTTCTTCTGATTGCTTCAGATTCAGAGTCCTCTGCTTGCAATATTTCTTCTTTGACTCCATTGTTGAAGATGTAGACGAAGAAGATTTTCCCACTTGTGTAGACAGTGGCATAATGTTGTTAATTAGTGCATGTTGGTAGCTCCGCAGGGATCTCCATTTGCTTAGACTCTTTTCTTTCAACTCCTCCACAGCTGCAACAGTGCCCAAAACAGCCCAAGCCTTGCTCTTCCACCTCATTTTTTTAACTTTTGAATGACGGCCACTACCAATAATTTAAAGAACAAAGTAGAATTTGTTACAGTAAGTTGGAGAGAGTATTGAGATAGACATATATATAAGCATTGAGACTATCTAACTGAAGCCATAAATATGCACACACAGAGAGAGAGCTAAGGGGGTGATGAGAGTGGAAGTGGTTTTACTTGGGTTGTGGTTTTTGGCCATACCAGCGGCTATTTTGTTCTTTTCAGCCCAGAATTTTTGGGGAAAAGTTGGTTTCAGTTTTCCCTTGGGTGAATAATTTAGTAATAAAGTTGTGTTGTTCTTATGATCGGATTAGGCCAAAGCCAAGATGCTGTACCAAATTTAACACTTTAGTCAAGCAAGAAGAAAAACTGAATTTGGAAAACTTATGTGCCCAATGTATTTTACTAAATTTGTAAGAGCATTTGCCTCAAAGTAATTTACAATGGCCTTAAGCTAAGCTAAGCTAAGCGTAATTTGGTTGGTGTCAGTTGGGACCCCAAGAGTTAAGATACGTCACTTTCCTCATAGACTCCTCTGACTGCTTTATTTTCTCTTCTCTCATGATCATGCTTGAAGCCATGGCAGAAGAAGAAGAAGACAGCTTCTTGGCCTGAGAAAAAGACCTGAGATGGTTCTTGGCTTGCTGGTGCACCAGTCTCATGGGATAGTTCCATCTGCACACCCCTTGGTCTTTCAACACTTCCACGACTCCAACTGTGGCTGCCACAACCCAAGCCCTACTTGCTGTTGCTGCACTCATCATTTTGATTTCCCTTTTTCTTGGGATGTAAGTCTCTTAATTTGTATTGAAATTATGATAAGATAGGTCTTTTGCAAGAGAACAAAATTTGAGAAAGGTTGAGTTGAAATAATTGGCATGGAGGGTCTCTTTATATAGAAAGGAAATAATAAGTTACTTGAGTTGGATGCATGAATGAGAGAAAGCAAAGGCCAACATATTAGGAAAAAACTAGAGGCTACTATGTTGCTGCTGGTTTTGAGCCAAGGAAATCCAGTGGATTTTCTGGTTTGAACTTTTCTGCTGGGGTACACACGACATTATGCGCACCTTGTTTCTTCAATATAATAATGTTAAGGCCACAGAATATATGGGAGAGTAAAAGCATTTGTCATCATTCCAGTGAATTAAAAAAATGAGAGATTTATGCCCAATATAAAAGGTCAAATTATATATTAAAAAATTATATATAAAATGAACTTTAGAAACACAACCAGAACTCATTTACAATATAACAAAGAGATTTTGAACGTACTATAAATTACAAAACTACCATTGATTTCTTTTTTTCTTTTTTCTTTTTATTAAGAGCGATAGTAATTTTATTGATAACACAAAAAAAAAATACAGAGTAGTCGCAATGCCAAACATGAGTACAACATCTCTAGTGACCAAATACAAAAACAAATTGGTTTGATCTAGAGAGAATTACGCATGCCAGAAAAACCTAAAAACTCCAATTCGGCAAACAAGAAGCATCTATACTCATACCTACAATACAAATCCACAACGCAACGGCAAATCCGCATCGAAAAGTCGAACGCTAAATACATATATCAGCAAACTCCCATTGAGTTTCTGAGAATTATTAGACTAAAGTAAACATAGAAACAAGGACACCGCACCACTTCATCTCTAGCAAATCAAAGAGACTCGTAGCACCAACATGGCTAAACCTCTTATTTTGCACAGGCAAAATCTGATCTCACACAAACCAACGACAATCGCTTTTCCAACTCCAAACACTGAATTGGAGCAAATTCCATATGCGTAGACCAAAAGCTACAACAAATTATGGCATTTACGATGGATTGCAGTACTTGCTTCAAAAACACAACGAAAACCAAAGAGAAAAGCTGGGTCGACAACACCACATCGCAACCATCCCAATGACAACAAGATACATCCAAGAACAACAAAAGTCACCAAGGACCTACAACAAAAAACACACAAACAAACAAACAAACAAAAGACAAGATCCAGATAGATCTAAGCAAAATGACCCAAAATCCGAACAAATCTGGAGAGAGAATAGGAGAGGGGAAGAAAACTAGGAAAGGAGAAAGGGAGATGAGGAGAGAAAGATGGAAGATGGGGAAGCCACCCACCCCCAGAGGGGGGCAGCGGCTGCAGTGCAAGCTCACAATTTCACCTTCAGAAAGCCATTGATTTCTTAAAACAAGCACAACCTTAGAACCTCATAAAAAACCCTAAAACACTCAACAAGACATGAGTTTTTTGAGTTTTTTTTTCATTTCTAGGGGGCGGCGGCTGCAATGCAAGCTCATAGTTTCACCTTCAGAGAGCCATTGATTTCTTAAATTAAGCACAACCCCAGAACTTCATAAAAAAAAACTCCAAAACACTCAACAAGATATGAGTTTTTTGAGTTTTTTTTATTTGTTTATAGAAATTAAATGATTCGGGATTTATTTACTAGCTATGTACATTATTGCATTGACTATTTTCCCTGGCTATGGACAAAATTATTTACTAGTTACTTGGTACTAATTAATGGTAGGATCTCCATAGAAAATTTGATTTTAACCCCTTACTTTCCTTAAGGGACCATACATGATATAGATTTTTTTGGTTAGGGATAATGATCAGATGACATATGAATTTTCATATTAATTGTATATATCATAGAGGACTCATAGATTTACAATTTACAATAATTTTATAAATAAACAAAATTTCTTCAGGCTGCACAGCCTACACCAACCATGGTCAGCTTAACCACATGTTTCCAGCTATCATCATGCCATGCCTCAAAACTTGAAAATTTGTAATCCAAGCCTGCCTTCAGTGCCAAATTGTATTGATTATCTTCTTCAGCTACAAATTATATAGTTGCTGAAATCAATTGGGTCCCCAGCAGCTGAGGTACATGACTTTCCTGAGAGACTCTTCAGACTGCTTCACCTTCTCATCTCTAAGCTTGCTTGAAACCAGAGCAGAGGATGAGGAAGAGAGCTTGTTAGCCTGAGAAAAATACCCAAGTTGGCTCTTTGCATGCTGCTGCATTAATCTCATAGTATAATTCCACCTGCAGATCCCTTGGTCTTTCAAGGCCTCCACAACTCCAACACTTGCTGCCACCACCCAACCTCTCCTTGCTGCTGCTGATGATGAACTGCTCATATTGATATATTCTTCTGTAAACTCTTAATAAGAACACTCTTAAACTTGATGGGAAGTAAAACTTATGTTTTGATGCGTTTGAAGTTTGAAGTAAATGGGGAGTTGGTGTTGCTTTTATATGGAAGGAGTGAGAGTGACACTAAAACTAAGCACATAAAAAATAGGGGGGAAAAAAACCATGGGCTAGCTCTAGCTGTAGAGGTTTTTGCTGGGGTAGCCAGTGGTTTTTCCTTAGCGGGGAGTCAAGATTAGGCTACTTGGTCACATTCAATTTTTTTTTCTGTCAACTATTTGTCACATTCATTGACGGAGACAAAATTGGGTTGCGTAGGACCAAAGCACACGGTTTTCTTTCATAAAATCCATTTAAGCCTCAGGTATGGGAGGAAAGACCACTTGTTTTTGTTTGTTTTCTAGTGGAAATTATCTTCTTTTTTGTATATTTTTTTTTTGGGAGACAGTCCAATTGGTTTGAGTTAAGAAATATTTTAGAAGGAATGCTTCTTGGAAACTACTGGTGAAAATACTTGGGTTTGGAGATCCATTATTATATTGATATTATAATATTCTAAATTCATATTTCCAATAGGACGCTACTCGCCTCATTTGACTCATTACCTGTATCCTTACCTGTAAGAGGGAAGTAAGCATTTTCCTGAAGGAAGTATTTTCCTTTCCAATAGAGCATGAGATGTATTGGCTGAGCCATCATGGCTAATCCTCTGTCCTAGTTTCAGATTGGGATGTTTCTAATCCTTTGAATTAATGAATTGGTCTTTCAGATTAACGGAGGAGATTCCAAATGATAAAGTCATAGATTAGATACAAACTTGGCTTAATCTGAATCTGCGAGTGGTGCATTTTTGTCAATCCATCATAGCACCAAGTTGTGTGAGGAAATTTACAGTGTAGATGATCATGGCTCAACATTTCAACTTCAAATTCCATAAAACGTTTCCTTCTTCAAATATACTGTTTTGAAATTAAACAAATTCAACTCAGACCTGTAGGGTTGATAAATCTTCCACTCATGACAAAATAAACAATGGGCAAAATATATACACAAAAAACCAGAGACCAAAATAATGATCAAGGCAGCAATTCTCAGAAACATATATGTTTTATATGTTAACGGTCTTAACATGACATAATTTACATCAATTTGCCCCAGGCAGACAGGAATTGTCTGCCATTTACAAGCACAAAACGATTGCCAATATGTAACTATGTCCTCATTTGGTGTAGCTCTTCATGGGTTGTGTCATCTTGTTTCATCCCTTGTTCATGCTCAAGCTCCATTGCAGCAACCTCTTGCACAAAAATGTGATCTTTTTGCTCTTGTTTTTGTGCTGATTGAATTAGTTGGGACCCCAGCAGCTCAAGTACATGACTGTCCTCAAAGACTCCTCTGATTTCTTCAGCTTTTCATCTCTGACTTTACCCAAAGCAGCTGAGGCAGAAGAAGATGAGAGCTTGTTGTTGGCTTGAGAAAATGACCTGAGTTGGGTTTTGGCTTGTTGGTGCACAGATCTTAAAGCAGAGTTCCATCTGCAGATCCCTTGGTCCTTCAGTGCCTCCACAACTCCAACACTTGCTGCCACAATAGCCTTGCTTGCACTTGATGAACTCATCGTGATTATGATTTCTCTTCTCTTCTCTTCTCTACTAGATTTTTCTGTCTGATTTTTTCGCTCTTCAGTTGGTATGTGAATGCGTGTCTGATGAAGGAGACGAGCAAAGAGTGCTTCTTTATATAGGGGATTAGAAACGGGGTGCTTTTTTGTCTGTTCCCAAAAACTAGAGGCGGTTTCCTCAGTGAAAGCAAATGGGTCTTTTTCTTTGGGATAGAAAAGCCAGTGGTTTTGTTTCTTTTGGACCTTGTGGATGATGCACTGTGAGTTCAGATATTACTCAACTGGACATCCAGATGCAGTGGAAATGATCAATTAAACATGGGTAGAAGTGGACTTTCAGAATTTCGATAAGCACAACAGTTTGCTGCCACGTGGGCACATGGTTTTGCTTTGCTTTATTTTTATTTTTATTTTTTTTTATATTGAGATAACTGAACTTCATTCAATAACCAACTAACATAATACAACGAAAAGAAGGAAAGGGATGTACAAGTTTGGGCCTCTGTAAAAAAATCTTGGCGTAAAAAACCCCCAAAAAGGAGGAAAAAAAGCGCCTCCCAGTTGACATCGAATACGTAAATCAACAAGTAGCTTTTAAATCTGCAGCAAGCAATGAACTCAATCAAGGAGGCTCCTCCTCAATCCATGTATAAAAACCAATGTTCCTAATAGCATATTGGGCTACCTCATGAGCAACTACATTATCATCACCAAGGATGGACTCAAGAATCTTATCTCGTAGGGTTATAGTGTAAAAGTTCAATTTTTTTTTTAAAGGTTTGTAGGGGGTGGAGATTGGGGATTTAGGTTTGAGGGTTTAGGAAATGGGGGTTTTGAAGTTCTCAAGTCGGGAGGGAGGGTCTGTTTCAATTATACAATCTGTTCTTTTTCTTTTTTTTAAGACCTAGACCAAAACGACGTCGTTTTGGCCAGGTCTTTTTTAAAAAATATTTGCTGTTGTTGGTCCAAAACAACGGCGTTTTGGCCAGCGCATTTTTAAAAAAAATCGCTGGACTGATCCAAAACAACGCCATTTTGGCCAGCTTGTTTTTTTTTTAATTAGAAGCTGGGCCAAAATTCGTCCCTGATCATCGCGTCACTATCATTCATACGAGAAAGATCTGAACCACAACCGCATGTTTTTAATATCTTCCACCAAGTTCCCATGTGCTTCAAAAATACTCTTTGTCAGAATTGATTCTATTTACTGTCCCTTGTGCGTCTATTTCCAACACAATGTCTTGAAACCCAAAATTATGCGCAAACTTATATGTATTTAGGCTCGCAGTGTAGGAGTGAAACTATTTGTTTACTTGGTTTGGTGTGGACCGTGGGCAGAAAAACAAACATTTTAGTGTCTTTCTTTCTCTCTATTTGCTTTGGATAATTATAGGCGTGAGTCTACTACGTGTTGACATGTCATTAAATAAATAGTGAGTACTATAATTAGGTTAATTGTCGTTTGATGAGTATGATTTAATCTACATATTACATGATTGATGAATATGATTTAATCTACATTTTACAGGAATTTCCTCCACGACAATAATTAATATGATGGGTATTGCTCACCGTCAATTAAGAGTGGTGAACCAAAAAAAATATATAAAAAGGAAGGCACCTGCCACCATTTTTGAGAGCACCATCAACACTCAATTTGATATGAAATGTGTGCAGGCATAAAACCTTTTTACACTAAAAATTAATGTTTTCGTGCTGACCAAAACCACAGCAGCTTGATTAATGTTTAAGCTGCTGGTGCATAGAATAATCAATTGTATATATCATAGAGAATTCAGGGATATACAATTCGCAATCATTTTGTAAATAAAGAAGGCTGAATCAGCGGGAGACTTTGGAAAAACACAAAGGAGAGAGAAATTTTGTAAAAGAAGCCAAAATGGACAAAATTGCCCTTATTTATTTTTGGATTTCCTAAGGAATCCTTTACATTTGTATGTCTTTGATTTGAAAGTTGAAAGGTTTTTCTGTCTTTTTTGAAAAAGCTTTGGTTTTTTCCAAAAGTGAAAATTTTTTTTTGGCTAAAACCTAATTTTCCTAATTAATATTCAATCGGGACCCCAGCAGCTGAGCTTACTTGAAACCAAAGCAGAGGATGAATGTAGGAGGAAGGAAACCCATAAAAATGTGGGAAAAACCATGGGATGTGTTGGGCTATAGCTTTTGTTGGAGAAAGAAACCATTCAAGACAATGGATTTTACCCAATTAGGGCAACTCAAATATGTTTCACTACTAAATACTCAAATTTATAGGTAACTGTCATAACATAATTTAATACATCCTGATCATTTGATATATATAAAACTGAAGGAGCCCCTTCATGGCTTGTGTCATCTTGTTTCATCCTTTTGTTCATGCCCAAGCTCCAATAATTCAGCAACCGCTTGCACAAAAATCTGATATTTTTGCTCTCGTCTCTGTGCTGATTGAATTAGTTGGGACCCCAGCAGCTCAAGTACATGACTGTCCTCAAAGACTCCTCTGACTTCTTCAGCTTTTCATCTCTGGCTGTACTGAAAGCAGCTGAAGCAGAAGAAGATGAGAGCTGAGAAAATGACCTGAGTTGGGTTTTGGCTTGTTGGTGCACAGATCTTAGAGCAGAGTTCCATCTGCATATCCCTTGGTCCTTCAGTGCCTGCACAACTCCAACACTTGTACTTGACATCATGATTATGATTTCTTTTCTCTTCTCTACTATTTCTCTCTTAAATTTTTTGAACTCCTCAGCTGTGAATGTAAATGTTTGAGTGTATTATTGATGGAGAAGATGATAATGAGGTGCTCTCCTTATATAGGGGATTAGAAAAAGAAAAAAGGTGAGTGTATGGATTGGGATATCACTGTTGTGTACGTGCAGATGGATTGGGATATTCAGATAAGCACAACGTTTTGCTGCCTCATGGGTACACGGTTTTGATTTGAATTATTGTATTTTAGCCTGCGGTATGGGTGTAAAACCATTTGTTTGCCTGTTTAATTTGGAGTGTGGGCCAAACGAAAGAACAGTCACTTACTTATTTTGGACTCTACTTGGAATGTGGGCCAAACGACAGGACGGTCACATGATTGTCACAGGTGGATGGTGCATCGGTTGAGTATCAATTCTTTTTTTTATATACAAGTAAAAAATGTGAGGGTAATGCCGAAAATCCTTCTGAACTATAACGCTTATCGCAATGTCCATCATGAATTATTTTCTCAGTTAATTTAGCCTTCATATTATTTTAAATGGCCAATTTAGCCCCTTCCATTAGTTTTCATCCAATTTTCCGTTTAAATGTCACATGGTAGGCACATGACTCACTGTTCAATTAAAAATTAATTTTTTTAAGTTTAAAATAATTAAATTTTAAAAAAAAATTTTAAAAAAATTAATTTTTAAAAACCCCTTTTCACGGAGAATTCTCTCCGGTCTAGAAAGCTTCATGGCTCTCCCACTACCATCTACATCCTTCAAGCCTCTCAAACTTTCAAAACCTCTCCCTTTAGAATTCCCAGACTGGGTATCAATTTTAGGCTTAGCAGGCAACTCTGATGGGGAAAATGAAAGGTTATCAGAGCTAATTGTCCTATAAAGACTGTTTTTACATGAATCCTTACGATTACTCTGCATCAACGAGTAAATCCCACCACCATGATTTGACAAAGCGACTCCATCTCCAATTGGCTTAAACTGGCTATGAACTGACCCATTAGTCCCTTCTCCACAGTTTCAAATTTGATCATCTCTCTCAACCGAATACTAGTAATTCTTGGTCGAATTTCGCATAAGCAAGCAACTAGGGTTGTGGGCCGCCGCCTTCTGAAAAATGGTATAGGTTTTCTCAGAGAATCAGACATGGGTACTGATGGGCTTCAATCAAAATCCGCAAAAATCGGAAACTTGGGTTCCTAGGATTTGACTCTCAATTGTCTCTACGATAGTTCCAAACTGGGTTTCCTAGAGAAAGAGTTTGCCGGGGCAAATTTGCTGACTTCCTTAGAGAAAGAGAGCTTTAAAGGTAAAGAAATCCTTATTTCTGCCAATTCAAACCAAGATCACAAATGGGTAGAGAGAGATTTCCTTAATTTGAACGAGACTAGGCTGAATTGCTCAAAGCGAGAGCTTGTGGAGGAGACTGAAAGAGAGAGCATGGACAAGAAGCCAAAGCTCGAGACTTTGAATCTCTCTCTAGCCTTACCTGAGGTCTCGCTCTCTTTCTCACTGCTTTAAACGCCTTACAAAATGGTGACCCTCCAGCTATGCCAAGGCCTAGCAGAAGTGTACAATCTTTGGCACCATCTACTAACAATACACAAACCACTTGTTCTAACGATTTCACAACAGCTTCATTATCGTACTCGTCGGCGAGGTCCTGGGTGAGGATGGTCTGGGCGACGGCCATAACCACATTGCCGGCACCGATGACGGAGAACTTGGTGTGGCGCTTGGTGGAGGAGGGAGAGGCGGCACTGGAATAGGCTTGAAGAAGGCATGGGTTAGGTCGAGGCCGTTGTGGTGAAGTGCTTTAACATTTAATTATTTTAAACTTAAAAAAATTACTTTTTAATTGAACAGTGAGTCATGTGCCTACCATGTGACATTTAGATAGAAAATTGGATAAAATTGCATGAAAACTAACGGCATGGGCTAAATTGGCCATTGAAAATAATATGAGGGCAAAATTGGTGTTGAGGCCCAAAAATCCAGAATTGGGCCCAAATAAATTCTTAGCCTAGTATGACACCTTATTAAGAAAATACCCGATTCGGAGCACGCGAAATTCGTCATGCACGCTTTCACAAGCCACGACCACGTGCCATGCCAAATAAATATGCAATTTATCACGTTAAGAATTAAAATGAGCCTATAAAAAGGCATTGGCTCTACAAGCCCATGCTAATTATTCCGTCAAGCACTATATCTCTCTTCAAAGCGACAAAATTCAAGCACGCCAAGCGACATGCAATGTCAAGCGCAAAATCATTATTATTACACCTAGCCACGCTACAAGCTTAAGTGGGCCCAAGTCACGCAAATGCCCGGGGCTTTGCGGGGCTTGCTTGAGTGGGTTGTGATATAGTTGGTAACGAGCTTTCATAAGGCCCATTGATGAGCCGAGAAATGGAAGTTTTGGGCTGCTTGGGAGCCCTAAAACTCAAGCCCATTTCTTGAGTTCAAATATGTGGGGTAAGCATAAAACAGAGGAAAAAGCCTGAATACCCTAGAAAATTAGCCTGAATACCCTAGAAAATTAGCCCATCACTTAAGGAAATTAGCCCATGTTCTTAATGGGCTAACTTATCACTTTAGCAAGGCCCAAATAGCTTAGAAAATATCCAAAAATCTCCAGCACATGGTTTGAAATGAAACCACGATAGAAAACCATGAGATGTTTTTACGCTCAAGCTACTAGGAGACTCCAGCACATGGTCAAAGACAAACCCAATGCAAGCCATCAGAAAAATCAAAGGATATTGGCACGCGCAGGAGAAAAAGCAGCCTTCAAACCAGCCAAAGTTATCTATCTCCTTCCTTTACTAGATCTTGCCATGAAATAAGGGAGAAAAAGAGGAGAGATGATAGCCAAAAATAAGAAATCACCACTGGAATGGCTGCGAGAAGACTTCTGAATTCCCAAAAATATGGTCTCTATGTATTGGGTAGAGGAGAATTTCACAAAATGGGATGGATCGAAGGGAGAGAAAAGAAATGAAAGGGGAGACTTTGCAAAATTGGAGAGAACCCATTAGGGTTTCTTGGGAAGGATGAGCTTTCAAAGGTTATAAAATAAGGTACCTTCTACCTATTAAACCTAACCTAAGCAGTGGAGCAAGCTTATTCTCTAACTACTTGAAACATCAAGCAAAGTGCCTCACATTCTATCTCTTTCTTCTTTATCCTAATCAAGACACACATTCAGAGAGCAAGCTACATCTCTCCTCCTTGAAACCTCTGCAATTTTGAGCCTTATTCCTCCATCTCATCCCCTTTTCTCTTCTATTAAAACACTCTAGAGCTTGATAGATTTTTCGTCAAGCTGCCGGAAACTACTCAACGCACCCATTATACCCCCATTTCTCTCCCTCTTCAACAAACCCTCTTAGAATCCATTCCCCTTTTCCTTACAACCCTTGTCTTTCATAAGAACTCACAAATCTCTCTCTGTTTATGCTAAACTCATGATGGTTTTCCTCCCATGCCACAAGCTTCTCATGCCAAGCTAAGAATCTACCTGTAAGCTGTTGTTATTTTTGTTGGTGAAGGTAACCAAGGTGTTTCCTAAGGTTTCACTACCCTTTCGAAGTATTCTTGGGGTCTGATCTTTGAACTCAGACTCAAGGGGCAGCTTCACATGTTTCTCTTTTCAGCAACCCAAGCCCATTCGTCAGGCTGCTGGAACAAAAAGACCCTAACAATTGGTTGAAAAAATAATTCATGGTGGACATTTCGATAAACGTTATAGTTCAGGGGGGGTATTCGGCAGTTTACCCAAAATGTTATGATAATCTCAGAGAAGAAAAAAATGTTAATGACAAAGTTATGAACAAAACAACACTATTTTCTCATTCATGGTGGATTTTTAAAGGAAAAATTTAAGGGTAAATCTAAAAATCATAATTTAAAGTTACAAAATTCATTCAAATTAGATTGAAAAAAAATTAAAAAATTAGGAATTCACCTGATTTTATAAGTTTCTTATAATCATGCCTTCAAATTCCAAAGCTTGCATTAAACATCCAACTTAGAAAGCTTTGGTCGAATTGAATCACAAAGTTTTGGTTGATTTGAAGATTAAAAGTTCAAAAGACGTTTTGGTTGATCTGAAGAATAAAAATTCAAAAGACAAATTTGAGAGAGAGAGAGAGAGAGAGAACTAGAGAAAGGAAGAACAAACCAAGAAAAAAAATTCTAAAACATGTTTAAAACAAATAGGTAAAGAAAATTGGGGAAATTGGCGGCTTTACCCCTGGCTCACCTAATTTATTCACAAATATCCTTATTTTGAAACCCAATCACAAATGCCCCTTATAAAAACTCCCTATTGACAGCCTATTGCCTATCCTTCACTTAGTTTTTTTTCTTCTGAGTCATTGCTCTCTGAAATACTCTCATCTCTCTAGTCTCTTCCTCTTCCTCTTCTTCCTTCTGCTCCTCTCTCACTTTTGTTTGGTACTTGATGTGAGTTCAAGTCCTTCCAAATCAAATTTGAGTGAGATTGTACATAAATTTGTTGAAACATAATTGTGGCTTCTTCTTCTTCTTCTATGATCTGCTATCTCTGAGATGACACCCCCAATTGCTTCCTTCTTTGCTTCTTCTTCTTCTCCTCTCTGATATGCTCTATCTGAGATAAAATCCCAATTTTGCATATCCTCTCTCTCTCTCTCTCTCTCTCTCTCTCTCTCTCTCTCTCTCTCTCTCTCTCTCTCTCTCTCTCACACACACACACACACACACACACATACACACACATTGATTCCCAGCCCTAATTCCCAATTATCCATGTTCTTCTTTTCCTAGGTCCAAAGACCCATCTTCCTCATCCACATCATTAGCCACAAGCACCACCAACGAGTTTGCAAACCCAATTTGTAATATTTGTTCTTGAAATGGGTGGATTGGCATTGACTTTAAATTTTTGTTTGAAACAGAAGCATTTATTTGTCTGAAACCCAACAAAACTTTCCAAGACACTTTAAAAAAAAAAAAAAAAAAAAAAAAAAAAAAAAAAAAAGTGATAACAATGAGAAATACAAGGCCAATACGATGACAATACAAAAAAAACTTAGAAATTTCAGATTTATTGCGTGTATATTGCTTGTTTATTGCAATAAACATGCTCAACAAGATAACTCTAATACAAGCTCTCTCCCTTCGTGTATATTGCTTGTTTATTGAGTGTGTATTGCTTGTTTATTGCATGGATATTGCATGTTTATTGCATGTATATTACATGTTTATTGCGTGTTTATTGCATGTGTATTGTTTGTTTATTGCATGTGTATTGCCTGTTTATTGTTTGTATATCGCATGTTTATTGCAGAACTCACCAAAGAACCCAAAAAGAACCAGCTACGAGTTGGAAGAGATAACTAAAAAGAGAGGATATGTTAGTCAGACCTCACCAAAAAAACCCAAAATTTGTTGCACAATCCCAAAATTTTATAAACAAGATTAGCATAATATTCCTAAAAAGTTCTTGTATAATCCCACTAAAATAACATTATCTACACAAGCTGAAAATATTAATTGTAAACCTAGAGAGTAAAATTTTAAATTAAACCCACAATTATGTTTCAATAAATTTCTGTACAATCTTACTCAAATTTGACTTGGAGGGACTTGAACTCACATCAAGCACCAAAAATCCAAACCCATATATGAAATTGAAACAAGGAAAAGAAAACCCAAATGTGAAGGAGAAAAGCCGAGCTAGCTACCTGAGACGCCATGCATGAAGGTCGAAATAGGGGGCAGAGAGTGAGAGATTGAGGTGGAAAGGGTGAGGTCGTCGTCGCCGATCTGGGTGCGAGTGAAAGAGAGAAGAGAGGAGAGAAGGGATGAGAGAGAGACTGAGAAATTGTGAAAAAGGATTTGGGAGAGCTCAAAACAACTAAACAAAAGTGAAAGAGGGGTAGAAGGGAAGAGGAAGAGGAAGAGACTAAAGAAATGAGAGTATTTCAAAGAGCAACGACCCAGAAGAAAAAAAAACTAAGTGAAGGATGGGCAATAAGCTATCAATATGGAGTTTTTATAAGGGGCATTTGCTATTGGGTTTCAAAATAAGGATATTATAGTGAATAAATTAGGTGAGTCAGGGGTAAAGTCGCCAATTTTCCGAAAAATTGTTGGGTTAGGAAATTGAAAATAGGGTGCCCGTTTTCTTTAGTCAAAAGGCCCCCTATTTTCCTTTCTTTGGTCTGATTGTCAAAAGGAATAAAGGGTTTATTTTAAAAAGTTGAAGTGTAGATAAATAAAGGGTTTTTTGGGTTTCTTTTAGAAGTGGGCTAGAAAAAAAATTGGAGCCTCAAATATTTGGGGGCCCTATGCCATCGCCCAACCTGTACAAGCTATGAGCCGGATTTGAACACATCATAAGGCCTTTTTTATACCAGTGATATTGCCGGAGGGAGGTATTCTCCTACACACATTGTCAGCGGTATCATAGAAGTTCGAAATTGGGACAATTAGTCCGTAAGTCTAAGTCCTTTTCCACTTAACAAGACTCAGGTCCTTAAATTGGGACAATTATTCTGTAAGTCAGGTCCTTTCCACTTAACATGACTCAGGTCCTTTTCCAATAAACAAGACTGTTGACCTTGACCAAATGACAAGGCCTTCTGTTAAACGCTTCATAACCCTTTGTAAAGTTAATGAGGATTCTCTTTCTTCATTCTATGTGAGATATCACCATATTATGAGTTAGTTTTTAAAGTTTTGATTGATCAAAATGAACCGTCGGACTTTTTATTTTGCCAACAATGATCAATAGGATGAGATAACCTTGTGTGTTCTTGTTGGCCCGAACTGACAAATTTCAACTGGTTTGTTCTGTGTTTTTGTTTTGTGATAATCCCATCTGGTTAGTTGATTGACTGACAAATAGAACCAAAAGCATCTCTATTTGAAGGAGGAACCATTAATAAAACCAAAGAACATAGATTTTCTTGTTTTTTTGGTTGATTGGGAAAATTTACATTCAAATAATGTATACAGCTTCAATTCAGTCTCAAAAATCTTCAAATCTTGAGGTACTTCACCATGAGCTCCAATTTGTGTCAATAAAGACCCCAACAGCTCAAGTACATAACTTTTCTGAGAGAATACTGAGCTTGATTGATTCTTCTCTTCAGAATTCATTTTGTTCAAAACCATAGCAGCAGAAGGTAAAGATGAAGAAGAAGAAGAGAGTTCCTTGGTTTGTAAGAAAGATCTCATGGTGGTGCAACTCCATCTGCAGAAGCCTTGATCTTTCAAAGCCTCAACAGAAAAGTGATCTTTTTGCTCTTGTTTCTGTGCTGATTGAATTAGTTGGGACCCCAGCAGCTCAAGTACATGACTGTCCTCAAAGACTCCTCTGATTTCTTCAGCTTCTCATCTCTGACTTTACTGAAAGCAGCTGAAGCAGAAGGAGATGAGAGCTTGTTGGCCTGAGAAAATGACCTGAGTTGGGTTTTGGCTTGCTGGTGCACAGATCTTAAAGCAGAGTTCCATCTGCATATCCCTTGGTCCTTCAATGCCTCCACAACTCCAACACTTGCTGCCACAATAGCCTTGCTTGCACTTGATGAACTCATCACGATTATGATTTCTTTTCTTTTCCTTACTGACCTCTCTTTGATGCTTTCAACTTCTCAGTTGTGAATGCGAATGTGAATGTTTGAGTGTATTGATGGAGAAGATGATCTTCAGGTGCTCTTTATATAGGGGATTTCTTTTTAAAAAAGGTGGGCTTGTGGCAAAAAACCAGAGCTGGTTTTGTTTTTCTCCTGTTTCTTTTGGTAAGGTATGTTGATGTTTACACTATATTTGGAGATATTACTGTTTTGTACATGCAGATGCAGGGAATATGATGTACTAGGCAGGGGTAAAAGTGGAATTTAAGATTTTGGAGTTTGGATAAGCAGAGAGTTTTTGTTGCCTCATGGGCACATGGTTTTTTATTTAAATTATTGTATTTTGGCCCGCAGTATGGCAGTGAAACCATTTGTTTGCTTGTTTGACTTGGAGTGTGGACCGAAAGACAGAAACAGAGTCTCTTGTCACTTTATTTTGGTATGTGGGCTAGTAGTAGCGTCTGGGAGTGAAACTAGTAGTTTACTTGTTTGTATTACCGAAAATGTGATGGTGAAAATGTCTCACATTGGATAGTTAATAAATTGCATGAAGTTGGACTACTTCCTTCATTACCAATTGATTTTGGAGTATAACTTCAACTTCCTTCAATAATTACGTGAAGATCACATTATTATATATCACATTAGATAGTTGAGAAATTGGGTGAAGTTGGACTACTTCCCCCATTGCTAATTAACTTTGGAATGGAACCTCAACTTCCTTCAACAATTACATGAAGCTTACATGTTTCCTCTAAATTTCCATCACTCTTGTTTGGAGAAGTGATCATGTTAGGGTTCACATGTCAATTCTTTCGAGGCATGTTGGCACTAAATAGAGATGCACGAATGACTTCCAATAAATGTCGATTCTTTTGCTCAACCATCCCATTTTGTTGGGGAGTATATGGATACGAGCGTTGATGTATGATGTCATGATCCTATAAGAATTTGTTGAGATCATGATTAAGAAATTTGCTGCCATTGTCATAACGGAGAACCTGAATTTTGGCATGAAATTGAGTTGCCACTATTTTATAGAACTGTTGAGAAGGGAACCCCAGGTCATTCGGGCACAATCATCAATTAATGTGACAAACCATCGAGCTTAGCGATTTGGGCAGGCCCTCAAACATCAGAATGAATAAGGAGGAATGGAACCATACTTTTATGTCTACTTAATGGGAACGAAATACGATGGCTCTTAGCTAATTCATACGTATCACATTGGAAGCTGGAAACATCAAAACTAGAAAATAATGATGGAAACAACTTCTTCATATAACCGAACGAGGCCTAATTAAACTTCTTCAGATAACCGCATCTCCTTAATATCTTCCACCAAGTTCCCTTCTACTTCAAAACACTCTTTGTCATAATTGATCCTATCTATTGCCCCTTGCACATCTATTTCAAACACAATGTAGGAGTGAAACTAGGATTGATTACTATGTTAAAATATGAATATGGTTTGAATACTTTAGATTAATTGTATTCTTCTCCATAAATAGGTATATATAAGAGTTTACAAGAGTACTTTACAAGGAAATAGATACAATAATTAATTAGGAGAATATATCCTAATTATACAAGGATGTGTCAACTATATAAAACAAGGAAGTAAATCACCTAATTAACCTAGGAAATAAATCTCTTTGATTTAGGCCCAGTTTGGGATTGCTGTCACTTTTGAAAAAAGTTGTTTCTGCTGTGCTTTGAAAATAATTAGCTGTAAAGTAAAGCAGCTCCATGTTTGGTAAACAATATTTTTAAAGTGCTGTTAGTACAAAAAGCAGTGTCGAAACCGTTTGGTAAGTTTTAATATAAAATTGTTGTAACTGTGAATAATGACTAAAATAGATATGATGTTAAAAGTGTTATGTACTAATCATGTGGTAGTAGTGGTAGTGATGAAGTGGAGGTGGTGGTGGTGGTGATGAAGGTGGAGTTGGTGGTTGTGGTAGTGGTGGTGGTAGGGATAGCATGGTGGTGGAGGTGGCAGCATGGTGGTGGTGGTGGTGGTGTTAGTTGTGAAGGTTTTGGAGGAGGTGGTGGTTGTGGTGGTAGTGGTGGTGGAGGTGGAGGTGAAGGTGGAGTTGGTGGTGGTGGTTGTGGTGGAGGTGAAGGTGGAGTTGGTGGTGGTGGTGGTGGTGGTGGCGATGGCGGTGGTTGTGTAGGTAGTGAATGTGGTGGTGTAAGTGGTGGAGTTAGATGTGGAAGTGGAGGTGGTGTTATTTTTAAAAATGAATGATGGTATTTTGGGAATTAAAAAATTTATTAAAGGTTCATCTTTACTTCTTTTGAAAGCAACTTTGAAAAGCAACTCATAGCCTGCTTTTAAAAGCTGTTGTCAAAAGGTCATTGCTTTTAAAATAATCGGGATATTTTATTTTTACCAAACACCTTAGCCTGCTTAACTTTAAAGTGAAGCAGGTTTTTGGCGAAAAAAAGCAATCCCAAACGGAGCCTTAGTACATTAACTCACGTCAACAGTTTGGGCCTTTGTAAAAAATCTTTGGCGTAAAAAACCCCCAAAAAAGGAGGAAAATCTGCCAAAGGAAAAGAAAGGCCTCCCACTTGACATCGAATACAAAAATCAACCAATAGCTTTTAAATCTGCAGCAAGCAAAGAACTCAACCAAGGAGGCTTCTCCTCAATCCATGTTTGTGTTCCTAATGGCATATTGGGCTAGCTCAGAAGCAACTACATTACCATCCCATCACTGCCATTCACACGAGAAAGATCTAAACCACAACCGCATCTCCTTAATATCTTCCACCAAGTTCCCTTCTGCTTCAAAACACTCTTTGTCAGAATTGATTATATCTACTGCCCCTTGCACATCTATTTCAAACACAATGTAGGAGTGAAACTATTTGTTTACTTGGTTTGGTGTGGACCGTGGGCAGAAAAACAAACATCATAGTGTCTTTCCTTTTCTCTATTTGCTTCGGCTAATTATAGGCGTGAGTCTACTATGTGTTGATATGTCATTAAAGAAATAATGAGCATTATAATTAGGTTAATTGTTGTTTGATGAGTATGATTTAATCTACATATTACATGAATTTCCTCCACAACAATTACATGAATTTCTTGCACGATAATTAACGTGATGGTATTTCTCATCGCAAAAATACGAAAAGAAAAAGCACCTCGCACCATTTCTGAGAGCACCATCAACACTCATTTGATATAAAATGTGTGTTAGCATAAAAACTTAAACATTAATCAGTAGCTTGATTAATGTTTAAGTTCTGATTAATGTTTAAGTTTTTGGTGCCTAGAATAATCAATTGTATATATCATAGAGAATGCAGGGGATCTAATAAACAAGCTGAATTAATATTCAACCGGGACCTCAGCAGCTGAGCTTACTTGAAACGAAAGCAGAGGATGAATAGGAGGAAGGAAACCCCATAAAATGTGGGAAAAACCATGGGATGTGTTGGCCTATAGCTTTTGTTGGAGAAAGAAACCATTCAAGACAATGGATTTTACCCAATTGGGGCAACTCAATTATGTTTCACTACTAAATACTCAAATTTATAGGATCATAAATCCTTCAGTTAAAACGAAGTAAATAATGGATTAATAAGAAAGGGCAAAAAGAAAAACTCGAAAAGAATGATCAAGGCATCAATTGCTCAGAAATATGTGTGCTTTTGCTTTATATGGTAATTGTCATAACATACCATAATTTACATCAACTTGCCCCAAGCAAGCAAGCAGACATGAATGAATTGTCTGCCATTTACAACGATTGCCTTTGCCAGTAGTATGTAACCCAAAAAGTTTATATATCCTGATCATTTGATATATATAAAACTCAAGGAGCCCTTTCATGGGTTGTGTCATCTTGTTTCATTCTTGTGTTCATGCTCAAGCTCCATTTCAGCAACCGCTTGCACAAAAATCTGATCTTTTTGCTCTCTGTCTCTGTGCTGATTGAATTAGTTGGGACCCCAGCAGCTCAAGTACATGACTGTCCTCAAAGACTCCTCTGATTTCTTCAGCTTCTCATCTCTGACTTTACTGAAAGCAGCTGAAGCAGAAGAAGATGAGAGCTTGTTGTTGGCCTGAGAAAATGACCTGAGTTGGGTTTTGGCTTGCTGGTGCACAGATCTTAAAGCAGAGTTCCATCTGCATATCCCTTGGTCCTTCAATGCCTCCACAACTCCAACACTTGCTGCCACAATAGCCTTGCTTGCACTTGATGAACTCATCACGATTATGATTTCTTTTCTCTTCTTTACTGACCTCTCTTTGATGCTTTCAACTTCTCAGTTGTGAATGTGAATGTGAATGTTTGAGTGTATTGATGAAGAAGATGAACTTGAGGTGCTCTTTAAATAGGGGATTTTTTTTATAAAAAAAGGTGGGCTTGTGGCAAAATACCAGAGCTGGTTTTGTTTTCTTCTGTTTCTTTTGGTAAGGTATGTGGATGGTTACGCTATATTTGGGGATGTTACTGTTTTGTACATGCAGATGCAGGGGATATGATGTAATAGACAGGGGTAAAAATGGAATTTAAGATTTTGGAGTTTGGATAAGCACAGAGTTTTGTTGCCTCACGGGCACATGGTTTTGATTTAAATTATTGTATTTAGGCCCGCAGTATGAGAGTGAAACCATTTGTTTGCTTGTTTGATTTGGAGTGTGGACCAAAAGACAAAAACAGTCTCTTGTCACTTTATTTTGGACTGTGGGCTAGTAGTAGCAGTCTGGGAGTGAAACCAGTAGTTTACTTGTTTACGTGCAAATTGCAAATGCAACTGTGAAAATGTGAAATGAAAATATCTCACATTGGATAGTTGAGAAGTCTAGCAACAACTTATAAGGAATTGGATTACTTCCTCCAAATTGATTTTGGGGTGGAATTTCAATTTCCTTGGAGCTCACATGATTCTCACACGTGGATGGACGGATGAGTGTCCCTAACATCTGCTGCCCTCCAAAAACTAGAATGTTTCCTCTAAATTTCCATCACTCTTGTTGGAGAAGTGATCATGTTAGAGTTCACATGATTGTCACACGTGGATGTATGTCGATTGAGTATCAATTGGTATTTGATGAAGAAGAAACATAACACACTAAATTAATGAGGATTCTCTTTCTTTCTTTTAAATGAAATATCACTAAATCAAGAGTTAGTTGGTTAGAATTTGATAAAAGTGTCATAAATAGTTGATGAATTAGATGGCTAATAGGATGCAATATTGACATGTCTGGTGTGTGTTTGTTTTATATTTGAAAAACGTAATGCTCTAAGATTTTCTTCTTGTTGGGTTGGGAAAATATGCATTCAAATCATGTATATACAAGCTTAAACTCAGTTTCAAAAATAAAATCTAAGTGGTACATCCTCAACTACCTATAATATTGGAGGGATTTCAATAAGGACCCGAACAGCTCAAGTACATGACTTTTCTTAGAGAATCCTCAGCTTGGTTCTTCTGTTCAGAATTCATTTTGTTCAAAACCATAGCAGAAGAAGAAGAAGAGAGTTCCTTCGCTTGTAAGAATGATCTCATATTGTTCTTGGCATGCTGAATCAAAGACCTCATGGTGTAACTCCATCTGCAGAAGCCTTGATCTTTCAAAGCCTCGACAGCTCCAACACTAACCGCTGCGATCCAAGCTCCTCTTGTTGCACACATCTTCAGTTAATTCAGCAGAGCACTCTGCTTTTTTTTTTTTTTTTTTTTTTTTTTTTTTTTTTTTTTTTTGGTTTTTGGGTAGGGGCTATGCTTTGGACCCTAACACTGAATGTATATATATACACACACATAAAGCAAAAGACAAAGACAAAGTGGTTTTGAGATTTGTGGAAATCCGGAAGCTGCTTTTGTCCCTTGTAGATGATTAGTATTCTATATAAGACAAATTCTGCAGTGGTTTTCTGTGAGAAAACCTGAGGTTTTGCATCTTGTTTTTTGATGAAGCAACGAACGGAAAATCTCAGCTATTTGTCTCCTTTCGTACATGCTTTTCACCCATTCATCCCTTCTCTGCTGCTCTGTCTTTATTAATTTGCTTCCCTTCAAAACCGAAGGATGATGAAGGTGTATTTTTGTCTCCTGATACGTACGATCCATTTCGTGCTACTAGCTACATTTGTGTTTCATCTTATCAAATTTGTGTCATGCTCGTACCAACTTGTTTTTGTTCTACACTTTTTTGAATATGGATTTTTTGTGCAACTTTTGGAAGGGATATTTTGATCATTTATCTATTTCTTTTTCCAGATATTGCTCATTTTCAATTTTCAAATGACTGCTTTAGTCAGTGACAGAGGTAGAGTTTGATATTTGGGGGGCCACAAGCTTAAAACTATGGGATTTTTTGTGCAATCTATACTATACTTTTTATACAGTTAAAGAGGTGAGAAGATGGTGGGTGGCCCAAGCCATCTCAGGCTTATGAATAACTCTGCCCCTAGCTTTAGTCCTATATGAGAGGCTACGCAAGTTGCGGTGATGAATCACTCTTTTTTGCTGTTAAAATCAATCATCATCGTCCCCTTGCATAATGTAGCATGAAAATGAATTAATTAGACCCTGAATTAACACTTGATGATCCCATAATTTTGACAAAACACATCTATGTAGATGTTGACAAGTGTCATAATCTAGGCCATAACTCTCTCTTATATACTGGAGAGATGTACATAAATGAACAATATAAAAAAGCTAATAATAATACAATACAATCTTTTATCAAATTCTCATTTATTCTATTTTCTTAAGCTTTGTTAACACTTTTGAAATCTAAAAGCTAGTAGCCATTACTCCAATTAAAAGACACATATTTAACCAAAATTCTATTTAACGTTAACCCAAAAGCCGCGAAATAAGTTAACAAAAATACTCCGACATGCGTGTACATATGTGCCACTTAAAGACGTGTGGATCATTAAGCAGTTGGCACATATGGACATGTTGGGATGCTGCAATTTGAAAGGACCCACTTAAAGACACATAGTACAATGTGCCATAAGTTTTTTGAAGATTTCTACATGTTATGTTATGCAAGATCATTTATCGTTTAGAGATCAAACTGAAAATATATAGATATATGAAATCGATTATCTTATTTTAGCCCTTCAAATAAACGGATGTCATACGCAGAAAATGAAAAGTAAAATGAAAATGTTTAGGTTTCTAAATCAAAATTATATATGTTTGAAGATCTATTCAATGTTACCAAAATGATTTGATGGATTTTCTAAAATTAAATTGTAAACTAAACAATAATTAGTTTCCCTCTTATCACTTATTTTTTTATTACAAACGTTCTAAATCCACTTTTAATTTTGGGAAATGGAAAATAAAGCAAGTTAAAAGAGTGTATTAATGGAAAATAGTTTTTCTTGGCCAAAATTAATAGAAAATAGTTTCATAAGATATGAATAAGGGGAAATAGACCATGATGGTGAGTTTTATTTCGGTTTTGCATGTGATGGACATGTTGGACTTGATGTTCTGGGAACCGAACTTGTTGCGTTGTGGGAAGGTTTGTTAATGGCTTTGCGGAGAGGTTACCGAAATTTTCTTTCGGCTTCTGATTCTCATGAGGCAGTGTCGCTTGTTATTGGATCTGGCGAATGTTGGAGCAATCTAGGCAATCTAGTTGAAGATGTGAGGAATCTATTGGTGCATTTGCAAGTGCGTGAAGTGTTTTATCAACCTCACAAAGGGAATGAAGCGGTACACCTTTTGGTTCACTTCGGCTTACGTGAACAGCGGCGATTGTTTTGGGTTGGTTTACGCTGGTGGCGAATAAAGAAGTTGCTTAGTGTTTTTGAGAGAGGTGTGTGATACTCTTTTTCCTTGACTGAATTTTCCTCCACTGGAGTTTTCAAGGCAAGGTTTTATGAGGTCCCCCTAGGTGCACCTCCTTTCTCTAGTTTTTCTTGTAGTTTCTTGAATGTTATTTTAATTGTTTCTGAAGAAGTAATAAAGATTGTTTATTTGATTTTTTTTTAAAAAAAAGGGAAATGGTAATGCTAGTAAATAAATATTTGTATCAATTATCAACAGGAAGTAGTTGTCAATGTAAAAATAATTTGATTTGAGGGTGATGTTTAGTAAATAAATATTTTGTATCAATTATGTGGTGCAATGAGGAATTTTATAGATGTACATAGCAATGTTCGAAAAATCACTAGGCGGTAGGCAGGGGCCTAGCGGCTAGAAGAGTAATATGGCCTAAGTGTTTTTTATAAAAAAAATTATTATTTTGTATTATAAATTATAAATTTATACCGAAATCATGCAAAATAAAAGGATATATAAATTATAAAAAATCATAATTGATATAAAACATGGAAAAAAGTTACTACAAAGAAAAATACTTGAAATGAAACGCTAGGCCTCTAAATCTAACTTTTCCTCCTCCTCTCCATATCCCTCCAAGACTAGGTTTTATTTAAAGTCAGGCAAAAAAATATATATTTAAAAAAAAAAGATAAAAAAATAGGGACCCAACCCGCCTAGCCCGCCTAGGCGGATTTTTATTTTTTATTTTTTATTTTTTAAATTTATTTGTTGGACGATTTTTCGAACACATAGGTAGTAACTCGGTTCTGTTTTTATCTTATCCAACCCCTGAAAATCCACCGAACTTCCGCCGATATAGCAGATACTTGGATTTTTCTCCTTCCCGTTCCACTCAGTTGAGAAACTCAAGGAGCTTCCCAGGCGAACCAATGGCGGTGCCTCTCTTCAACCTCGCCCCCAATCTTACCAACTCTGAGTCTGATTCTTTGGCCCTCCCTCTCATCCTCAAATATAAATTCATTCTTCGCAGGGACGATGACTTTCGGCGAGCAAAACAAGTTTCCGGAGTCGTTTGGCCTCCTCGACCAAGCTTTCCTGTCCGACATCAATTTCTTCGACTCTACAAAAATGTATCCAATGGTTCAGCGAGCCCAGACTCAGGTCAGGGGAGGAGCGAGGAGCGTCATTTTGGCCACCAAGGTTGTTAAGTAGCTATGAGAGTATCAGTTCATGCTAACAATTTTGTGCCAGCTTGGTTTTCACTTCTGATGTGTGAAAATTTTTTCTGATATTCCAGGTACCGTCTGGGCAGATGACTTGGATACGAGATGGTCCCAAGTGTTTTTTAATGCTAAGAATATTACCGAGGCCATTGTCGGCAGGTTTGCTAAAGCAAACAGTTTGTAATTTTTCTTCTATTTAAACGCTTCGTGTTATGCTGTGCTGAGCGATGAGTTATATGTAATGTTTAAATGCAGCTTAAGGCGATTGCAGACAGATTACATTGATCATTGGCCTGATCGATTTGTATGTAGATAAGTGTTTTTGGATTTTGCTTTCACATTACTCTAAATTGGCAGATTGACATGAATCTGCCCCTCTGGGTGAGAAAATGATAGTCATACCTTTTCACTGGTTTGGTTTCATTGTCATGTTTACGTCTTATTGGTATGATGCCAAGTGGTTATTAATGTCTTTTTTAAAGTCAATATATTACTTTTGATTAAGTGTATGCATGCATGCTTGGGTGTGGGGGTATATACAAGCCTGGGCTTCTGCATCTGTGCCATACCAATTCATGAATGTCTGCAGTACTCGTTCTAAAAGGAAAATTATTTTGAAAATTATTTCTAGTTCCAGCTTTGGTCTCTTTACTGCATGTTGTATTTATCGAATAATGCCCGTCGCATGTTGATTTACTAATCTGCTTGTATTTCCATTCACAGGATACATTGATATTGCAAGGAAGTACAGTGTTCATCTAGTATCTCTTGCAATAGGTTCGACACCTCTCCCTCCAATTCTTTGTAGTTTCTTCAGTATACAATTTGGTCTGAAACTCAATAACCAAACCTCTTAAATTGACTGCTCCTTCTCTATCTTTTGAAATTGATGCTTTCATTCTTTCGAGAAACTATATCTGGAAGCTTTCTTTCATGTACGTCACACACTCTCAATACAAATATACACGAGGGAATTGTTTATCAAGCCTAAAAGAGATGCAAAAAATTTCATGTTCTTCCCTTCCAACAATGACAGACACAATAATCAATGGAACCCATCACAGAGCCGTTTTGAGTTCCTAGTGATCATTAAAAGGTTCCCAGCCCTCAGTAGTATGCAAAACTGAAGATTATGACCCCACTTTCAAACTAACCCTCTTCGTCCAGCAAAAACAATCGATGATCAGGAATGTATCCACTTTCTTCGATCAAGGTTGACAGAGAATTTAAACTTGCATAAATTATGTCTGATTGAAGGTCTGTTGTCTCTCTCAGATCCTGGGCGTTGGTTTTGTCGTTCTCTTTCTCCTCGGTGCGTCGACGTCTCTGGTAGTTGCCTTGCTATGGTGGTTTCAGTGGGTCTGCTCCTACTATTGTGCCAACAGTCTCCAAGTCAATAATGATCATGGTGCAAGCTGCTTCGTTGCGATCGGCAGTCACGGTGGAGGTGGCTTCCCTCACACCCCCTCCATCATCCGATCTGCGATCTCAAGCTTTACCTTCAAGAGAAGACGGCCGCTGTCCGAAGATATGGCTTGGGTGGCTCTTCACCTAGGATCTATAGCTTTGTTCCTCATTTTCACAATGTTAGGCCAGGTTTTTGGCAACTAGTGTTGTTGGGTACCATCCTTTTACAGGTTTTGGCTGGTTACTCTGCGATGGGAACTGCAAATCCGGGTGTTGTTGGTATCCTTCTTGACAAACCTATAGAGACTGGCGCAGTGGAGTCTCCTGGACGCCTTCCTTAATGTGTTCTTGGAGCATTCGTGAGCTTGGCATCCGGAGAATGCTCTTATGCCTGATCCCCGTGTTCAGGTTAAGTGGTTAGGCCATTTTTGTTATTGTTGCATGGTGTTTTATTCGTTCTCTCCTTAATTGATCTTTAATTCTCCGCATGTCTCAAGGACTATGTTTTCACAAGAGGTTTCTTTACGTGGTAGTCTAGTAGCTTTAGCCAGGGCTCGGTAGCCCAGTAGGTCCAACTCTATCTGATAGCGCAATAGCTCCAGCCCAACATCAACAGGACAACAGCTCATCCTACCTGTGCATTCCTCGGTCGTCAATGTCATGCGTCACCACCGCAACAGAAGAGAGGAGCTGATCTTAGCCGTGCATTACCCAATCCTAAATCTTATCGATGCCATGGAGCACCACTGTAACAGACAGAGTGCAGCTCCAGGTCCCCTGGGCAAGGCGGCCCACCAGAAGCTCATATATGTCGTGCTTGCACCTCAGTTGATGATCATGTTTATTGCAATATATTTAAACTATGCTATGTATAATAATATTTCATACTCAATTAACTTCATGAATGTTGGAAAATTTATGTTTATTTAAATATTCTATTATTAAATTGAAATGGGTCCAAACCAGCTTTTTGAAAGTTAATCATACAAAAGTTCAATGCCCAGGAATTTGCTCCCAAAAGTCCATCCTTTTGAGACCATTCTATAATTTTCCCATCATACTTTGGTGCTCAATGACCTAACAGGAACATGAAGAAATTCATACAAATACTATATTATAATAAAGGGAATCAACAATTTGGTAACCTTTTATATCTCATTTGATCAAAGTCATGTGATACCATTACATTATAAATTAGGATGTTATTAAACGAACCCTAAAAATAATTGAATATACCCTAATATTTAAATTAAAATATAAAATTATCTAAGTACCAGTTTGGCATTGCTTATTTGGGGTGATAAGTGATTTTTTAAAAATTTTGAAAAGCCCAACCCGTTTGGTAAACTGTGAGAAAATCACTTATTGTTAAAAATTGATGTGAGAGAAAGCTATAAGGGAAAGCAGCTAATGAGGTGCTTTCATTTTTTGATTATGCAGAAATCAGTTTCGAAGAGGCGCTGGGTTTAATGATTATGCGACAATCATTTTCTTATTATACGTAAAATCAATCCCAATAACACTTTTAACAAAAATTTTACCAAACGCCAAACTGCTTTATCTCACAGCTGATTTCTCTCACAGCAAATCTGACAGCGATTATTTTTACAGCACAGCCATACCAAACTGGCCCTAATTGCCCGTTTGACATTGCTTATTTGGGGTAATAAGTTTTTTTTTTTTTTTTTTTTTAAAGGAAAACCCAGCCTGTTTGGTAGACTATGAGAAAATCACTTATTGTTAAAAATTGCTATGAAAAAAAGCTATAAGGGAAAGCAGCTAATGAGGTGCTTTCATTTTTTTGATTAGGCTGGAATCAGTTTCGAAAAAGCGCGGGGTTTAAATGGGAATCAATACCAACAACATTTTTAACAAAAAGTTTACCAAACGCCAAACTTCTTTCTCTCACAGCTGATTTCTCTCATAGCAAATCTGATAGTGATTATTTTCATAGCACAACAATGTCAATATGGCCCTAAGTACACCCTATTTAACCACCAAAAATACATATGGTACATTCTATCACACAACACCAAACCCATTCAGCTGGCTGTCAAACACTATCAGACCACCAAACCCACCTTGCTGCCAAAGTGCCTCATCTTACCGATACCTCTTTTGTTTTTTTGGGTACAAATTAACCACTTTTGTAGCAGCAGCGAGGTCATCTTGTAACATTCCATAGCAAACCCTAGACTATCATCAAACCAAGATGAAGAAACAACTGTAATTAGAAATAGTTGTTGAACGTGAAAGATGTTCCAACATAAACAAGAAAAAATAAAACAAAAAATCATCTTTGATTCTTGATTAACCAATTTCTAAACTGCATACACAAATAAGAAATAAGCGACTAATTAATTAACGAAATTGCATACCTAGAATTGCAACTAAAAGCTTGCCGATTAGTACTTCAGGAGGATGTGAGAAACCTTTTAGCACATTCGTAACATGGCGTTGTAAACCCTAAACCCTTTTAAGTGGGTTATCACCACCATCTTCATTTGATGAATATATAACAGATGGCCTCAGAGAATAAAAAAACCTTTTGGAAGTAAAATTTTTCGTTTACATTTTATTATAGTTGAATATGATGAGTATGATGTACTTATTAAAATTGCATTTGTTTCACAATTCAATATACCTTTTTTGGTCATTATATAGTAGGGTAAATTAGTAATTCAATAAATAGTTTGGTAGTAGGGTGTACTCAGTTAATTTTAGGGTTCATTTAACAGTGGCCTAAATTAATTGTACATGCATGTAAAAGGTGGAGGTATCTTACGGGTTGTTCAAGTGTTGGTAAATTTAAATTTAAATTTAAATATATATATATATATATATATAAATTCTCCTATGCAGACATCCAGACGTTATTATCGTGCGTACGCCATGTATTTTGTACTACCCTTGCTTGTTTTCCTGCCTGTTTACAATAACATCTACACGATAATAACGTGCATACATCCGTATAAGAGAATAACTGTATATATATATATAGCTCATTCACTAGTGAGTGGAGAGGAGAAGAAGATCGATTTTGTAAAGAGTTATCTGAAGGTAACAATCCTGTTTTAAGGGGCTTGCTCTCCGTTCATCCGCCGCAGCCTCGGCTCTCTCCTCCTTGAATTGCCTCGATGCCATTGAAACACTCCTAATTGCATTCACAAGATTTTTATCAAACACTTTGTATGCTTGCTTTCAAGTCTTTGATTTCTTCTTTTCTTTTCTTTGCTTTCAATTTTATCATATATATATATATATATATATATAATCCCCTTATATTGAAAGCAAAGAAAAGAAAAGAAGAAATCAAAGACTTGAAAGCAAGCATACATATACAATCCCCTTCCATTGAGGGATTCCTAAAATAATTTTATTTGAGATACGCCCTTTAGGGTACCCTACGAAAATTTTTTCAAAGATCCAAACAATCTATTTTTCAAGTCTTCATTCATAGATCATCCTTGCAAAAAAAATCATGCAAATTGAAAATCATTCTAATTGAAAATCATTAAGTCTTCTAATTGAGACCAACAAAATCAATTAACACGGTACTTTAAAAAAGTACTTATATTTCAATAATTTAATTGAGTGGTTAAATAATATTGAATTCAGATGATTTTATGTAGAGATGATCTTTGAATAAATATCTACAAAATAGACGGTTTGGATTAATGAAATACTATGCTGAGTGGGCCCTACAAGGTGTCCCTCAAATAAGCTTATTTGAGGGATCCATCAACGGAAGCTCTCTGTATATATTCCGTTGAGAAGATGCCCTAGGTAGGCACACCTAGAGCAAGAACGAAGATGAAGAAGAAGACGCAAGCACGTTTAGAGCAAAGAAATGAAGTTGAAGAAGAAGACCTACACCATTGATCGCAAGTTGAAGAGGCAAACCCACCATCTATGCAAAAGAGGTATGCTATCATTGGTTATGATTCTTTCAACATATGGCCATAGTTCTTCGATTTGGGGTTCTGGGATGAGTTATGATCTGGTTTTTATGGGTTTGAAGATCACTCCTCAAGAGTTTTAATGGTTTTTAAAAAAAATTGGAATGTCATGTATACGAAGTCTCTGCTCCTAATTGATTTGAAGAACGAAAAAACATAATTTGATTAAAGGAATTTCGATTTTGGGGGTTCTGTGTGATGAGTTTCGATTTGGGTTCTTCTAATGGGTAATTCGTACAATAACAAAGATGAAGAAGACATTTTGCTACTATCGGGAGTAGGGGCGGATCCACATATGGCCAAGAAGGGTCAACTGACCCTTGCAAGCCCGGAATCCGCCATTGGAGGCAAAGATGTTGACCCCTGCAAATTGCCCACAAACTGCTTGATGCTTCAGAAGGTGCAGCACAGCAGGCATATTACCTTATTTTCATTTTCAGCATTTTAGTAAATGTCTTTGCCCTTTTACTTTCATTTATTTTTATATTACTCCATTTACTTAAGTTTACAACGTAAATAAGGAAGTACTCCCCCCATTTGTATTCAAATAAAAATACTAGAAAATCAAATTCCCACCAAATCAAATATGAAAAATCAGTTTTAGTGCAAAATACGATTTAGGCTCAAAATGATGGCTCATTAAGTCAATATATACTTCATACTAAATTTCCATAAAATTAAGTTTTCTTATTTGATGTGTAAGGAATAAAAGCCGCCAAAAATTATCTTGAGAAAATGATTATTCAGGAAAACTATTTTTCATACTTAGGCAATAGTTTTACATAAAATAATTTTTCATGGACCTAAGGTCAATCTAGGTAAAAAGCATTAGATGTTCAATCCATAGAGAGTTTTACATTCTTAGAGATATTTCTTGTGTATTGCATTGCGTGTCTATTTTTTTAAGTTGATGCAATTCTCTTTGATAATGAACATGAGTATTTTGTATGGTTTTATCTATTAACTATGAATTAGAATATTATCATTTCATTTCTATGGTCTATTTTGTATAGAAATTTTTTTAACCTTTTACACGTTGACCCCCGGAATGAAAATTCCTGGATCCGTCATTGGTTGGCAGTGCTCTATGTTGGAAGTTTGAATGAAATTCAAGAACATTTGTCTCACATTGGTAGAAAGTAGAAAGAGTGAGGTCTTTATAAGTGTGGAAGTCTCATACTTAGTAAATGGAAGTAGGCCAAGTGGAAGCCAATTGGGCTTTAAATATTATATAAAACTATATAATATTTAATGGTCAAAAAGATGGGCCTTAGGCCTTGGCCCACTTTTGGGCACTTTCAGACTTAAATTAATTTTTTGGTTTCGAATTAATAAATTTTTTATTAATTCGAATTAGTTTAATTAACTGTTTTCTAACAGTTGTGACTCTTCTGATAAGGTTTCAGAGGTTTATCTAAATCAAACAAAGCCTCATTCGTTTGACACAGAAAAAGCATTTCACATTGTTTGAGAGGAAAACAAACAAAGTTCGCCAAATTCTAAGTCCGAATGCTAGGGCTTAGAATACAAATAGTTGAATCCTAGGAAGCAGTCACCTGTAGAACTTCAAGCACTGAGAAGGGGTGAAATTACTGTCTTTAGGAAATTGCATCAAATCTGCAAGCCTCTATCTCGAATCCAAGTCAGTTTCATTTGTTGTTAATATATTGTATTCTATATTACAATTTGTTTTCAATTCTATTTTTATAATTATTTTAAATAGTCACTGATTGTTGCTTTTCCAACATAGAGACTAAAAAGTCATCACCATGATAACTACAGTCATGCCTTGCCATCAAGAAAAATCCAAACCAGAATCTGATCTGCACAAGCCTTCTGAAATAAGATTTCCTTGTACCACCCATGAGGCCATGAAGAAGAAGAAGACTGAAGTGGAAGAGAGACGGATGTGCTGAAGGAAAGCTGAAAAGGTTGAGAAAGTCATGAATCTAATTTGTTGGGGCCCTAATTAGCCATGCCATTTTTCAATACGATATCTATATACTTATGAACTTACAATCATGCCTATATGATGTGCATGATGTAATCTCCCCCTTGTTATACTATATGCAGCTTTTCTTCCGTCAAAAGAGAGTTGTGAGTTTTGTAATGGAAAAAGCTAGCCCGCTTCTTGGGCTGTAGAGCCACGCATCACTGCTTGATGATCTAATAAAATAAATACTACTTCTGCAGTTAATTTTCTTCTTGACAGATACAAATATTGTGCATGATTCATATGAAAAATAGTCAAGAGTTAATTTTACAGCACAGGTCTTCATGAGTTTAAAACTAAAGATAGAAGAAATTAACAACTTAAGTCCTCTTGGAGAGAGACTAATTAATCTAGGATACTTTTATACTGGAGTGTCTGCTATGAATCATCATGTGTTAGGACCCCAGCAGCTCAAGTACATGACAGTGCGAAGCGATTCTTCTGCTTGCAGCTGTTTAAGCCTTTGATGAGTTTGATCACTAGTAGTAGTGCTGTTGTTCGCAGTAGCTTTATTGAAAAGTACTTTTGGTGTAAGACCACCATAAATTTCTGCTATAGTTGGCCTAGTAGAAGACGAGACAGAGTAGTTGCCTTTAGGAGAAGAAGCAGAAGCAGCAGCTTGGCCATTAGTTCCTTGCATCATTGTAAGTGATTTGTGAGCCCTGCACTTGGAGTGTTATGCACTCAAATTAAGAATAGCTTAAATTTATAGACACAGAAGCAGCAGGGCAGCAGCATAGCTGGAAAAGAAAGATTTAGAGGTTTTGTAAATAAATAAAAAGCTTTTGTTGGGGTTCGCCACTTGGCAAAATCAGTTCACTCAAAGCCAATTGAGATCTTGGGGTGTCCTGAGCTTTTCTTCTCATCTTCCCTGTTTTGTTTAAGAAGATAGTATCACAGTCACAGACAGAAAATTAAAAAACAATGCAGAGCACGTTGCTTCCATCGACATCGGAGGCAGAGAAGGCATATTTCCACATGAGTCGATGTTTAGCCTGCACACGTTCAAGTCTACAATTGGATAAGATTGACACCTAACAATCCTTGCAACTTGCCCTTCTCCTTTTCTTCTTTCTTAAGAGTTGAATTTTGCTTTCATCTTTAGTATCATTTTGATTCTTAAACTGTATATATATTGTCTACTTTGATTCAGGTTGACCTATTTTTAATCGCATAAACCGAATAAAACCACATATATTGTTTTTATGTTTTTTTTAATGTGCATTTTCTTATTGGTTGTCACCATTGACGATTATGAATCTTCCAACACATTGATGTTACTCATTGATGTTGTACTCTATCTCTATCTCTAAATACATATTCAACCTTAAGAAGTTTTCTCAACTATTTTTTCAATTTATAATATGAATTTTTCTTTGATTTAAGTAAAAGAATATATTATTTCTTAATCATTGATTAAGGTAAATCGAAATAAACTAAACCAAATTGATCATCAAAATGAATGGATTATACTACTAGTTTGAGAATCAATCGAACCAAAACCATACCAAATTAGGCATACTAGAATCAAAACGACTTTCGCACATCCATAATTTTGACAATATTTATTAACGATGTTAGATATTATTTTGATTGGAGTTACACTATTTTCACCCCTTTCAAATTAATCTCCTCACAACCTATGATTAACATTTGAATGTCGACAACTATGGCTATAGGCGCCATCCATAAATCGAACCAAACCAAACTAGACCGCGCTTACTCTAAATCAAAACGACTATTGCTTTCCTTGGCCCCTATCAAAAGGAAAAGAAACAAAATAAACTGACTATCCAATAAAATATCAGGCGGCCCGGTCCAATTCAGTCCGACCCATCACCATGTCTCTCTTTCAGATACCACACCACGCAACACCACTTGTCAAAAAACTACTGGATCACGACACTTGGATAAGCCTTTTCGTGGACCTCTATCTCTCTCACACTCTTTCCCGAAATTATTTTATAAATTAAAATCCTAAAACCCACCAAATTCTCTCTTCCTCTCCACTATGCTCAAAATTTTCCCGGAAAATTTCCAACTCTAAATACTCTCTCGTCCAAAAATGGCTGCCGTTGCTTCTCTCTCTTTCTCTGCCCTGAGTCAATGTTCTGATAGAAAATCGGTAATCTCTTCTACTCGGAATTTCGCTTACAACTCCGAAGGTCTCCGGCTCCGTACGAGCTTTTCCTGCAATAATGGTGGTGTTCGAGCATCGAGTTCGAGTTCTCGTATGGTGATTCATTGCATGTCAGGCGCGTCATGTGGGTTTTGCTTCGTACCTTTGTTTGACGCCATTGAATTGCTATCTTTTAACGTTGCTACATTTTATCAGGAACTAGACTGGAGCTTAATTTTAAATAATTTTGTGCAGGAGCTAGTGAATTTTCCATTCATTTCTGCTTTTTTACCTCTTTGGCCTGCTATGGCTTACTAAATTAACATCTTTTAAAGTAAAATTATGCTTTTAGTTCGATCTAATTAGCTGTAATGTTTTCTTCTTTTTTTTTCCAAGTTATGCCTTTCCTTTTATGTTAATAGTAGGAAGTTATTTTACTGATATGGAAAGGAAGAATTTTTCTAATCGTCTTGCCTTGATCATGTGGGATAAGAACAATGGAGCCTTGATGAACTAATTATCTAGCTGGATGTTCATATTCATCAGGACCAATCTTTGGTTCCTGAACCAATATGCTTGAATTTTATCAGAGTTTATATTAGTTAAATTTGTTTCAACAGACTCTTAATTTTTATTCCACAAGCAGTTTATAATTAAATTCTCCATAATTTTCTTGGTCTTCTTGTGGTTGCTTACTTGATGTGCAGATGCGCCTACTGTAGCTGACACAAAGTTGAATTTTCTTAAAGCGTATAAGCGACCAATCCCTAGTGTTTACAACACTGTGCTGCAGGAGCTGATTGTCCAACAGCATTTGATTAAGTACAAGAAGTCATACCAGTATGACCCCGTGTTCGCCCTTGGTTTTGTCACTGTATTTGATCAACTCATGGATGGATACCCCAGCGATGAGGATCGAGAGGCAATCTTCCAAGCTTACATCAAAGCATTGAATGAGGACCCAGAGCAATACAGGTTTGTCACTTGTGTGGGATCTTATTTGGGATTCCTCTTCTCTGTTTTTTTCCGTTGCATAACTTTTTATTTCGAAACGAAGGAATGTGGTATGTAAACTGTGGCAAACTGACAATCGCATTATCTGAGGTTTCAAAATTATGAAAACTAAGTGAACATGTAAGCTACTAATTGAGATTGTGATATTGCACTTAAGTATTCCTTTTTGTGATAACCAAGAAAATCCTATTAAGAAGATATCTGAATCATGCAAACTGCATAGTGCTACATCAGAATTTCCTAGTTTATACCAGAAGATTGGTTGATAAAATAATCTGAGACACATCCATTAAAGGATCAGTTTTGATATTGGAAAAATAAAGGGAAAACCACTGGTCATAGGATGCTTGAGAAAGAAAAAAAGGAATCCTAATTTGTTAAGTATTCTATCATTTTCTATTTTATCTTGAAATATCTAAGAAGTAGAGATAATTTTTTTATATAAAAAAAAAAATTGGTGATTTAATTAATTTAATTAATCAACCACAGAAATGGTTTCTTCCTTTTCCTCTGCTTTTCCAAATGTAAACTGAGTCTAAGAATTTACACCTCTTTACACTACAAGTATGTCATACTGGCCATGACCATGACCAATCATTTGTACTTCCTCTTCAGAAGAGTAATTTTTGTGAGGAAACAATTCTTAATCTGTTCACTGTCAAAACTTCTACTGCATTTTTTTTTCCAGTGGGAGTGTCATGTGCATTTGAATTTTTATTTTTGCATGTAATCAATCTCTTTCTTATATATTTGAGAAAAGTCTCTACCTTTACTAGATAAGTTTCCATGCTAAGCACTACAGAATTGATGCACAAAAGTTGGAAGAGTGGGCTCGGGCACAAACTTCCAGTTCATTAGTTGAGTTCCCATCCAGAGAAGGAGAAATTGAGGGGACATTGAAGGACATTGCAGAAAGGGCAGCAAGCAAAGGAAGTTTTAGCTACAGTCGTTTCTTTGCTGTTGGGCTCTTTCGTCTTCTCGAATTGGCAAATGCAACTGAACCAACAATATTAGAAAAGGTTAGACTTGCCAGTCCTATGCAACAACATTACAACTCAATGATAGGTGTTCAGCCAAATGTTAAAATTACTGCATTTTGTGCTTGGTTGAGTTAATGACCGTTACATCAAATAATTGAATTACCTTGCATGATCAACTTGGGCTGATAGATTTACTAACTAGATACATTTTTCCTGGGCCTAATGGGCTCTGCTGACTTTTGAAGAGTTGTTTGTAATTTTTAACTGGGGACAAATTTAATGGTTGGTGAGAGAGAGAGAGAGCAATGTTTGAGCATTTACAATTTGGTTGTCCAACAGTTATGTGCAGCCTTAAACATTGACAAAAGAAGTGTGGACCGGGACCTTGATGTGTACCGCAATCTGCTCTCCAAGCTGGTTCAGGCAAAAGAACTTCTAAAGGAATATGTGGCCAGGTAACATATCCCTCAGCATCATGTCCGTTATTGAATTCATAGTATATTATATATGATAGATAAGATGGACATGATAATAATCCTCAAAATGGACTGAAGTTTTATAGATAGTTTGAACCTTCTCCTGTTCTGAACGTAATTGCAAGGATCAAAATACGTAAACATTAGCATTCATACAGGGTAAGTTCTGTAATCATAGAGCTTTTAAGTCTGAAGGTTCTTGTATTGGAATCAAGTATACACCCGTGGCTCTGGTACTAGTTGTCTCTACCTGATCACAATTCACACTACATCCAAAATTGAAGCTATAATATTTAACCAGTTAATCCCCTAGACCTTATAAAGTTAAAATCCATAGCTTTAGTTCGATTATCTGTAGACTGTACCTCTTGGGGTATAATTTATGGGTTTTGGCTTATGATTCATTAAGGATGGAGAAGCTTTTGTGCTTACTGTGTTCCAATGGGTAACCATAGTATTTCAATGCAATGATTTTGGCTTTCAGGGAGAAGAAGAAAAGAGAAGAAAGGGTTGAAAATCAGAAGGCCAATGAAGCAGTTACAAAATGAATGGGAGACTACCAATATGTTCGCCAGTAGTCGGAGTGCTGCCTCCTTCAAAGCTGGTCACTCTCCGCGAAGCTGCAGATCCCCAAATCTTTGAGGTAGAGTTGGAGTTTTACACTTAGGCATGTACCTTTCCATCAACTTGTAGGTTTGCAGTTAGTGTATTGCTTGCAATGGTGCTCCAGCAACAGCCTATGTTCCCACGTCTACATATTTACTTTTTATTATTACCTTTTGTTTTTTTAAAAATGTATTATAGCTTGTAACTACAATTCTCGATTTGCAATATTTGAATCGGGTTCTCCACAGTAAAGCTAAGTGCTAGCCTCTCTTTCTCACCTTAATCAAGTGCTTCCATAGCATCACTCTTGCCTCCATTGCCTAAGCTTGACGTTACAAGTAATCACGGTTTTTATGCACTGTGCATGCATATGATTGAGCCTTCTATCATAAAGATTTCATCTTCCTGGTTCATTCATTTTCTTTTACTTCAATGCTTGTACCCTTGTTCTGCCAGGCCTTGATGGGATCCAACGAATTTGAGAATAATTATTTGCATTCATTTCATTCACATAAATCAATAATATACAGCTAGATAACAATTCTTCACAAAGAAATAAAAAGATCTTTCATGGTTGACAGCTGGAAATGGTACTAAGCTAAGATGGCAATGAAATCCCAATAGAAATCTCACTCGTTCACAAGGGAATTAGGATAGGACAGACAAAGGAATGACTTAATTAGTGGTTTAACTAAGCTGAGAAATATCAATTTCTTCCGGGAGCTTAAATGTGTCTGCTGCACCAAACTTCCTATACTCTGCTGATTCATGGGCTTCTTCATCCGAATCCTCTTCATCAGCTCCGTGGCTGCTCGGTGACACGGGATTGTTAATGCTTTTCGACCTGCAGCCGTGCGTGGCAAGCATGTTCACCTGGCGAAGGTGAGAGATTTCCACCATGACAGTTTCATCATCGACTGGGAGGGGTTGCTTCCAGGGTTCGCCATCGATCCTCATGTACGTGTGATTGATTGCACCCTTGTGAAACAGAAAGCGGATCCGGTGGGCCTATCACCGATAAGATTAGCATAAAATAAGCCAATTATGAACATAATTTCAGCTTGATCAAGATTCATTGCTGCAAATTACGTAACAAAACCATTTCATATTTATTACCTGGGTAAGACGAGTCCCATGTCCCTTTGGCGCAAGCAAAACAAGCCCATGCCAAGCATCTCTGAAACCAACGACCTCAATGCGGCCATCGTCTACATATGGTGGAGTAAATTCTCCCTGCAAAGTCAAATCCACCAAAGAATTTGTTAGAAATAATAAGAAAAGAAATTTGGATCCAATTCACTAAGTGATGTCGTGAACTAACATTATGCCTCCTCCTAGTTGGCATTCCCCAAGGATTAAATCCACCAGAAAAGCTAGGCAAATTGAGGCACACAATTGACTTGATGCTGAAGATTGAAACGCAGAAGTTAATAAAGAATAATTGGACATTATTTGTGAAATAACATCAAGCATCAAGTACCACAGAGACGAGAAACAAAATATTAAATCAATTTAATCCTTGTGCAAGAGATGTTGCCCTTTTGCAGTAAAGCACAACACAGACTCATGAGAACGAAGTTCACCACCCATGCAAAATGAAAACGAGGGAACACAGTACAAGTAGTGCATGGAAATTTTTAAGGAGAAAAGTGACGTTGGACATAGGTGGCATGGAAATTTTTCTTGAAGGAACCGGAAAATTAATTAGCAACTGGATCAAATACAGAACTTGGCATGAATCCAAGATCAAGCAAGCTCAACTCAGTTATAATATAGACAACAATGTACCTTGGAGGAATTTGGAGCTCTTCCCAATGACCACCATGGATTTTCATGATCATCAACTTTGCAAATTGGTTTATGTTCCTATTTCAAGAGATAAAGTTAATTTCATATTCAGTAAAGAAGATGCTAGAAGGTAATCCATTGCTGGACGGGCAATCTCTAGATGCTCACCGGGAAGAAGACTGAGAAAGGGAAGAAGAAAACCAGCCTTGTGAACGGGTAATCTTTGCATAAGTACTCTGTATTTAGGATTAAAGAAAAGAGCAGAGGAATAAGAGCGTTTCTCTCTATATCATAATATGCAGAGCAAGATCCAGTTAAACTGAATGACATGAATGCTGTAACAGATTTATCCACGCCAGAAAATTTACTGTATATGACTAACACTATAGTTCATGAAAAATGAGGGGTTGCAGGCAAAATTACTAGGAAGTTCATGAATTCATTACTCCGAAAAAGAACAGAATTAGAACCCTAAGGTCTTTCAGTTATTTAATGGATGGTGTATGAGGATCAAGTTTAATAATGCGTGACAAATTCATCTATCGAGGTTCATGTACTTTGTAAAAGTTAGCTGCTCTATGTGTAACACCTATGGCGTATAGTACCAACTAATATTTCTAATTTGCGTCCTACCTTTTAGTTTGTGTTATCTATTATAAATTTTCTTAAGTAATATATCAAATAATTATCATGATTTAACTACACGATATCCATGGATCATAATGGTTCTTCAAGAATTATGTACCTGATTTGAAAACTGGTTTTTAAACTTTTCGGGATGCAGCTTTCGCTCAGTATGAAATGCATATGATACTTGAGCATCCATCCCTACAACCATAAACATGTAGTCCATTTCAAAAAACACAGTTAAGTAAAGGAAGATATTATCAACAATTATTTCGCTTATATACAGGAAAAAAGAAGATAAGATGCTAATTTTGAATATCACTACAAACAAGTGACAATGGTGGAACTTAAATCGACTCAGCAAAAGGAGACATTTTCTAGAAAGAAAGAGATAGCTATGCAGATTAAGGCTCAAAATATTTGACAGGACTCCAAGGGAAGAACTCTTACCCATACTGAAGTAGTTCCAAAACCCACCACGAAATGTATGGTAACCTTCCTGCAAAGCACCCAAAAATTTGTGTGTATAAAACAGCAGACCAAACTTGTCTCCAACAAGAAAGAGAAGAGCTTTGAGTTTTCACAAAAGGAACGCCAAACATTTAAAAGTGACACTTCTTTTAAACATCATTCCATCAGTTGATTGCATTTTCTTGATTACTCGGTTGAAATTTGTGCTTAGAAAAAGCGCATAGAAATTGAAAAGTTGAAGGTTAACTCCATTTGGTTATATAGGTTGATGAAGGAACATAGCAAGAATAAAAAATTAGACTCTAGTTAGAAATCAGGCCCTTTTGCAATCATATGCAAGTGATATGCAATTTTGACACATCTGAGGTCAACAGTGAAACCATTAAATTTTAAAATCTATCTGCATTAGATTTGTCCAGAAACAAATCAACCGCGAACAGAAAGTTGGCTCAGCTCCTGAAAGATAGCTTGACTTAATTTGCAAAGTAACTGATTTTAACTGCCTGCTACTCTATGGATCTGGTTCTTTTCGCTACTAAAACAGATAAGAGAGGACTTACCACGCTCAGCTCGTTTGTATCAGAGACTCGGCCAAATGCATGCAAAGAATGTGGAAGCTCAAGAGGAGCAATGGGATCCAATGGACCATCTTTTGGAGTCTTCATCCTCATGAGGAGGTGCCAGCTATATCAGAATAAGGAAGAAAAAACAAAATCATAATTTGCACTTACTAAAAAAGGAGAACTGGTTAAAACTTGCAAAGAAGATGAAGGAGACTTAAGGAAAAAAAAGGACTGAATAAAATTAGTCATCAAAGAATTCATACTTCAAAACTCCATCTGCAGACAGGTAAATCTATTATATGCAAACAATTAAGGAGATGATTTAAATGATGAGATGTGAATCATCTAGAAACAGTACTGTGAATCTACAGCACTTCGAATTTACAAAAATCAGGATGTAAAAAGAAACAATGATGACTGTCAAACCTGTCTATTTTCATTTCCTTGGCTTTCTTTACTTCATTCAAAAACGATTTCACAGATTGAGAATCTGTCCCGGGATTCTTCTTCCCCTGATAAATTATCAAACAGCATGTCATGCATGATGGAAGCGATCAATGGCTGCACTATTACCTTAGCCATGAGAATTACAAATCACTCAGAACATTTAAATTTGAGTAAAGTACAAAAATGGCAGCACTACTTAAGGATTGCTGGTAATATTGTGTCTTCAAACAAGAAATTGAGAAATGTATTGGTAGTATGCACATCTACTTGTAATAAATAAAAAATTCTGAGATTTTAGAGAGTAAAAAGAAAAGATTAAGAAGAGAACTAATTCTACAATAAGAATGGCACAATATGCCATTCCATAGAATGCATTAACAAGTTGAACTCTGAAAGGTACAAGAATCAACAAGACATGAGTGCAATCCTAGTTGTAACTACTGACTGCCTGCATAATATCAAAGCATATTGTGGTTTTGCATAAATGACAACTCAACCAGGCATCCAAACATGATTTAGGTAATTCTAGACCATAAAAGCCACTGGGACAGGAAATTGCCTACCCATCCAAATGCAAATGGAAGATTATTTCCAGTTCCCAAGGGTACTGTTGCTATTGGAGGTGAATGAGATAATTTGAGATCAGAAACAACTCCAAGAAGCCAACCAGCAGTTCCATCACCACCTGCAACCTAGAGGATTTGGTACATGTCAGAAACAGGAAAGGGCAACAGCCTGCAAGGTCATGAAAAATAAAAATAAAAATAGCACACCATTTATGTTGATTATAGTTTGACTCACAATTATTCTCAATTTCTCTTGAATCTTTGTAGCAAATCCATCCCCATTCTGCTTGAGTTTTTCCAGATTGGCATAGATTCGGCTCAGCACCTTATCAGGAGTCTCTTCCCCCAAATCAAAAACCTACAAATAAGCTAGTTCAATCAGATTCGCAAAAAAATTGAAATAAAAATAGCCGCTTAATGCAACCGCTGAAGTAATAGTCAATCCATAATTTAAACTGGGAAATTTAACAACATTTGACCATACAGAAAAGATAAAAATATATTAATACCTGAGTTTCATTGAGAAGGGAACGGTACGTTACAAGAAGATCCCCACCTAGCTGACCACCACTTCTGGAGTTGATAAACACTAAAACTGGACACTCGGGTACATCAGGTACATTTTCACACTCTGATTTTGGCACTAGTACATACTTTGGAATTTTGAAATTCTTCAAGAAGTCCTCCCCAAAATTGGAATGTGCCATTTTTCCTCCAACTGTATTATTTAAATCATAATTAGCAATATTTTGTAATAAAAAGCCTGAAGATAGCCATTTCTACAACCAATGATAATAGTGATTTAGAATTAAAAATAGTAACTTTGCAGGATACTGATGAACATACTCAAAATTCAGTCTATGCAAGATATCCAAACGCCAAAGGGCAAAGACATCATCCAAAGAAATTCCGTTTGGATGCCGAGAATACATACACAGGAAAAGTAACAGGAAAGAAAATGTTCAAATTTTGAATCTTCAAGTCTCAGCATGAAAAGAAATACAGTGTTTGTGAAGCAAAAGATAAACCAACAATACAAATCCATTGGGTAAACTTGGAAAAGAGCTAAAAGTTCGAATTGGGTGAGAAGGCAAAGAAAGAAGAGCAAATACCTATTGAGCCGAGGAGATGAGAGCCTATGACCATTTACCAGATAAGCTGAACGATGGAAGTGAGATTCTGAATACCCGGGAAACAGAATTCCGGCGGAAAAGTATACCAAATCTCGGGGAGAATATGCAGTTGAGGCTCAGAAGGGTTAAAGATAGAGGCTTTTCGGATCCAGAGAACCAAAAGTTGCAGAGAAAACGCGGAATGTGGAGATTATATGATATGATACAGTTGACTTATTCTTCTTCTTCTAAAGCTCATTGTGGAAACGTGATAGAGGCCATTAAGCATGACCGAAGGAAGCTATTAAAACGTGATCGAAATTATTGAGGAAGTGAAGGCAAAGTAAATGTCTTGGATTGGAAATTACTACTATGCACACGACGAAGGGGAGCGAACGTTCCTATTCTGTCGTTCTGTGCTCTACCTGTGAAAAGAGGATCATTACAGCCAATCACACATGACAGAGCGTTAATGACCGAAATACAAAACATTACTATTCCCGTTGCACAACTGTTTCTCTCTTCGGATCCTTCTAAAAAAACATGTTTGGTACGCGTTGCTAAAAGCACTTTTACGTAGCGAAAAGCGCTTCTAATTTCGTCTAAAAGTCCTTCAAACTACTTTGAAGTTTAGCATTGCCAAATGGAACATCTTTTTGGTATTTTGATTTGTGGTCCGATGTCGGATTCCGCTAGGAATCCTCTGGTGGGGCCCTGCTGCTGAAGGCGCCCGGTTGGCTGCTGAAACGATGTGGGATTAGTGGACGCTGGGACCCACATTCCAACATGTCATCAATTGTTCTGGTGGTTGTGGTTGTGGTTGTAGTTGTGGTTGTGGTTTTGGTTTTGAGAGTTGATTTTCTTCTTGATTTTCTTTTTTTCAAGGTAACTAATAATGATTCCGCGTTAGAGATTCCCATATGATCAGGACATTTGTGAACACATTTATGCATTATCCATTAATATCACACAATATGGTGAATTAAAGTTATCAGAAAAAATGTGTACCAAAAAAAAAGTCATCAGAAAATGAGAAGTAAAGTGACACTTTCAATGAAGTTTCCTCACATTTTGTTACTTTCAACATCCCCTTCCCACCCAAACTTATTTCATCAAGAGAACCCTCTCAAATAAACTTTAATTATTTACGAGATATTTTGTATCTTTTCAGTTGTGCGCGTGAGTTTATTGTAATAGTGCACCTTTCATGTATCTCTACCACACACTACACACCTACATATAAGACCCGAAATTGATTCGTGTACTAGTGGAAAGTTGGTTTATAAGGTCCTAGAGCAATGCCACCACCTCTCTTCCCCTCACTTTCTTAGACTTGCCTTGGCTTTTTCCATGCCCCAACCTGTTACACGCCTCTACTTCTATAAATTCCCTCACCCAACCCACCGTTTCACCTAGGCTTGGGTGCGGATCGGTTCGGAACGGTAGAAGGCTCTTCCGTTAACCAAACCAAAGATTTCGATAGATCATTTTCTCTTCCGTTAACTAAACCAAACACTTCGGTAGACTTCAGATTGATTAACCTAATATTCAGTTCGGATTGGCCGGTACGCCGGTAGTACCGTAATAAAAACATACTAATAAAAATACAATTTATAATACTTTCACATAACATAAGATCTTGAAAAAATACACCAAATTATCCTTGTAAAATATATAAATCCATAGTCTAATTCATCCAAGTATGAAATCAAATAACTTAGTCACTATATCATTCAATATGTACTCAAGATGTACTAGGAGCCACTTGTATTTGTTGTTTGAACATTTGAGTGTTCTTTTATTAAATTCTCTACATTTATGTAAATGATTTTGACATTTGTTTTGCGTTGAGTTCTTTAGTTTTTCATGCTAAATCTAACTATATAAAGAACATAAAATTTGGATCAACAGGTGATAAAGAAGTAATACAGTGGTAATAAAGCAGTGATACAGTGGTGATAAAGGAGTGATACAAAATGCTGATTGTATTTACCTTTGGTTTCTTGTTTTGTATTTAAATAATAAAATAAGTATAAATATCATATCGGTAACGTTTCCATCGGGTTAGGAATTTTGTTTCCGTTAACCAAACCAAACATTTCGGTACGGATTGGATCGGAATAATTAAAATTAAAAAAATAATTATTTAATCAAACCAAACCAAACCGTCAGTACAGTACAGTCGGTACAATGATAATTCGGATAAGATGTCCACCCCTAATTTCACCCAAACTCTCCTTCCAACATTCAAACACTCTCTCTCCCTCACTCTCCAACACATCCTCTACTCCGCAAACGACTCTTCAGTCACACTCGACATTGTTGAATCCGCAGGCAATTTCAACCATCTTATTAATTATAGGCAACCACCAAAGACACGTCAAAGAATTTGACCACCTTGTTCCTTAATTGCCTGATTTGACTAATAACAATAATAATAGGCATTTTGAGCCCATTTTGTTCAACCAGAACATCAGCTTGAGATCAGCATGGGAAGACAATAATGTGCAACATTTGTATTAGGAGGAGAAAATATTCAAAGCTTGAAACAATTTGTCCTGACTCAATGCAAAAACGAAAATGTGGCAACCCAAAAACACACTTGTCAAAATTTGTGGTCACATGTGCTTTTGTATGGGTGTGTTTGATGAAGGCACAAGATTGTAGTGAAACTGGTGTGGCTTCAATGGAGGGTGATGATGGCCATCACCATTTCGGGCACTGCTTAACACCTTGTTATGTAGCAGAGAAAAAGAGAGAGGTCATGGCAGAGTACGCGGCTGTTAAATTCAAATGCTTGGAAAGATATAAAGTTGTGGGTTGGGTCTAAATGTTGCTAGAGTTTGAGTGAGCTCCCTACCCAATAATTAAGACAGGGCCTAAGCATTGGTGGAAGCTGGCCCAAAACAAAATCAATAGCCCAAGTTAATGGAAGCAAAAAGGGCTTGACCCAGTCCAAACTCTATATGAGTAATGCTACACTTACCACATTTTTTTATCACATTTCTATACCACATGATGTGGCATGTCCATGTTATATGCCACATCAATTAAATCAATTAAGTGTATTTTAATAAAGAAAGTTTAATTAACAGTTTTTTTTTAAGTGTTAATAAATCATAAAAGAAAAGAAAATATTAAATAATTTTAATTGATGTGGTTGTCCACCTCATCTGCCATATACGGTGGTATGAGAATGTGGTAAGAGTAGCATTATTCTATTCTAAATCTATATGTATAAAGCAAAAGGCATATAATGGTGAAACATTCAAAATACTAGAAAATGTCTTTAGTTAATGCAAACATTAAGAATTGAAATTATTAATTAAATAAGGATAATATGATAAATTCACACATTTTTATATTTATTAAAATTAAAATTAAAAGAAAAATCATATAATGAATCCTATTTTTATGAAACACAACTATCCATTATTATTTTTTTAATTCTAAAATAAATTTTAAAAATTAAAAAAAAAGCATTTTGCAAGTACGGAAGTGCGTGCGGAGAGGCTAGTAAATAAAAAACAAAAAATGCGCTTCCAGATCAACTCAAGCAATTAAGAGCAATTATATATGCACTCGAAATTAAGACTATAAAGAGAGAAAAAAAAATTGAGACGATATCATGCATGTATTAGGTTTTCCCTGCAGCACTAAAAGTTAACCTTCCCCACCAGCTATTAATATAATCCATTAATTTTGATATCACTATATCATCATCATATAAGTGAAGCCAAGCACAGTGACCAAAAAGTAAAAAAAAGGTTGAACAACCAACAACGTCGGTCGTTTTACGTGTAATTTTGCCATGCATCGCATACAATCTTGGTACCACAATTCTTGTACACGTGTTTACAAGTGACAACAGCTAAGCCCTCAAGAAGGGGGTCAACGGTCAACGGCCATGTTCTCTGTATTCAGATCCGTAATTCAATCCTCAAATTTATAGTAGAAAAATATACATATAGATCTCATGTTGTCATACACAACACCTACGTGCATGGATGCATAGAATATTAAGAGGTCGATCTATATTTCTCTTACATCCACAAAAAAATTAGATCCTAACTCATTTAAAAACAAGTCGTTCGACAGATATGGGTTAGGTCAATTAATTAGAACAGTGAGTCTGACGCTCTTTTGCATTCAAGTTTAAATTCCTTCTCTATAAATTAGTTTATTTTATACTATATAAAAAATTAAAAAATTAAAAAATTAAAAAACTAATCGATCATATCCATATATATATATATACACAGACAGAGCTTATATTAAAAGACACCGTTATAAGGCATACTTCAAAAAAAATATATATATATATATATATATATATGTGTGTGTGTGAAGTTTTAATTTTGTTAGTTAAGTGCGTAACCCCATAATTCTCTCACAAACAGAAGGCATTGATATTCAAAGTTTGTTGGGAGATTTGGAGGCCCGACATGAACAAGAACAAGTTAGCTAGCAATGTTTTTATACACGATACAATTAACCACCAAAATTTAATATAATACATACAGGTGCTACCAACCCTAGATTTGCGACAAGTAATTACCTAAACTGGTATAATGTGTACGTATAGGCATAAGGCA